AAAATTCTCTAAGTCATATATCGTTACAGTTTGGCATTAAATTTTAAATTCACTTTGCATTCTCACTTTAGTGTATAACCCTCGCAGTGTGTTATATTGATTTCCTAAAAAAAAGGTGCCCTCTCCTGTATGGTAAGGTATAGGTTTAAAGTGGATGTCACTTCCGTTTTTTTTTTTTTACATATTTCACAAAGATCTACGAAAAATACAAATCTGGTGTGGGTCCCATTGCCGTGCGGCACAGGTGAGTTTTACTTACCTTAAGCTGCTACCCTACTAGTTTTGATAGATCCTTAGCAGAAGACTCACTTTCCTCTGATCCCTCTATGAACCCTCTTTCACAGCTCTGTCTTCCCTCCTAACTGAGGGGTTTAGTTGATATGCCTGGGAGCTACCTACTAAGTAAGACAAATTAAAGCATTATTTCTGCTTTTTTTTAAAGGGATACTCCATGCACCAATCACGGAGGGATAGGGCTCTCATGGAGGGCAGGCTGAGAGGAAGATATGAGCAGCATGGAGAGTGGCCATGCCACAACTGGAGACCTGTTGCCAGCATGCAGTGCGTGCTGATGTCAGACATCCAATATGCGCAAAATTGATATTAGCCTCCCTGGAACTCTTGTTCCTGGTTGGTTAATGATAACTCAATGAGTACACCACCGGTAGCAGAGGAGTTAAACTTTGCATGATTTCAGCAGACTCCAACCACTATGACTATGTCAAATCATTTAAGTGGTCATGGTGCTTGAAGTAACAATTTAATACTAAACTCCCATAAACCTAATTTACTCACTCATTACTTCATAATTTACCAAGACTTTATGCCCTCACATATATACCAGTTCTAGGTGTGAAAAGTAATTTAAGATTTTCAAATGCAGGTTAGAGGGAACCAGGTACACCAAAACCAGAAGCTGATGCTTGGATAAATCAAATATCAAAGCATGGAAGCTTTGGAATTTCAGCCTACAACAAGGCCAATAGGAATGAAAACACATTTCACCTTTATGTCAGCACCAAAATATAGTCTTGTCCCCTTTTGCCATCCCCCAATCCTCCTCTCCATTGCATTAAGTGGGCAAAGAGTATTTTTATGCAGTGAATGTAATTGATTCAAACAGCCTTTCAACATAGTTGACATCTGGAACTTCAAATTAATAATACTTATTTTACTAAAAATGCTATTTGTCAAGTTTTGTTGCAGTAATATTCAGACTTCTTCCATGCATGGAATAGCAGACAAAAAACAAACATTTGCATTGTTTAAAGCTGCAAATATTAACTGGCAGGTTAAAGTAACCTCGTTATAATGAACACAATAAGTTCAGCACAGTTCATCTCTCACCGAGTGCCACTATTCAGTTTGTAGGTATGGGTAAAATTATTCAAAGCATTACTGTACTATTTTATTGAAAAATCTATCTCAAAGTAAAAAAAAATTTTTAAAAAATTTAAAAGCTGTTATACAGTAATAAACAGACAGCTCTTCCATGTCTTTGCAAAACAAAAAAATGGTTTAATTTATTTCTGTCAAAGCTTTAGTGTGTTAAATCAAACTTTCATCGACACCTGGTCCATTGACAGAAATAAACGTAACCATTTTTATTTTGGAAAAGTTTGAGTGCTTCTATTTTGTACTTGTATAATTTTTTGATGAGCGTGCACCAGGATGTATTTTTCAGAAATAATCTTTTTATTATGTACTTATATAACTTTTTTTAGTGGTTCCATTCTGGGTGAGTTAGTAGTTTAGGGTGACAACAAGAAAGGAGATTTAGGCTAAGGCAAAGGAATAGGTTTTTATAGTGACAACAATAAGGATGTGGAATTATCTGCCTGAAGAGGTGGTTTTATCAGAGTTTATACAGATGTTTAAACAGTAATTGGAAGAATACTTGCAAAAACATAACATTGAGGAATATAAATTTGAATAGCATCTTGGTTCATTGAGAGATCTGACTGCTATTTAGGTTGAGCATGAAATCTTTCCTAGTTTGTTGCAAAATTGGATGTGCTTCAAACTGGGGTGGGGGGGAGGTGGGGGATATTGTCTTCTTTTGGATCAACAGTAAAAACAAATGTGAAAATGGCTGAACTTGATGGATGCATGTCTCTTTTCTGATATGTAACTATCTATCTATATGTAACATTCTTGTTTTAAGTGGGAACAGTTTAACTCACTGCTGACATTGCTAACAATAGAAGTGGCCCTTATAGGTGAATTATCAGGTTGAAGTACGGTGTGGACGTTGGTACTAATCACAGTGAGCATCTGAGACTATATATTACACTGCCATCTGAGATATATATTATATATTCTAATAGCTCAAAAAGAAGTAGTTATGGTGTTCATTGTGTAGATAAACATCATGAAGACAGTTGCTTTTCATGGACAGGTACAATCTGTAAGATTTTATCTACAATAAGTCCTGCTCTCTTTATAGGTTATGTTTACTCACAAATCATACCCTAAAACCAGCAATGGTTCCAATATAAGTACCCAAATATTTTTATATATTCTTTATTTTGGGTGCATGAGAAAGAATAACAATAACATCATTCTGGTAAGTTTGCATACAATGCACAATTTTTGTTAAGGAAAAAGGTGATATGAGTTGTAAGTAACATATACATACAGGTTTTGCAAGAGTCACCATAAAATAAACAGGCTAAGGTACGCTGTTCTGTATGTTTGGGGTGCAGCCAACTCGGTTGCTGTTTTGTAGGCTGGGTGGGGTGCTCTGTAACCCTGCGCTTGGGGGGGGGTTTATAGATCGGGCAGCGCTGTGATAATGATGGACCCTCCGCTCTGCCTTTATTGGAAATTGGGTGTGCTTATTGGGGAGTAGACCAGAGTAAGGGGGGGGGGGAACTTACGACCCGTTCCCTCTCTAAGGACTTGGATTAGGATGCGGGGGTAACATGGGGTGGTTTGCTGTTATTTGTAATACCCTTGTGAAAATCGTAGGTTCGAAGTGTGAGGACAATTCACAGGCTACCGCCCCACTATGTGTGGACTGTGTTGGTTGTGATGTGTTTCAATAAGCGGGGAAAATGTCAACTGCCCCTCCACGTGGCTCAGAGCAGGCCTTCTATCTTACATGTCTTACTTTACATTACATGTTTTCCTCTGCCATGGCAATACCTCACCGTACGACCAATAAGGTCCGAGTGCCGCGTAAGTACCCTTGGTTTACATGTGGTATTGTATGTGTTGTCATGCATAAGTAAGTTAAGTTCAACTAAGTTCAAACTAGGTAAATTAAATTCAACTGATACAGGTACACTTCCAGGTTGGGACATATATGTAAAATGAGGCGATCAAATATCTACAGTACAATGTGTCCTTTTGCAGTTTAGAAGGTGTAAGGTACTATTAAGGGACAAGTCCTTCAAGTTTTCATATTGATGAGTGTCCTTGAAGACCATCGGAAACAGTCACTAGGCTACCACTGCAAGCGCCGTGGGATCGGTACCAGCGACTCAAGGATTCACATTTTGCTTTGGCTTTCGCCACGGTAAGCACTCGTATATGAGCAGGTGTGTTTGTTCCCATTTGTAGGTGAAGGCACCTTGTTGCCGAGCACTGAACTGTGGAACCTCAAACTTAACACTTTGTTCCCGGCTAGGGAGGGGAGGGAGGGGCAGGGCAGGCTTTTAAATAAGGTTGAACGAGTTCAGTTCCTCAGGTACTTGGTCTGTGCTGTTCCTTCCTCCCTGGGTTACTGGAGGCTGAATTTGCCCCGGAGGGGGCCTGGCCTGTCTTGTGGGTTCCAGATGGTTGGAACTGTATGAGCCTATCTATGTCCCAATTATGTGGTGCTTTCCGCCCCTGTACCTGCGCCCTCTGTTCCAGAAGGCTCTTTAGGCCCAAGGCCTGGAGCGCTGCGTCTGATTCTGCGGCTGTGGTAAGTCGTAAGCTTTTCTCTCCTTGCGATATGAGCAGGCTCCTGGGGGTGCCCCAACGGTATGGGATTGAATGGGTGCGTAGTGTCGAGGTCAGAGGTTTAAACTGGCTTCTCCATAACAGTGTAGGTCTGGATAGATCCTGAAAGAATACGAGGTGAGTGTTTTCGAAGGAATAAGCGGGCTGTCCCCTCACTGCCGCCATTACTTGTAGTTGCGCTGATCTTGTCTGGAACTGGACGATAACATCCCTTGGGGAGTCCGCTGGTGCCCTCGTAGCTTTAGGTATGCGGAATATCCCGTCCACCAGGACTTGTTTGCTCTGCTTGGGGTTTAGTATGGTGCTCAGCAGCCTCCTGGCATAATGGGGCAGCTCCCCGGACGTGATTGACTCAGGAATGCCCCTGATCTTAATATTTCTGCACCTGTGCCTGTCTTCCATAGTGTCCATTCGAGTGATAAGTTGTGCTTGGGCTTTTTGGAGCTCTGCTGTCAGGGTCTCTGTTGTTTGGCATCTGGAGGAGAGTCCCTGTGCCTCAATTTCGACTGCAGTAACACGTCCCTCCATTTTGTGCATGTCTTCTCGCACTATGGCGATATCTGCCGCAAATAGCCCTCGGATGTTGCGGAGGAGCGCCTTAATGTCGGCCTTGGTAGCTGGCAATTCATTATCCTCATCGGAGGATGTGTAATGGAGCCCCCCTGCGGCTGGGATCTCGTCCAGCTCGTCCATAGCCCGTTCTTCGGAGGAGGCTGAAAGCGAGTCGCCATTTTCTTTAGGTGCGGCCGTGCCTGAGGCCCTGGAAGGCCGGAGTAGGAGATCACCAATGTCCTGGGATCCCACTGGTTTGACGGGTCCCTGGCGTCTGGACTTCTTCCCCATACTGGCAATGCGTTTTTGTTGCAAAACGAGCGATTTTAGGTCTGTTTAATATCTTTTTCAGGCTTGTCGTAGCGGAGCGCTCATGCAGCACGTCTGCTCTTTTCGGCCGCTAACTCCGCCCCCCCAAGTACCCAAATATTAGCACATGAAACCTGAAAAGTTCACCACCCAGGATAAATTTAGTAAACAAAACACACAAAAAAAAAACATTGTTTTTTTTCAAAGCTTTAATTGTGTGATCACTGATTTGGGTAAACATTTTTCCAAAAATACTTTAAATTCATCAACGCTTTCTATTTTCTTAATTTTATGCAAACATTTACACCATCGTAAATATTTGTAATAGCACCTCCTTGAGATCAGTAGTAAATAATACAAAAAACAAAAAAATGCATAGTAAATTGAAAATAATTTCTAAAGCTGCAGTCCTTAATTTGGATCCCCTATCTATACGTGAACATCAAAGACATTTTATAGTTCTGAGTAAAACAATATGTAGCCGTTGGTACAAAATAAAAGCCTGTAGAATCGAGCTATTCACAGATACGCACCTACCCCATGCAAATTGCTGAAATAAAATATTCCTATTTATTAGAGCTTTTTTTTTAAAAAAAAAACAAAAAAAAAAAAACAGTAATGACATTTTACAGGGTTAGCCACTTAAGTATGATTTGTTTGGAATTCAAGGTGAATTTAAACTTTTAGTCCACAATATTTGGGGAAATTCTTCAAGTCAGCTATGCTACCAATTTGGCTATTTTGGTCTAAAATTTTAAATTCACTTGGAAATTATGCCAATTCACACATTTTTGAATAACCCTGGTTGTGTTTTATGTATATCGGATCTTTGTAGAGTGGAAATGAAAGTCAAGAAAAGCTACATAAAAAGAATAAAAAAAATAATTAAAATCTACCACACAATACAGCAATACTACCACACAACATCAACATGAGGAAGGCAAGAACATGGCACGTGTGTTTGGTAGGCCACCAGGGAGCAGTGAAGATAGGTCCCACCCAGGAAATGAGCAGGTCATTTTACAGCATGGCACATGTACATGCCAAGTTGACTTATAGTCGCTTTAGCTAATTTCGCTCAAAGCTACACATACATCTAAAGCACTCTGGCATAGGTTCAGTGCCTGAGATTACAGATTACACTGTGCAGCAAAAGCGTGTCTATTAATGATGTTGCACTTCACCTTCTGGGGACATTTCCCTGGTGTCCGCAGAACAAGGAGAAAAACCTGGAGCCCCATTGTGGGACTGCCCCAAGGAACAAAAATTAATGCTCTGCTACATAGTATTATTAATATTGGAAAGAATCAATAACTATCACTAATCTACAATAATATGCTTTTAGGTCTGGTACAAAGGACGTAATATGATTAACAATGCAGTATTGGCATATGGAGACATTATCTGCTTAGCACCCACTGTGGCTGGCCCTGCTTTTACCTTAGTACATCGTCAATATCTTGCTTAAAATGTGACTATTCTATTGGCTTGGACTAGGAGCACTTAAATGAAGCTTTATTTGTGTGCTATTATAAACTAGGGATCCACGAAATATATTACATGGTAGGAGGTATTTTTTCCAAAGTACAGCATTAGATAGAATTACTATTTGACACAATAGATTAACCTACTGTCTAATTGCCTAACTATATATTTCTGTCTTCAGTAAAGAATTTTAAAAACAAATGTTAGATAAATAAGTTTTCATGGCAACTGAGAACAGAGCACGACAGCCAATGGGAATACAGTATGTAACTAAATGAAAACCTCTTTTCAGCCAATAGTAATAGAGTGTGGAAATGGGCAATTGAACTTCTTGGGCAGCTACATTTCAGCCACTGACAATACAGTATGCAAATTCATAATGACTTGAACACTGGGATACGAAAGTGTTTGGGGTGGATAGGTGGAAATAATGTAGTAAAGGGGTCTGCCACGAGTGGAGGGGCTCAAAATATACAACAAAGGATGACTGGGGATGAGTCGTCTTGTAGAGTTGGCAGCTAAGCAGATGCACAAGAATCCAAGGGCCACACTCAGGGTGGGAAAAAACTGAATAAGTATGACATTTAATGTATTGAATTTACACACAGTCTTGAAAACATTATGTACAGGAGACTCATATCCTATCATTTAACACTGTCCATGTGGTTTGAAAGAGCAAGACTCAGCAACAAAATCATAAAACTAGACAGAAGGCGGCAACGAACAAAGAAGAGGAAAATTAATGGAAACGTAGAGGGAGGAAATTGGAGAAGTAACCAATGCAAGGCATTAGGTTGAAGAATAAGGCCCACGGGTTTGAAATATAAAAGATTTTAGAATAAAAAAAAAAAGAGAAACAACACATTACAAAAGAAAAATATATATATATGACAAACATCAAAGTGAATACAAAAATACAAGATAGAGATATTTAATCTCAGCTGCTGCAATATAATCATACCCCTGCCATACCCTTAGGTCACGATAGGGCTGCTAGCCCAAATGACAGCCTTTATTGTGTTACATGTTTATAATGGAGCATTATGGGATTTGTGATCAAATAATATTTAAAGTATCCAAGGTTGACCATTCTTGGTTTAACATTTTCAGTGACTTTAAAAACGGATCCTCTAAATAATGGGGCTGTTTACTAATGTGTTCCAGTTGGACTTTGGTTATGGTTTTTACAGTTCTGTGAATAACCACTATTTTCCAAGAACTGCTATGCTTAATGTCTTTATTTAGGCAAATATTGTACAGTCTCGGTATGTTTACGGTGCTATTTTTTGGTAAAAAGACTGAATCGTTTTTCTTTTTTCTCCGGTTTGCTCTCAGTCGTAGATGTTGATGGTAAAGGTAGGCTTTGGGATTTTGGTTTTACGTCTGATGTCTCCATAATCGCTGTTCTCAAAACCTGTATCCATGATTGGCGCTCATTCTGTTGAGAGAATGTAAAAATGGTTAAAAAGAATGAATAAAAACAGAACATTTTTAAATATATATATAATTATCTAGAAACTATTAGTTTTAAACTTGGTAATAGTATTTTATGTAACTTTGGATGGAATTCCTCACCCGCTTTTTATTAAAAAAAATGTAATCCCTTTTTTTTTTTATTCATAATTAAATTGTTTATCATTATATTTCTTTTTCATATTGTTAATATTGTGTTTTCTTCTAATTGATCAATAAACTATTAGTTTAGTGTTACCTGTTTCACATATTTGATATCCCTTATCAAACCAGTGTTTTTTTTTCTAACTATAAAAATAAGTAATAAAGAGTAAATGGTAAATGCAATGAAGGTTGAGATACATTTATATATATATATATATATATATATATATATATATCAATGCGAGTATTATTAAGATAACACTTCAGATATAGAGCATTCAATAGATATTAGGATTTTTTTTCTATTATTCTTCACTTTTTATATGAATACAATAGGCATACGTTACTTCATTTTTTAGTAGTTATTTTGTATATATGTTTATTTCATAGATACTTATATACAGTATATCCAACTTACCATTAATAAGGTATTACTAGAAATATTGGTTAAGTAACATACAGAGTACATATTAGGGTTATTTGCCACTTCTGTAATATAGTATTACCTTAATGAGTAGCATATTTTTAGTTTAGTTTGTATCCAGTATCTCCTTTATATTGCAGAATGATATTGTGCCTTTAATTCCACAACATCTGACTACCACTATGGTGGAATGCACATGGAACGCATACGTCAACATGTGGAACCCATATGTCAGCACATGGAAGGCATATGAAATAGGCCAAATAAATTTCAAGTCATGAACTGATACACACACCCCGGGAGGCATTGTTTATCAAATTCAGCTGAGAGGGGAGTGGAAAGAAGAGCAAGGAGGATCCATCTATTCAGAATTACATGGGATTAGGTGCGCACCCCCAGGAGGAGGTAGCAACTCCCTGGAGGACCAATGGAGTTGAGGAAGCTGCAATTTAAAAGAGGGCCTCGGCAGGTGGGTTATGGCATTTTTGATGGTTTGTGTTTTAACTACTGATCCCTGAGGAACCAGTAGCTACAAGGTCACAGGACATCCCAGGAGAGAGGAAATGCGTAGGACCTATATTTAGTTTTATTGTCTTTTAATAAAGCAGTTTCTTTTTACATCTACACCTTGCTGGAGTCCCTTGTTTCTACCAAGCTGAACAGACTTTCCAACAAGCAAAGTGGAGAAATCTGGAGGGAAATTGGCCCTCCGTATTTCGGGGAAAGCACCCTTTGTATGCTATAACATCAGTGCAATCTAATTTGGCGCAATACTGCATTCATAAATTGTATTACACAATGCTCTTTTTGTTTTGCTTTGGTTACAGCGGAATCCCTTAATATATTTTGTGTATTTCACAGTTGTGTTTGATGAATTGTAAAGTATTTCCTATTATGTTTGAGAATTTTTTAACAACACATATTATTATTATTATTGCCATTTATATAGCGCCAACAGATTCCATAGCGCTTTACAATATTTTAAGAGAGGGGATGTAACAATAAATAGGACAATTACAAGAAAACTTACAAGAACGATAGGTTGAAGAGGACCCTGCTCAAACGAGCTTACAGTCTATAGGAGGTGGGGTATAAAACACATTAGGATAGGAAATAGCAATCAGGAGACAGGTATGTGAAGCAGAGGTTAGTCTGGGAGGCTATAAGTTTTCCCAAAGAGATGGGTTTTAAGGCATTTCTTAAACAATTGAAGACTAGGGGGGAGTCTGATGGGGGTAGGCAGGCTATTCCATCGGTAGGGAGCCGCTCGCGAGAAGTCCTGCAAGCGTGAGTTGGTCGTACGTGTGCGAGCAGCAGACAGGAGAAGGTCACGGACAGAGCAGAGAGCATACAATTATTCTAGATATTTAGTTAGTTTCTTGAGTGCCTCTTTTAAGATATTCCACCAGAATTGGTCTTGTTCATAATCCTTTGTAGACTTTGGATTACATTGTTTGCCTAGGACTACTTTTTTTTAACTTTCACAAAGATGCAACATGCTTTCTTAATAGGACCACACTGGCTGTAATATGTCCTGCATAAACAAAAAAGAAAGCAATGCCCTCCAATAGTTGGAGTGTTTCTAGAGAGAATAAAAGAGCACTACAGGATTCCATTTCACTAAACCCCTGGGGTGCTCAGTTAATGTCCAGATCTATATTTAGTAGCTGGCACCGTTTGGCACTCAAACAATACTGACACATTTTCCGTGGTTTTCCAATTGGTGAGATCAAAAGACTGTATTACAGTAAACAGTGAATATGTACTTCATTAAATGCCCCACAGCAGGGCCGGATTAAGAGCCCATTGGGCCTGGTGCTGACAATTATGATGTGCCTAAATAGAGAATCATATATATAGAAAACACTAAAACAGTCATACCTCCCACGTCTCTTATATCTGTTGGAATTGATGTCGGAGGGAAACTCAAAGTATGCATTTATAAGAATACACATGCTGTATGCTAATCTCTCGCTTTCATCCCTCAATCTCTCAACCAAATCCTTACCTCCCCCCACCCCCAACATCAGCGTCCTGTGAAGCGGGACATCCGTGGGTGAGGTAAAAAAATGTGGGCCAGTGTCTTGAATCACGTCACTGGTACCACCCAAAGAGAGTCTCGTGAATGCATGCCAGGTTGCTTGCCAATTATGCATGCTGGCCAACTAAAGACAGATAATACATACAATGTTTTAGTGCCTAGTGCACAAACGCATCTTGCTCTATGCTTTCTGGGGACAGTTCCCTGGTGTCCCCCAGCAACCCACTTCTCTCTTTCCCTTTATACTAGCATGTAAAAGCTACTAATATGCAGTCTGGGACAGAGAAATAGGTGAATGTAGTAACAGAAAGGGGACATGCCACACTGCCAGAGAGACCGAAGCAGCAACAATACCTTAACCAAGATATAGTCAGTAAGTTGACACAAGCTTTATTCCACTTCATCCCCCTTAAGTTCCCATACTTATGTACTCTCTCGTATGTAGCCTCTGTACAAAGTAAGAGTAGTAAGTAAATAAATACATATATATATATTATTTTTTATTTTTTTTAAGTTATCAATATGCCTGTTGGATGGGCATGGGCCTGGAGCTTCAGCTCCATTAGCCCCTATGTTAATCTGACCCTGCCTACAAGAACTTCATCTACTTTTGGTTCATGCGAGTCTTTCCCTTTAGGTTTTTACTAATAAGAACTGATATCATACTAGATAATCTATAACCTACGTACCTCATCCTTTCCTTGAAATAGCCATTCGTTGCCATCGCTCAGCCTGAAAACAATGAACATTTGTTGATTAATATCAAAGAGATATCGTTTACACATAATTATTAATTTTAACATATAATTATTCAGAATTTGGAATATAGATCCCAAGTTAAAATAGATGGATGGCTTCATTAAAATAAAATAATAAAAAAAGAGACATACCATGGGTCGTTAGACGAAAAAAGCAAAAGCGGACAGAAGCTCCCAAGGGAGGGATATAGGAGACATGCTGAGGAACTCGCAGCAGGCCGCGTGGTCTAAAATCTTGAGTTGGTCTGCTGGGGACCCGGTCACTGCAGACCAACTCAAGATGATGCTGGCGGAACTCCGCAAAGACCTAGCGACTGACATGGCCTGCTATAAAGAAGCTATTGAAGGGGCCGCATTAAAAATCTCACAATTAGAGGCCTGCTCGAATAAACATGAAACTAGAATTAGCAAGGTGGAACAGGAGGTAGCAGATCTGCCACAACAGCACCTAACCACATTGGATAGGCTGGACGCTATTGAGGATCAGAGACGGCGATACAACTTAAAAGTCAGGGGGAGGGGGGGGAGCTACCGGTTGAGCTGACAAGACGCATGGCACCCAAGCTCCGGCAAAGCTGCTCTACAAAAGCCTCACGGCTCACCCAAAAAGCCTCCAGAGACCGGCAAATCACTTACGGAGGATACACCAAGCAATGGGGAAGCACTCCAAAAAACCATGAGGGCAAAACACGGGCCACACACAAGATATTGGGCAGCTCCTGTCCCAAGCATGTAGGCCCAAGATGGCGGACGCCTACCACGACATGGGGATGGAGTCACTTTCGGCATCGGACGATGAATACCTTGGTGACATACCAACCCAGATACCCCAACGGAGGCTGCAGAATGCACCACCGAAACAACTAGACCACCAACTAGCCACTAAGGTCGACTTGTCAGGGATGGTGACAGACCTCAAGGCCTTTTTCGCGGCAGAACTCGCAGGCCTCAAGTCTGAGCTGAATACACTCACGGGCCGCATACAAACTGCAGAAGCTGGGGTCCAAGACCTGAAAGCTCAGCAAGAAGCTACCGCCACTCAAACGCTGGAACTAACAGCCATGTGCACGCAGAAGAACGCCCGAATGGGGCAGCTGGAGGATGCAGCAAGGCAAAAAAACCTCAAGGTGAGGGTGATCCCAGACACCGTAACAACAGAGGAACTACCGCACCTCATTAAGAGACTGCTCCAGGCCGCCCTACCACCCAAACAGGCAAAAAGCATAACCTAGACGGCCTATTTCGCATACCGGGACGCCCACGCAACGCACCTGACTCCGTAAGAGATGTCATATTAAACTTCAAAACCCGCGCAGATAAGGATGGCTTTCTCAGGGCCATCAGGGGCCAGACCCCATTTGCATTTGAAGACCTCAACCTGAACTTTTATCAAGACCTCAGCCGCCAGACACTACAATGGCGTGCATCCTTAAAAGAAACCACGGCACAACTGAGAACAGCAGAGATACCATACAAATGGGGCTACCCAAGGCTTCTTATCGCCACGCGAGATGGGCAAAACAACCGACTAGCATCACCGGAGGAGGCTCCACAATTTCTGCAGGCGTTGGGCATCCAACAGAAGGCAGGGGCCAAGACAAGACTTCCACACAAGTAGGACGTAGCTAACGTTCCGGACTTTACCCCTGCGGGACAGATAACACCAGCTGGACAGGGGCCAGTGCAGCCCCAGGACACTTGAACCGACTGAGCAGCCGTCGGATGAAGAGACATTGCAACCAAACCCCCCATCCTGGTGTTGACACATGTTGGGCGAGTTGGAGCCTGGCTCCCACATCTACGTATTATGCTTTGCTTTGTTGTGTTTGTTTTTCTCCTTTTTTTTTTTCTCTTGGTCTTCTACTTGATTTACTTATGGTTTAGTATCAACAACCTAATATCTCATCGTGTAGACGGATATCCTACATTAATGAGCCATTATACTTATAGTGTCATTAAGCCCATGGCACTAATGTCACGAAACCCCACACATCAGCCCGGCGGATGGCTTACCTCCCCCCCCCAGACTCCGGGGTTAAGGAGTCATAAAACCGTGTCACTTACCACTATTGCCTCTAGCCGCTATAGCGCGCACGCCCCTAGAGCTTGTCCCCACCCCAAGCTAAGGAGGACGGGGGCAGTTGACAACACGGCCATACAGGCCACCAGAAGCGGCACAGGCAAGGTTACACCACCTAATATTTTTTAACCTGTTACATATTCACCTCTAGTTCTTGTAACACTCATGAAAAAAATTATAAAATTGTCCTACTACATGCTTTAGTATGTCACACTGCTGTTTAACTATGTATTTAACTACTGTGCACGCAGCTGTTGTTGTGACACTACCTGCTTCTGTGTTTAACTTGCACTTTAAAAAAAAAAAATCAGGGGGATTCTTCGGTCGACATCACTGACTTACCCCACTACGTACGCCGTTTCATCGGAGGCTTGCTCCCACCAAAGCAGGCGAAAGCCCTGAAGCTAGATGGTCTGTTCCGGCTACCAAAGCCTGCTAGAGTGCCGGCAACAGCAACAGCTGACCCGGTTCTCAGATTTCAAACCCTCTCGGACAAAGACACACTTTTAGCCGCTCTTTGAGGGAAAACTCCTATACCGTTCAAGGGCTCCTCAATCACAGTCTTCCCAGACCTCACCAGGAGTACCCTAACATGGCTGAAGTCGCTACAACCTCTCCTGCAACACCTCCGTGCCAAAGAAATTCCCTACAGATGGGGAACACCACGAGTTGTCATAATCACACATAACGGGACTACCCACAGAGCACAGGGATACCAGGAGCTGGAAGCGCACTTGCAATCAACGGGTGTTTGGTGTGCCCCACCGCCGATGGGAACAGGACTGTCCAGGCTAAACATAGCCACCATCCCGGAATTTACCCCGAGAGGGAAACAACGAGCCTCACCTAACAGACCACCCACTTGAGGGAGCGGAGGCTGAACCACCCAATGGGACTTTGTATGCCACTATTATTTCACACCGTATCCACCACAGTTAAAAAATGCTTTATTTTAAATGTATATATGTTATTAGTTTCTCAGTTCTAAGCAGAATAGCTTGTATGTGACCACCCAAGCAGTTGCTCAAACGAACGCTACAAATACAGAACAGAGGGAGAGCATTAGCACTCAGTAAGGGCTGCTACACATACCACACCGCCTAGTAACCACTATTGCTCACCAATCCACCCTCCCCCCTCTCCTTCCGGGTAACCAACTCTAATGTACTACACGCATAGCCTAGGGGAAGGAGGCAAAACCCTGTCATGGATCTCACCAAGCTGACTCACACTCTTAACACACCCACAAGGGGCTCACTGGCTGACTTCTCTTAATAATGTCTTGTATTATGTACTTATAAAACACAAAATGTGCTATGTTAACAAATGCCGACAATTGTACTCTAAATGTTGAAAGTTAAGCTAGCGATAGCTGTTGGGGCATTGCTTGCATACTTGTACCTTACATGCACGATTAAATAAAGAATTTAAAAATAAATAAATAAATTTAAAAAAAAAAATTAATGGTGTTAGCAATGTTACTTACCGTAGCCTAAAAATATTCTTTTTCTTTTTATAGTCTGCCACGGTTTCACAAGTTGCACTGCTGAGTACCAGTGGATCTTCACCTTGCAAGGATTCATTCATAGCAAAACTTTTAGCATCTTTATAGAAAAATAAGTCATAATTCTTTAGCACACAATACACTGTTGTCCATGACCTGCATGAGAAAAAAAATACAATCACTATTATATAGCATACATGAATAATATATATATATATATATATATATATATATATATATATATATTTATAGCTCAGTGCATTTGTTCACTTTACAAGAAACAAGTATTTGACATCCCTGTTAAAGAAGCACTCCGAGCACCATAATCACTACAGCACATTGTAGTGGTTATGGTACCAGGAGTGCCCTCGTGCCCCTTTCCCCTCTTGTAAGTAGTCAAACAGTTTGGTAACAGTTTTTCTTCTTACCTGGGGTCCGACAGGTGCTGCTCTGTACCTCCCTGCACCTAGCAAAAGCTTCTGGTTCTCAGCACTGGAAAGGGAGAGGCATGGAGCAGTGCCTTGCAATCACCACATAAGCAGTAAAAACAATTAAAGGGACACTCCAGACCCCTAAAGCACTTTAGCTTGCTAAAAAAAAAAAGCATTATGTGTGAAAACTGTGTCCTCTTTTTTAATTTTACAAAAAGTGCAGATTTCAATAGAAATTGACACTTTTATAAAGTTACCTTGTTACACCCACCTGGCTGTCAATCAGACAATTGGTCATGCAACTTCCTGGTTGTTTAGCTCAGTGGAGCTGAACTCAAGAGGCAGCAATTGCCCAGAGCACCTGCCTTGGAAAGATTTCTTACTGAACTGCATTGGGAAGTCTGTGATTGGACAGCCACAGAAAATCTGGGCGGGGTTAGAAAGAGAGGATTTGCAAAGGCTACAGACAAGAGAACTGTAGGTTTTACAATCAAAGAATGCATAATTAAATGCATGCACGCTTTCATTTTGGTTATATGTACTAAACAATGATTTCTATTTATTATGGATTAGGACAGTGGAGTGTCCCTTTAAGAAATGGTTTTACAAGTTACACTGGGGTGGGAGGTTACCAAGGCACCACAGTCACCATAATTACTACAGCACACTGTAATGGTTATTGTGCTCGGAGTGTTTGTTTAAAGCACCTCACTTCAATGAGAACGTATATTGCTCTTTGGGATGTGTGTGAATTCATTAGAAAAGGTTTGAAATCCTTTATTTGGATTGATTTAATAAAGAAACACATATTTTGATATGATGGTACACAGACTTAACCAAACAGAAAAAAAACAGGTCTTATAAGAAAACAAATTCAAGGAACAGGCATCGCATATATTCATTTTAGGTCGCACTTGATTATCCGGTTACTGTGAATTAATTTTAAAATGGCCATTTTACAATAGAGGGAGTTATAAAATAATTAATTTCAAGTGAAAAAGCGGGGGGAAATATCTAAAAGTGGAGCAATCACCATATAAATAAGTAATATATTTATGCAGATACCATTGGTTGCCATGGTGATTGTTCAATGTTTAGAACTTTCCCATGGTCCGACTATTGGCACGTTTATACGTCTTTTTCAGAGTGTGTTATCAGAGCTAGATGAGGATTACATGCTGGTTTCTTGGAATACTACAGGACATAAATATTAAATAAATGTGTCCTTTTGAAAAAAATAATTGTCTTTTTCCCATTTGAAGAGAGTACTTACCTGCTTGCTGCCTTTTTGAGTGGCCCTTGGAGGTCATGTTTTCGTGCTAGATATCCTTGCATTTGAATGTTAGTAGAATGTCCAATCTCTGCTGGGAGAGTGGACACATGTTCTTCTGTTCTGCTCCCAGATGCCTGCTCTTGTTCAGTCCTGCTCGTAGATGGCTGCTCTTCTTCAGTCCAGCTCACAGATGTCTGCCATTCTTCAGGCCTGCTCACAGAGGTCTGTCCTTCTTCAGTCCAGCTCACAGATGTCTGCCATTCTTCAGGCCTGCTCACAGATGTTTGTCCTTCAGTCCAGCTCACAGATGTCTGTCCTTCAGTCCAGCTCACAGATGTCTGCCCTTCAGTCCAGCTCACAGATGTCTGCCCTTCAGTCCAGCTCACAGATGTCTGCCCTTCAGTCCAGCTCGCAGATGTCTGCCCTTCTTCAGACCTCCTCGCAGATGTCTGCCCTTCTTCAGACCTTCTCACAGATGTCTGTCCTTCTTCAGTCCTCCTCGAAGCTGGCTGTAAAATACTGTAATCTGTCTGTTCTGTAATTTCTGTCTCATGTACTTCCTTTTGTATTTTCCAGTCATCTTTATCCTGTGTTTCAGCACTTTTTTTAACATCTTCTACCTATTGCAGACATAAAAACATAGAAAGCATGTATGTTTTTTAGTCCAATGGAGGCAGAATTGTGGTTCATGATATGCAAATAATATGAATCAAAAGAGGGTTGCACTCAATGACAAAAATACACACAGTCTCAGGCACTCACTGTGATATGTTCAAAGCAGTTTTAATGGATCCGCAACGTTTCGAACTGCACCCAGGTCTTTAACAAGCTTGATAAAGACCTAGTCACAGGTCGAAACGTTGCGGATCCATTAAAACGGCTTTAAACATATCACAGTGAGTGCCTGAGACCTTTTCTTATATGGAAATAATATGAATCTGAATCTAGTTGTGCATTCTTCTTGGAGTTCACATTCACATGACAAATAAAGGCTAATTTCTAGCGAGAAAATAACAATTATCAGAGGTATTTACTAAGGAGAGATTTCAAAGTGAATTTCAAATTTTAAGGCCACATTAGGCAAACTGGAAGCATATCTGACTTAGAGAATGTTACTGGTTTGACTACTTTTACTTTGAACTCTCTCTTTAGTAAATAGATATACTATATGTGTATATCCATCTGTCCTTCCCCACTATCCTCTAAGTATTTCCTCTCTGTTTGAAGACTAAATCTGAGGGGTTTTCTCGGTGCCCCTGTCTGTCACTAACATCATTAAAAGAACACTGAAAATGTAAAAAAAAAAACTATTTACAAATTCTATATATGTACAATTAATATCAATGCCTATATTTATATCTGACTTCAATACCAGAAAAACGTTAACACAGTCAATGCTTAATTCAGCCCCAGATGGCATCAAAGCAGCAGGATGAGACCATAAATACCACAAGACATAAATTAATATTTGTTATCCCGAAAGCTATTGTAATGCAATGCATGAACTCACTTCAACGGGTACTTCAAGTCCTCGACTCTCATGTATTTCCACCTGCGTTCTGTCGTCATCATGTTGGAAGCTAAAAATAACAAAAAAGCCAATAAATAATGACTTGAACCTATGTAGTTGCCATATTGTTTCCAGAAAACAAATAATGTAGTAATATGAAACTATTTAGTATTGAAGCTCTTAAAATCTGCATTTATCATGAACATTGATTCAACATAATTGCAAATCTGCTTTGCTTTACTTCTGTATTGACAATATCTGTATTGTCCAGCCTGGTTCCTTCTTAAATGTACAACATGTATTTAGGAATTAACATCAGAATCCAATTCAAACCTGGAAAAACCAGGGCACACATTGCACTGAGGGAGGAGAAACTCAAAAATTGGTTGCTTGTGTCCTTCTCTTGCTATGCTCTCTCTATAATGACTTACAAGTGTAAATACCAGAACCTGTAATGGTTATTGAAAAGGAGCCTAGAAGATGGTGCCAAGTTCAAGGATAGAGAAGTTACATGGCTGACATGTTACATGAGACATGTGTTCCTCATGTTCAGCTTTTCACGCATCTGTTTTTCACCACAATAAGGCAATAAACTCAGTCTGAAATGTTTCCAATTTCGCAACAAACTAGGGGGAAAAAAATCCTCCTTGACACCAGAACGGCAATCAGGTCGCTCCTTGGTTTAATCAGCTATTAGCCCACATATTAAAAATGATATCCCTGAATTGTGTTTGCAAGTATTTATCCAATTGCATTAATTGCTGTTTAAACATCTGTATGGACTCTGACAAAACCACCTCTTCAGGCAGAGGATTCCTCATCCTTATTGTTCTTACTGTGTATATCTTTATTTTGCCTTTGATAAAATCTCCTTTCTTTCCGAATATATTTGTATAATGCTATAATATTTTCTCTGAGGTGCCGTTTTTCCAAACCAAAGAGATTTACATTTGTTACCTTTTCTTCATAACAAAACGTACATTAGTGTTAGTGTGGATTTCTACATTTAATTTTAATTTCAAACCTCACAAACAAATATTTGTTATGGGTATAGAGGGTATAAGTGAACATAAAGGGACACTTCAAGCGCAATGTCCACTGTAGTGTGTTATGGTGGTTTTTGTAACGGAACTGCCCTGATGGTTTGATTTCTTATCTGAGGTCTACCAAACGCCCCTCCCCGCTTCCACTACTAACACACAAGATCCGAAATTTTGTAGGCAGGAGCTTCCGTTAGCTCCCCTGAGTTATGCCGTGCAGTGCACGGAGAGCTCTCTGTTGGAAGAAGTGAAGATGAGAAGCGGGGCCCGGCAGATTCCTTGTACAAAGTCAAACTGTTCAAAAAAACAGCTTGCTTCCTTACATTGGGAAGAAGGGTGCTATGGCCACCGAAAGCATATTGCCACCTCTAATGGTTACGGTGGTTGGAGTATTCTTTTAAATCAACACCAGTGAAACATATTTACCGTTTAATTACATCTGTAATAATATGAAACAAATATATATTTTTTGATTACTGCCATGGGAATCAATAAACAGCAGATTTTTTTTCTTAAGGCTAATAACAGCAGATTTGGAAAACTTCAACTTTTCCTGCACGTCAAGGCTCTCAGTGCTTTTAGCCCCATGGAACCATGCTGTTGCCAATGTATTAATCTTGAATTCCGTTTAACCTACCTTGTCTCCATGTGGTACAATTCTCTTTCATCAGCCATCGCCATTTTCTGTTTTTGAGCTTCCTGATATTTCCTTATTTCCATCAATTCCAACTGAAAGAATACAATTTTCAATAAATGCTAAGTGCTAATTTTAAGATACTGCAGTACTTTTAAGCATCACTTTATGGTGAAAATGTCAGATTTAGAAAGTTCAAACGTGGGTCTTCATTTAATATTTTGGTAAGCTTTTCAAATGAATATGATCTGTTAGAAAAACTTTTTTAATTACTTATCTACAGAAGTCACCATTAACATATATGGGAATTTTTTTAGATAAATAATTTGAAATGTTTTTATAGTAGAAATATAGAACTCTAAAGTAACTTCCATTATTATACTATGTCTACATAAAGATATCTAGATTTGCCAAGAACCGTATAGGGATGGTGATGGAAAAATAAGGGTATAGACAGGTGGGTTAATAGCTAGAAAAAGGTTTCCATCACATAGGATAAGAGGCAGAAGGAAAGAGCCATTAAATAGTCATTTGCATCCAGCTGAGATTAGAAAGCAACGTATCCTAGCATTCCAAAAATTAAAGAAGCTGGGTGCCCAAACCCACATAAATTAATTATGTTAGAGGCTCAATCTGTAAACAGGGACAAACATGGCTGCTGCCGTGTTCTCTAAATTTTAAGGGCCATTTTTTTGCTCTGTTTAGGTAAAAACAAATGTAATAGATGGAAACAATAAAAATAGCAGAAGACCTTAGGTGCTACAAACCTTTAAGATAACACTGGATGCAGTTAATTAAATCATATGGATCATTAAGGCATTATTAAGGCATCCCTGTGATTTTCCCCATGGATAACACCAACTATAATTATTACGATGTTAATGTAATGTTGAACTATTGTGCCTCAAACTTACTGTTGTCAGTCTCTCAAGAGCTGCAAATCTTTCCTCCCATGTTGCAGTAGATTTCTCTAGAGCTTCGTGTCTTTTCAATAACTTTTCTACATCGTCAATGCTATTTCCAACCTGGGTGGTGGACAGGTAAGGTTCCTTCGATATTAGCCAGGCTTCCGCCATGGACGCATCTCTGGCAAATTGACAAACCTCTAGCACTGAAACAAACAACATGCAGTCATGAAAAAGCTGTATTTTGAACCTTACAACTGTAGTGCAAAACCTGGTACTCCTGCCTACAAAGAGACATGACTGTTTTTAGAAAATTAATGACTCTGGTGAATACTAAACCCTTAATTTAGGTAGCGATAGTGATGTAGCCAAAACCTCTCACAATATAAATCTTGTAAGCATTTTGTAAATTCATTGATCTCCTTGTTCCTTCCAAGAATGGTTGGTTTTTGTCCACTCACCATAACAGATACCTAAAATTGGATATAAAATATAAACCTGGATACACGTCATCATTTCCTCCCTAGTTTAGCTTCGTAAGCCGACTTCTTCTTTCAGCTGTCATTTTTAGAATCCCCAGTTGTTTGTTTTGCATGTTTTCTGTGAAGGTATTTGAAATCTAGTCTTGCAATAGCCATATATCTACTATCTGCAGCTCCTGTATGTCCCCTCCCGACTTCTTCCAGTTCAATGAGAAATCTCTGCAAGGCAATGCTTATGGCTCCACTGAGCTAAAAACAAACAAACCAGGAAGTACCACGACTGGTTGTCTGATTAAAAGGCACAGGTATAACAAGGTTCATAACATTTGCCAATTTCCCATAGCAACAATTTGTTTTATAACTGCACTTTTATGAAAAGAAAAAAAGAGGACACAATCTTCACAGCTGAATTGCTTTATGTGTTTATGGTGTTACGTAGAGATAGAACTACAGAAAAACCATCTATAATAATGGATCATTTTGCTGGCGATAAAGTAGAGCAGTAATATGAGTGATCAAACTCAAGATAAACGCTGTTAGAAACATTGTTTAAATATCTTGAATATAAGACTTTTTTTAAATTAACATAAAGTACCACATTCCCAGGATGTCTATTTGCAACTCACATAAGCGCAGCCAATCCCAACGCTTGTCCCATTTCTCCACCATTTCAGCTCTTTTTTCTGCTAGCTGTTCCAACCTCTCTTTTATCTGTTTAGTAGGAGAAAAAAACATATATATATTTCCATAAGTGTTAAAATGGATTGAATGATTCTGGTAACTGATGAATATATGATTGGAGCTGAATGTAACAATCTATAGAAACTGTCTACTTATCTAATTGTCTATCCGGCCTTTTGAATCTTACTTATCTTTATGGACACTCCAACCACCAGAACTACTACAGCTTGCTGTGCTGGTTATGATGCTTGGAGTGTTCCTGTAAAGTAATACATAAACTTGGATATTCAAATAAAGTCTCTTTCTTGACTGTTTGGGCAACTTTCAAAATTGTCACCTCTGTATTATCTGCAGGTCTTCTACGATACAATATTCCTTTACGTACCTCTTGAGAAGCAGGGTGATTTCTATCAAGCAGGGTATGGCCCAGGTCAACACAATTGGCATAGTTTGCATTCCTAGCTTCAATTTCTGCTCTGAGGTCTTGATGGTATTTTATCAGAAACTCAACAGATGATATATCTCTGCAAGACAGAAAGCCATCCAAGTACACACATAACGCAGTAAATCGTTTTTCTAGGACTGTCATCATCAAAACAATAAATATGCTCATTTGAATGTCTATATATCCAGCAAACATTTCTTTGAGGCAGGTGTTACGAAATAGCATGTTCAAGAGCTTGAGTTTGTTAACTGGGTGAATTCATGTATATGACCATTTGCAACAGTGGGACAATTACCACCAATGGAATGTTGCCTGCTTAACCCTGACACCTGGTGTTCCATATAGAATGCAACCATCATCCACTGAGCTCAGAGCCGAACATGATGCGCTGACAAAAGTTTCATAGGCTACAACACTAGAATAGGTGCTCTGTGGACTTTTTATTATTAAGGGACTTCCTTCTTTTTATGTAGTTTTTATTCCTTTTACAATAAAGTATATGGTTACCCCTTGAACCTGCGTTTCCTGGTGGTGCATGGAACAGAACTACAAGAAAGGACCCAGTGAAAGCCCAGAGAGAGTTTGTGATTCAAGGCATGCAAGTTTGAGCCAGCTTTTGAAGTGGCTCTTGTTATGTGAGTGCGACCAGTAATTGAGTCTCCAATTGTTTGTTATTACGTTATTACCCTATGTTCTCTTTTTATCTGTGTTTACTTCCAGATGATAATCCAGTTTGGGTAACTGTATCGTAATTATTTTATTTGAGTGCTCTCACCATTTGTATTTTTATTTTCACTTGTGTTTATTTAGTGGTTTCTGTGGCTCCACTAAGGTGATTGTAGCACCTTTTCTGTTAGGACTTTTTCACCAGTATATTTTATTGTTATTTACAACACTAGAATGATGACATATTCTTACAGTTCATGAACAGTTCAAATATACAAATTTACCATGCCCCATTTTTATTTGTTTTAGAAGAAATACTGTGTGAACACTGCTCTTTATTAAATTAAGTGTCATAATTAGAAAGAAATAAAAAAAAGTCCATTGTGAAATGGGGATAGGTTTGTGTGAAACTGGGTGTCAATTAGAGTAAATGTTTGGAACAATTTTTCGCCAACACTTGCCTTTTTTATGGCACTCCAAAATAATACAACTTGTGTAGTGTGCTTTAAGGTAGACCCTTCCTTTCTGTGAATTATTAACAGCATTATCTTTACCTTGGCTTTTCTTGTGTTTCAATCTGTCTAATCATGCTTTCCATCCAAACCATTAAATCCCGAACCATGCTAAAAAATCGAAATTTCTCAGATGCACTTATTAGCTCAGTGCGGCGCCCATCACAAGCATCCAAAAGTCCTTTCCATGCGTCAACAACCTCTTTCTCCTTTTTCTGTATATCGACAGCTTGTTGTCCAGCATAGGCAGCATTTAGACGTACAGCCGTGTCTTGGAAAAGCTGAACCTGCAATGACAGATAATAAAAGTAAGCCAATCTTATTTCAAGGAAAAGAATACAACTAATGAGGTCGGACGGCTCCCTATGGTACTCCAGGTGTTCCTTTAAATAATTTGACAAAAAAGAAAACACCCTTCTTGGCCACAGATGTAGACACAGAAACCCCCAAAAAGTTATAAAATCAAGAGCTCTTGATAAAGGCGGATAGTTACGGCAACACGCGCGTTGAGCCTATGTGCCGATGCACTAATACGAGATTTACTTGATTTTATAACTTTTTTTGGTTTGTGTGTCTAAGGATGGGGTTATTTACTTATACGGTTGAGAGATACTACCATTTATTTTCCTGGGGCCATGATTTACTGAGTCTAGATTTAACCTCAATAAAGGGGGGTGGCTGCCTCAAAGCAGCTGTACTCTAGGGTAGATGGGTCTGGATAACGTAGTTTCGCTCCAGCTTCATGTATAGGTAAATACATCTACACCCTAGCCATGTTATTACTTTACTCCCCCTTCCTTCCCCAATACCACCTTCACGCTCTGTGTCTCTGCTGTTAAGAATTACCAATTAGGACTATATCACTTTGATTTATGTTTAAGTATTTTGTTTTACTCCTGCATCTAACATCGACTTTAGATAAATGTTCTATATGAAGTAATACTTAAACCAATAAATTGTGAGCTACTAGTACCTAGGGCTTCCTAAGGGTTACACCAGTATCGGGTATCAAGTTAACCTCAGGACGTTTCCTGTATAAACCACAGAATATACCGCAGTATTGTGGGTATTGATGGAATTTATTTAATTTGTTCTTTTTCTATCTCTGCCAGCTATGCAACTAATTATAGCCACAGGATTTTCCTGCATAAACGAGAGCCTTTAAATTATATCTATTTACTCAATTTAACCCCTGGGAGTTTAAGTACTTCCCAACAGGATTTCTTTGTAGACCTGTGGCTATTTGTGACTACCCTAGAGGTGGATTGTTGTTTTAAGTGTGTAGTGCTTCTCCCTTCTAATACTATATCCCGTTCACTGGAATTTGATACATGTTTTTGATACATACCAATCTGGGATATAGTTTAAATTCGATTTTAGTAGCTCACACGGTTTCTATTTATGACTATAATTGACACTGTTCTATGTAGGTTTCCCCTCCTTTTTAATTGATAGTGATTATCACTTTTCACTTTTTGTTGTGGTACCTATTTTGTATGTCAATTTATAATAAATAAAGTTTATGTTACACAGTCTCCATTCCACAGACTGCTTATATTGTTAATGTACAATTCGGTTATTGAAACCCTGTTTAACAGCCTGCAGGCCAGGCGAACGGACTATACAAACTGTTTTAAAGCTTCATTCGTCGGTACGAATGACCAACCACCCAGCCCTAGGCGTGTGCCGCCACTTAACCCCGTCACCCCGCAAAGAACCGAACGGCCACCCTGCGAGCCAAGGGTGCTGCTTATATACCTGCCCTCAGGCATTGCGGTTTGTGGTTAACCGCAGGTTAAGGGCCCCTCCGGGGTGGGCTCCATTTGCACCACGAACGGATGGGACAACCAGACAGGTAGCGGGGATTTGCATAAACTTACACCCGGCCTCCGTTCCATGCATTTACAGTCGAGGTCCCGCTGGCCATTGATGGACCCAAAAACATGGCCGCCATCGAGAGCCTAGAAACCTACAGCCGAACAGATTTTCATACGGGGAAATCTCGTCCTCTGTTCGTGGGAACAGAGCGCCGTTCGCATCCTCAATACATCTAACGGAGAGCTACCGAATGATATGTAGAAGGAACTATATTCTCTATATAATGGCTGAGTTATGTATTTTTATGTTGTTTTCTGGTTCATAATAAAGCATGGTCGTTTTGGGCGCTTGGAGATAATTAGATTGTATAACCGTTGGCCTCATTATCTCCAAGCTGGGCGGGTACAAGTTTGAATGATACACTGTGTTATGATTGGTTATGTACTTGTACTGTACCTGTATCCCGTCAGGTCCATGGGGGACTGTCCCTGGACCTGGGGACTTGCATAAATTGCCATGCTTGTGTGCCAGTAAAGCCAGTTCGTGTTTGACCCTCAACTTGCAGCCTCGACTCGTGTTGTAGGAATCCGGGAATATTAACGCTTTCTTTGCTATGGGGATATTCTACACTTTCAGCTCCTACCAAAGGGAACCACGTTCGACTCTCTGATTTCGGGAACCAGGACATCCAAGCGATCAACCCCCCTGCTAGACCGGGGGCAATCGTAACAGTTTACTACCTATAAGATGATTTTTTAATTTAGAGGTAATTCCGGTGGGGTACAGCGCCTCCCTTTTTCTAGGGAGTCGTCTGACCTCATTAGTTGTATTCTTAGTCTATTTGTATAATTAAGGTTAAGCCCTTATTACCTCTGTAACCTACCCTTGGCAACAGAATTAGTTTTCTTACATCTGCGGCTAAGAGGTGTGTTGTTTTTTTTTGTCAAATTATTTTTAAAGGAACACCTCAAGTACCATAACAACTACAGATATTAGTAGTGGTTATGGTGCCAGAAGAACTCAAGCATCTCTCCCAAGTGCTATTTCACTGGCTTAGAGCCCCAGTTGATCGCTTTGCAACCAATAATCTAATCCATGCAGAGCAGGGCTTATCTCAGACAGAGAGCAGCCATAGTAGTGACACCTGGGGACCCAGGTAAGAAATCAAACCATTCTGAAATGGTTTGACTACTTACAATGATGGGTGCCAGGGCACACGTGGCACCATAATCACTACAGCAATATTTATTGGTTATGCTTGGAGTGTAACATTTTTAAACCAGTGCATATGTAGCATGCTTATAACTTTAAAAATGATTTAGTTAGCTTATCATATCATAATATATTTTTTTTTAGAAAGCGAGAAAATAACTCTCACAGACTAGACTGCAAGTCATTTTGTCAAATGGCCAAAAATATTCTCCCCTACATTTTGTGAAATCCCTATTAGGATTTATAAAAGAATGTAGATTTGTTAAAAATGTTAACACAAAATATAGACCATTTTTACGCTTTGTTGACTAACATAAAGATTTTTTTTTAGATTACAGAATGCCAAATGCATTATATTCTTTTCATTTGCAGATATATTTTTCAATAGCTTGCTGAATACACTGCAGCATTTAAGAATGTAGTACTAGTGTATTTAAATTATTCTATTAGAATACCATTACATCTACATACCTGCGACCCAATATAATGAATGTCCCTTTCAAAGGCAGTGTGTATTCTATGCAGGGATTCTGCAGTGTATTCATCTGCACCCACTTCTTCAGGTAATTCAACATACTTCTCTTGTATCATGTTAAGGATTTCTGTACCATCGTAAAAGAATTTGTGAAGCTCATAGGATGCAGTTAAAAGTTGTACTCGGGTATCAATAAGCTCCAGCAGGTCTGCCCAGCTCTCGTTCAAGTTATCTTTCCATTCTGCGATTGTGGCGGCTTCAGAATGACCAGCATCAATCAGTTCTTCAATTAAGATATTCACGTTGTCAATGCGTTCCTGCCCTATGGTCCCTGTCTCTTTGGCAAAGTCTCGAAATTTGTCTCTCAGCACCTAGCAAAGATTTTGTGAGAAATGAAATGCGTACATAATTACTATATTTTCTTATACAAAATAACAGGAATATTACTACGCGGCAAAAAGACCAGGACATGAGGCCAATTGACCCATAGAGTGAAATCAGGATGGTCCCGTCAAACCAAGGATAGTTGGGAAACATGGACTCGGGCAAACAATGACAGGGTGCCAAAATCAGACCAAGGGTTTTTAAGGAAAACAGTTGGGGCTGCAGACAAGGTCAGAGCCACACTCCTGCAAAATACAAGTATTCTCGTACCTTATGTTAACTTTTCGCAAAAAAAAAATAAATAAATACTTTGTGGTTCGTAAAATGTCATCAGATGTGAATTCTATTCTTACATCACTGGTTGTTCAGAGATCTCAAACTAAATTTTGATCACTCATTAGCATGGGGCTGGCCCACCCGTAATGGCAGTTTATCTACACAATTACATTGATGTTTCACACAAAGAGGGGGACTGGATATGTAAAAAGAAATTAAGAAAACAAAATGTTTTGCATTGCTCGGAACTATTACACATAAAATTAAATGAGAAATATTTTTCATTGATGTTGCTTAAAGGGAAACTGTCACTTTCTAAAAACGTGGTTATGAGATCGGAAAATTAAAAATAAACGTAGTAATCTACAGTGCTGTATTTACCTCTATCCTAGACCTGAGTGCTTCCATCTTGCTCCCTGCTAACCATAATTATGAAGTCTTCCCTTATCTATCATTAAACGTAGCATGTAGAGGTTTTTAAAAAAAACAAAACAAAAAAAACCCAGAAACAATGTTTCTCTTTTTCCTCCTTCAAAGCATTGCATGGACAGAACTGGTTTGTGACATCAGTTGCTAAATCTTTTAAAGAAAATGCATTTAAGTTTAGTTATAGATTATTTTACTGTTTTATTTAATGACGTAGTCTCTAGAAAAGTGACGGTTCCTCTTAAGATGCTAGCAGCAACTAAGAAATGTAAAATTAATTTCTATCAGTATATCTAAGTGTGTACTTTACTTTAACCATGTAACATAACAGAAGAAATGCAAACATACATAGCTGGGGGGATCCTTATCTCTTGTGTCTAGTTATGGATTTGATATAGGACTCTGGTCAGGAACCAACGTTCATACTGAGTGTAGGAGAGCGCTCTAATAGAGATCTGTGCTCCATGGGCACTCAGTTTGACAAAGAAGGTATGGGACAGCAGCTTACCAGTCACATAGCGCCAACATACTTAACTTACAGTGACATGGTCTAAATCCTGTCCCAACTCCTGGGATGAAGCCTTCACGTCTCTCTCCGCAATCCACTGTTCCAAATCTTCCACTTCACGTTTTAGTTGAAACATGTGATAGATGTTGTCCAATTTTTGTCTCCTCTCATCTGCCATATCCCGTAAAGCTGCATATTGTTTTTCTATATTGCCTTGCTGTCGGATTATTTGTTCACTTTAATGAATGGAGATATAAATGGAAAAAGTGTTTGCGTCATATCACTGTAGTTACCTTTTATTGGTGACCAATGAAATAGTTAAGACTCCTAAAATCTCCAGGTTGTGACAATGAATACGTGTGCGTCCAATATGCACAAAGACATTAAAAAAAAAGTAACATTGGGGAGAATAGAAATCACAAGGGTTGGGGAAGTGCAGGGAGAAAATCTAAAATATATGTAGCCAGACTTTTATATATATATGTAAGTCTGGCTACTGTAGCAATCAGTAGGCATCTGAGTGTACATCACTTGATACTTTTGAGTTGATTGTGCATGCTTCTCAATCTCAATTCTTTAGTTATAGACAGAGAAAAAGACGCAGGCACAAAGGAAGACATATAGACAGGATTGGAAACATAAAAGGCATAGATCATTATAATATATATTAGCAACTTAATGTTTGCACAAAATTTTTTATGTTTCTCTGCCTCCATGAAATGTGTTTTTCCTCCCCACTTGGAGGGATTGTAACATCTAATATATTTTTATTTATTTTTAACTTATAGGCATAATACAGATATGGATATTACATACCTATCAGGGTGCTCTAGAGCAAGAAGCTTCTGAGACTTGTCGGCCAATTCTCTAATATTTGTTACATAATGTTCTACTCCATGCTGCAAGCTCAAATGGTTCTTCACCATAAGAACCACACTTTCTTCATCCTTTAATAACAAGAGAATGCATTTCTCAATAAAATAAATATGGCAATATACTGCATGACCTACTTGACTGCATGTGGCAGAGACTCTCCCTACTACATAATGAATCGTACCTGTCTAACTTTGGCCTTGATTCAATATATTTGAAAGAGTTTCCAAATGATTTAATATATGTGGATACACTTTTTAAATGATCAATTTTAATAAAAAATTTTTACATTTTGTAATGTTTTGAAATTTTTTATACATATATATATTTTAATATATAATATATTTCTTTATATTTAAAAAAAATAATTATAAAAGTTTATCCAAAATATTAAATCATTTTGAAAGTGTATCCAAGAACGTTAAATTGAGGTCTTTGTTTGCAATGTAAACCATGATTCTGTCCATAAATAACCATTGATGTCTATAGTGAGTTATATAGTGAACCAAAGTAAATAAAAATGTTTAGGTGCTCACTTTAATAAAAGGGAATTACAGCAGCAAATCACACAAGGATTCACAAACACATTGTGAAGAATGTAAAACAGAAAAGGGTTTTGTGATAGAACGCGCCAAAAAAAGAAAACGAACACCTTGGTACAATAACACAACTAAATGTACATACATATAATTGATGGACATTTCTGTGTATACAGTAATGTTAAGGGATCACTATAGTGTCAGGAAAACAAATCGGTTTTCCTGACAATATGGTACCCTGACGGTTAAAACCCCCTCAGTTACTCACCTTCTTCCACCGCTGGGCTCGCTTACCTCTCCTCCCCAGCCGACGTCAGTTCCCGTCTGACGTCAATGGAGCGGAATGCGCATGCGCGGCAGTGCCACGCGCACATTCAAAGTGTCCATAGGAAAGCATTTTTCAATGCTTTCTATGGACGCTCTGCGTGATGGAGGCATTAAATGCCTCCAGCGTTGCAGATGCGCCTCTAGTGGCTGGCTTAACCCCAAATGTAAACATGGCAGTTTCTCTGATACTGCTATTTTTACAGCAGACAGGGTTAACCCTAGAGGGACCTGGCACCCAGACCACTTCATTGAGATGAAGTGGTCAGGGTGACTATAGTGTCCCTTTAAGTTTAAAATAAAAAAAAATAATAGTGTCATAAGTATTGACAAATAGAAGTTTAGCAGATATGCCAAAAAAAACACACTCACACCTTGTGGAGCTATTAAAGGCTCTTATGATGACAGAACAGACGGTACAATCCCCGTCTCAGGATATATAACAGCCAGGGATAGCAGATAATTTCCATGTAGCAACTCAACAAAATATGCAAATGAAGAAAAAAAGAGAACCCAATTGCACAGTATGTAATCGTATCAGCTGCATGTAAAATGCAGAACAGTATCCTACTTACAAATTCCAGAGCATCGACCTGCTCTGGTTATAAAGAGAACAGGTGGTTTGATCCACACCACAGACACAATGGAAGCAGGAAGCCAGGAAAAAATCCCTCAAGTGTGGAGATAAAACGAGCTTTGTCAGAGGATAAGCCTCTACTGCATCAGTAGTGGGGATCAAACCACAATAACTCTTCATAACCAGACAGGTCCATGCTCTGGAATTAGTCAGTAGTATACTGTTATGCATTTTACATACAGCTGATAAGATTAAATATATCTGCTATCCCTGGCTGTTCTATATTCTGAGACGGGGATTATACCGTCTGTGCTGTCATCATTAGAGCTTTTAATAGCTACACAATGCGTGAGTGTGTTTTTGTCAAATCTACTAAACTTCCATTTGTCATTACTTATTACACTATTATTTTGATGTTTTTTTTTCCAAGCTTAACATTACTGATTACACAGAAACTTGTATCCATTATATGTATGTACATTTATATGGGTTACTGCACCTATGTGCTAGATTTTTTTTTTTTGGCGTGACCTATCATAAAACCCTTTTCTATATAGTGAACCAAGACTTGTGCCGAAGCACAGGAGCTGAAAAGGACCAGAGGAAGATGGCCGCACCTGCGAGGGACAAGTTCAGGTAAGTAGATCTCACCTTTACCTGCCACAGCCCTCCCTCCCCCCCGCCCACCAGACCCTGAGCAGGAATGTCACAGTCGGGAGACTTTGCAAATTCTGCAAAGTCCCCAGTGCTGCGTTAAGATTAAAAATATGATCTAATGAACTTATTACTGTTGTTTTTTCATCTTCGATCAAATAAAGTTGCTGTTCATCAATCCAGGCTTCTGCCTCTGCTGCGTCCATGTAGTAATGCTGAGCTTCCAATGTCAGGTTTAGGGCTCTCTGCCTATCTGCAGCTGCAGTTTGTATGCGTTCCCATAACTCTTGCAGTGACCTTCGTTTCTTTTCAATTGGCTGAGGATCAATGTCTGGTTCACCTTCCGTATTCTCTGCCCTTTTAATAACATCGTCTATCCTGGGACCATGGCCGGCTATTTCCTTTTGCAGAGTCTAAAAGTTTAAATTGAAATATATTATTGCAAATTCACTTCAAACATAAAATAAATTAAATACATTTTCATTCTAAATTGCACTTAACATCAATCACTGAACAAGCCGATTTCTGACATCTCATTATTGCAATAATACCAAAATACAAACATATAGGTTTATTTACTAAATTTGGACTTATTCGGACTGCAATATCTAGACATTGTTGTTGAAAATGATCAAGCCAGGCTGATCTTTGCTGGATGGTTGAAATGTGGGCTGAATGCAGCAAATCCAGGCTTGGAGAATTCAACTCCAAATCTGAATTTTAAAAAATCCAAACAACTTGACCGCTGGCAGCATTAGCATTCATCGGGCAAATAGCTTAAAACCTTTGGCAGCACAGTAGGTGGGGGCATGTCTACTGCTGCCTAGTCATTAGACTGGTGACAGCTACAGACAAACTCCTCCATCTCATGGGAGAGACTTCAAATCAGTAATTTCTTATTCGGGCCTGTGGAATCTGTTCATATCCCATAAACCACTGTCCAAAGCGATTAAGATGATCCTATCAAACTATTTCCCCCCCCCAGTTTTTCTAAACTGTCACAAACTCAATTATTTTAGAAAGAACTCATGTAAGTATAATAGACTAATATAAATTGTATGACAGCTGGTATGTGGGAAGGATTGAAACGATGATGGCTTGTGCCAAGTAAATCTTTTATTTCTCATACTTCATACATGATCTCTGATATGACCCTTCACAGCCTACTTATGTTGCGACCAAGTGGATGCAGACATATTTGTTAAACTTTAAAAAAAGTAAGAACATAAACTTTTTAAAAAACAACATAATTTATGAAGAAAAAACAGGAAGCTACCTGGTTCTTTTTCATGAGCATCTGAACTGTCTGAAGATTATTTCCATATTGTTGTGACTCCGCAAGTGGTAACTTCTCTTGAACCCAGAGCTGAAATAAAACAAGAACATAGATATATCTATTTCCAAACTAGAAAGCATTCTGTAAGGAAAAACAGGGATACATTTCTAAAGAATCAATAGAAAAACAGTTAGGTAGTTGAGGGCCGTGATTTCCAATTTCCACCTAATATTGGGCGCCCAAACAATTGCACGTGTCACATTTAGTATTTTTGAATTAGGGGGAGTATTAACTTAAAAATACATTTTTAAAGGACCACTATTGTGCCAGGAAAACATACTCGTTTTCCTGGCTCTATGGGGTCCTTGGGTCCCCCTCACCCTCTGGGCCCCCCTCCGGCCGGGCTCTAGGGTGAGGAAGGGGTTAAAAACTCACCTTGGTGCTGGGGACTCTCCTCCTCCTTCCGATGTCATCGGCTGTATGCGCATGCGTGGCAAGAGCCGCGTGCGCATTCAGCCAGTCTCATAGGAAAGCATTCTCAATGCTTTCCTATGGACGCTGGCGTCTTCTCACTGTGAAAATCACAGTGAGAAGCGCGGAAGCGCCTCTAGCGCCTGTCAATGAGACAGCCACTAGAGGCTAGATTAACCCTAATATAAACATAGCAGCTTCTCTGTTCTGCTATGTTTACAGCTGCAGGGTTAACCCTAGATGGACCTGGCACCCAGACTACTTCATTGAGCTGAAGTGGTCTGGGTATTTTGTTTGGGGTTAGAGCAACTCTATACCCTCATACCAGTATCCTTGTCACAAATGTGAAGTTGTTTCAGTGGTGAAGATGGGGAGGCATGGCCTGTGTATGCATGGAGATGGAAATAAACATATTACAAAATTCTACCCACGTGATAGATAGACACAGATCGTAAAACTCACAACTTCATCTTCCAAGTCGCGGTGGAGCTGATGTACATGTTTTGAAGAATTAAGTTTTCTCTTTCTCTCTTGAATGGGCTCCTGAAGCTGCAGAAATCTTTTTCTAATATTTTGCTCTTTATCATCAAGTTTTGTGCCAGCGTCTGGCTCCAGCGGAATAATTTCCTCTATTTCTTTAGTCTTTTGTTCTATCTGATCTTCAATTCTCTGAATTTCAAGCAAAAACAGAATGAATGAAATGGAAATGACAACGGCAGAATAATAACATATTGCTTGAAGCAGTATATTAACAAAATGCATACACAATGGCAAAATAAGTACAGAGAAATTAGTAGACTTGTGCATTCATTTTTGAACGAATACATTTTCTTCAGAATTTCGTGCAATTTGGCCATTCTTTCGAAATTGAGAAAGCCATGAATTGAACACAGAATGAATTGCTTGTTGGACGACATTTTGTTCATGCAATTTGTCTGTTCATTTGTTCATTTAATTAGCAACTGGCTCACTTCTTATAATTAGATTATTTAAAAATAGAAGCAACGAGAAGCACTAAGGCAGTAGTGGTGGTGGCTCTAAATATAATAACTGGGGGGACCAATTGTCCTCCCCAGTCCCACCACACTGGCAGCAGGTGGAGGCTAATGATAAAATATATGAAGGGAGTGAACATACTACTGTAGCTGCCCCCCAAAAATTGTGGCTACCTCCTGGCCTGCTTGGTTTCCCCAACTCCCCACTGATCTCCACCTCACCCTAATAAAAGAAAGGGGGGCCCAATAAACGAAATTTCTGTTAAAAAAATTTTATGTATATTTACCATTAGATGTCTTCTATCTTCTTAAATGTCTTTTCTCAAGCTCCCCAATTTTTTTTTTAAAACAACATAAATCCTATTGCAACTATTAAAATGTAGAAAAAGGATAAGATTGCACACAAAAAAAAAGAAGCCGGGGGAAAAAAACATGACGCATAAAAATGAAATCCATGTTTGAACATCGACTGCATGCAGACTAAGCTTGCATTGTGGGAACACTTTTCCACACTATGCAAAATCAGTCAGAGCGCTCTTGTTGGTTGGCTTGTAAGAGTGCTCTAATAGGCAAATCTCACTTTTCTTGAGTTATGCCTGTGAATTTTCCCATTTTATGGGCTGTGGAAAATAGTATGTCCATCACACCTGGTATATTTTATTATTAGCCTACGTTCGGTGCCAATGGTTGAAGGCTGGGAGGGACAATGCTGGGATCTGAAGGGGAAATAAGTGCCCCCATTATTGTATTTACCACCAACTGCCACTCATGAGTGAAGGCTGGGGACACACACTAGGTTCCTCTGTTCATTTTATTTAATAGCCCCTACCCACTGGCCACTATGTTCCTGCTTTATTAGCCTTTTTACTATCCTCACATTGCAGGCACGGAGGAGCCCCAGTTTATTATGTTAGCAACTGGATGGCATTCCGTTTGAACTAACAAAAACAGTTTTTGTTCAAATTAATTTGGACAACCCAATAATTCCCATTGTGCACAAATCTAGAAATGAATATCACATTCAATAATGATCATATCTGCTGATAAATGCTCTAGGTAAACTCATCCCTGCAAAAGTTTCACTCTTACCTTGTGCTTATTTAGAAGAATATTTACACTTGTCAAGTCATTCCCAAAATCATCGGATGCCACATGCTGCTCCATCTCTTTTATCCACTTCGTGATATCTGCGTATCGTTGTTCATACAATTCAGACCGGTTTGCATCAAAAAGGACCTGTTCTTTCTTTAAGGTTGTTGTTTCCAGCTCGTCCCACAGCTTATGCAGATGACTAAGTTTTTCTGAAATTATTGGTACAAATTGGTCCTTCTCTTTAGCCAGCTGTTCTCCTTCCTTAGAGCAGGGGAAAAAAGTCAGAAGTAAATCTTTTTTTATATGGTTTGCAATTCTTTAAAGAAGTGAACAAACTCCCAGTCTTTCATCATGCTTGTGTCCATATCAGTGAGAAGAAAAAGGACTAACCAAAATCCCAACCTCGCATCAGCCCTGCATTGATAACGAGGTGGAGAGCAATGTTCACACTAAATGTGTAACCAAAAATTACGCAGGTGTCACTTCGACATCGCAAACCAATCAAGCAACTGTCAGACTCTAGAGCTATATTGACTTTTAGCAGGACCAACCGTATCTTAACTATATTATATAGTTAGAAATAGTTCCTCTATTTAAAATATATAAATAATTGAAAATACAGTAAAAATAGGGATTGTCTTGGAAGCAATAAAGTTTTGTCTTTTAAAATATTTTATTCAATAAAACTATTAATATAGACATATAAAAATGTAATAATCCATTACAATAATTTATAGTAGAGTTTATAAGAATAAAGTATATGCTTGCAATATCAATAGAATAACATATCCTCTTGAACAAGTCAACCTCTCAGTCATGATAAAATTGATCAGATTCCAAAATCCTCTCCTCTTTGTTCTAATATTAATAAGTACACATATTTATACCTTAGATTTTCAATTAGCTCATATTAGGACCTACCTTAACTTGGCAAAGACACAAGACTTTGACTTGGTCATTTCACATGGGAACAGCTTGTCAAGGTCTATTGTCATGACCTTGACATCGTATCTATGTGTGGAGTAAAACTTGAGGTAGGCATGGGACATGGGAAATTTCCTGACATGGGAAATTCTCTGTCCACTAACCTAGGACAAAATGGCATTCTAAAGACTAATCACCATGTTCACTGAATATGGGTAAGCGGTCATTTATTAAAGAAACATTGTATGACAAACAATATTTTTTATTTATAATAAATTGTCAGTTCGCAAAATCTCCTAAAGACAACGTTTAAGAAATACAACGTTTCGTTCCAAAAACTTGTAATATATGCATATGCCCATAACAATATAAACTCACTCAAATGAGGACCTGTGCCCTGTCCTGGTTTCTGGTAGCCAGAGAGTGCATTCTTACAGTGTTTACTTAATCTGGAATTTGACCGTGACCTGATTTTTTGACTATCCAGATGTTTGTGCTCTTTGACCTTTGGCTTGTCTTATAATCCTGTTGTCTCTCTGTATACCTTGACCTCGGCTTGCCATTCTCGTATTTGACATGCTACTTCTAAAATTAGAATGCCAGTCAGCGTTAGCAATAACTTGTCAATCTGGCTGAAAACGTCAAATCTATTGATGAAGACGTACTTCAGATATACTGAGGTAAAAATGTTTTACAGGAACTAATGATGGGATTTAACTTTTACATATTACTTAATTGAAGTGTGGCCAATTTCCCTTTTGAAAAATTCAGCATTTAGTGTCTTAAAAAACAAGTGAAAAAGAAATGCACTTATTTTATCAAAGTATGTAATATATATCACCAATGTTTAATAAGTTATTCAATTTTATAATGAAACGTATTAAAATTGGTAACAACTCTTTTCTACTTGGTCTTATGTTTTGCTACAGAGAAACACAACTCTTGGGGGCGTGGTTTGCAGGCGAGCAAGATGGACGTGTCCATGTAAAGCTCTGCTGCAGCCACGGTGCCAACTGCTAACTACAGCCGAGATATAATTGCAAAAAATACCTGCAGAGGCAGGAGACCCATGATGGATAAGAGGGCCCCGAGGAAACAGGGGAAAAAAGCGATGGAATCGGGTGCCACCGTCTCGGAGCTGTTCGCGGCCTCCCGCGCTGTGCGTCTCAGCACCCAAGATGGCGGACGGGAAGGTCAGGGAACGCCGCGCTCGCCATTAAGCCCAGGCAGTAGTGCGGCTACAGGTACTCGTGAAACAGATACAGGCCAGATACTGGCCAAATTAGCGGAGGTCCGCTCCTACCTCGCTACTGAAATAGTCAGGAGCTCGGACGAGGTGAAAGCGGAGATTCAGGCTGTAGGGGCGAGGACGGCTGCATTGGAACAGCGGGTGGAGTCCACGGTTGTGGCCCACAACGCTGCTGCCGCACAGATTAACACTCTGACGACCCGACTGATCTCTGCTGAACTGGCAATTGAAGACCTCGGAAATAGATCGCGCCGAAACAATATTCGTCTTCGGGGCTTGCCTGAGCAGGAGGGGGAAGGGTCTCTGATTGAGGTCGTTTCGGGCATCCTTAGGCCGCTTCTCCCCGACATGCCGGACCAGCTTTGGCATATTGAGCGGGCGCATCGGGCTCTCCGGGCTAAGCAGTCAGATGATCGGCGGCCGAGAGATGTAATTATTAAATTCCTCTGCTTTCAAACTAAGGAGGCCCTGATGAAACGGGGCAGAAATAGCCCTATCACCTATAAAGGAGTGGAGCTGGCCCTCTACCAGGATCTGACCCCGGCCACACTACAGAAAAGGCGAGAGTGGCGCCCCATGACCGAGGTATTACAACACCATTCGATCAAATATGCCTGGGGTCACCCTTTCCGTCTGATGGCCTTTCAAGACGGCCGCACTAAGATCTTGTTTCCCGACGGTGATCCAGCGGCGTTCCTGCGAGAGCTGGGGATTCAGGCCCCTGAAGGTTTCGTGGTTCCGATGGCGACGGCGGAGGTGCTGGGATCCCTTCCACGTGTCTGGTCCGAGGCGGGTGAGTGAGGAGAGGAATTCTGCTCCCGGTCTCGCAGGTCGGATCTCTACGGCTCCGGTTGGTGCTGTGCTACGGGAGGGCCTGTGTTGTTTGGGTGGGTTGAGATGGGTCCCCTTGTCCCCCCCCCTTTTTTTTTTATCTTTAATTTTATTTTTTATTTTTATTTATTGCTGGCTTGGCTCCCTTGTTGGGGATTGCTTGGGTTTGGTTGCCAGTTCATGGGTTGGGTTGCTTCCTGAATGGGGCGGGTTAGGGATTTCTTCCCTTCGTTCCTAAATGTTCCCATCCTGTGTTCTTCATTTTTTTCCCCCTCTGCAATCGTCTAATGAGGTTGACCGGGCTCAGGGATTGTACCTCTCTTCGGGCAACACCCGTCCTAACATTGCAGGGCCCTCACGGTTATTCGGGACGCCCGCTCCGGCCCGAATTGTGGTTGGGGGACGTATTTTGACTTGAAATGTTTGCTTAACCTTGTCTTCTGTTATACCTTTTTTCCCTGTATAGTTTTGGGGTGGCGGAGGGTGGCGGGATGTGTGTTTATTATGTAGGGCGGGTGGTTGATAGGGTTGACCCTGCTTTTACAATTAGCTTATGTACCACACTGTATTTACATTTGATATTACGCACAGGGGATGGGATTCGGCGGGAGCCTGTGGGTTCAGCTATGGGGGGGAGGTCTTGGGGTCACGGGGCTATGTTTATGCTAAGGCGTTCTTTTATGTATATTTTCCATACTCTCGGGCTCTTTCTGCCTCCCGGGCACATTTTATGTTATTTATTGTGGGTTAAGGGAACAGTGGGGCGTGTGTTCTTGGGGGGAGCGGGTGATTTTGATTTTGGGCTCATTCTTTAACTGCGCAGATTATGCCATATTGTTTTGCCCCCGCCTCTCTTTTTGGGGGGGTTTTCCTCGCGGGGGGGGGAAGTTGTTTGGATCTCTGCCTAGGGGGAGGGGATTTTTTGGTTGTGTATATGTAGGTAATGCAGCTATCTGACATCTTATTGTATTTCATTGTGTCTCATAATTAGTCTGTGTGGGCACCCTATGGGTGCTTTTCTCTGTTGGTGTATGCTCCCGCTTCTCTGGAGACTTTTTGGGATTCCGGAGGGGCTGGAACATGTGCCCCAATTAAGCCTGGCTATAGGTAAGACCAGGCACCAGATACACAGGTTCTGTGTGTCCTTCTTTGTTTTAAACTTATTCTTTTTTTCTATTTCTTGTTTGTTGTCCAGTTCTAAATCTTTACTATCTCCCTTGGGAGGGGGAACAGAAGAGGTCAGTTATGCCGCTGAACTCTGTCTGGATGGTCCGGAGCCGGGCTCCCATGGTACCGAGATGAGATATGTGGTGCAATCTCCTTACTGGCCCAGTAGTGGGCTGCTAGGAGGCATTGGCTTGCCCTCCTTTTGGAAACTATACCTTTAAAAGTATTATCATTGAATGTTAAGGGCCTGAACGCTCCGAGTAAACGCCGCCTCATGTTCAGGGATCTCAAACGCATGAGCCCAGATATTGCCTTCTTGCAGGAGACGCACCTATCCGCATCGGCTAAATTCGCCCTGAAGGATCACACTTTCAGGACAGTCCATGAAGCTAGGGCTTTAAATAAACGGAATGGAGTTGCTATCGTTATACACCATAGATGCCCGCTGAGGGTGGAAAACGTGGTAGCCGACCCGAGTGGCCGTTTCGTGCTGGTTTCGGGGAGATTGCACTCTCATGCAGTGCATTTCCTCAATGTCTATGCCCCAAACGACCCCTCTGTTGCTTTTTGGGACGGAATAACGCAGATGGTGAACACTCTGCCACACGGAATGACGGTGGTGGGGGGGGACCTGAACGCCACCCCGTGTCCTGCGGTTGACAGGGGTCCTGGCGACGGGTTGCCGCGGTCCCACGGGAGAGGTAGTCAAGATAAAATACTACGCACTTTTATGCATCGTACAGGCCTGGTCGATATCTGGAGAGCTCATCATCCAGACGACCGTGATTACACTTTTTATTCAGCACCTCACGATACGTATTCGAGGATAGACTTATTTCTGGTGAATCCCCACACGGTCCCAAAGGTGTCGAAAACTTCAGTAGGTTCGATCACTTGGTCGGACCATGCTGACATCACGATGACTCTGGATAAATTAAGTATGGCATCTCCGTGGACCTGGAGACTAAACACCTCTCTGCTTCAGGATCCAGCCGTGGTGGAGATCACGCGTAAGGAACTGACTGAGTACTTCACAAGGAATGCGGACTCTGGTCCCCGGCCTGCCACGGTGTGGGCCGCACACAAGACGGTTATCCGGGGTATATTGATCCGCGAAGCCACGCTTAAGAAGAAACGTAAGACACAATTACTAACATCTCTCCTGGAAGCCCTGGGGAAAGCGGAAGAAAAACACAAGGCGGCCTCGTCGCCTACCACATTGCAGGAAGTAAGGAAATTGCGGGCTTCGGTCCGCGAAACGCTCCTCAACGAGACTGCTAGAGCTTTAGTCTGGTCCAAGAGGACTTACTATGAAAAATCCAACAAAATGGATACCTTGTTGGCCAGATCTCTTCGCCCGAGACAGAGTCACTCCCATATTACAAGAATCAAAGACGCTACAGGTAAGTATTGCACAGACCCTTCCGCTATTGCTAAGGTTTTTACAGATTACTATACCAAATTATATAATCATTCCAGCGGGGCTACAAGCACCCAGAGGAGTGACACGGACAATACGCAGGCATTTTTATCTCAATTGAAGCTACCTATGTTGCGGGGAGAAGACTCAGCTGCCCTTGGAGAAAGGATTACGGTCGAAGAGATCGATGCTGCAATATCCGCTTTAAAGGGTAACAAAGCTCCGGGCCCGGATGGCTTCGACGGCAGCTATTATAAGATATTTCGAGAGGAACTTATACCCCACATGGAAAAGTGGTTTAACGACCTAATGGAGGGAGGAACGCCAGATAGGGATATGTCAATAGCGGATATTGTGCTGTTACCGAAACCCGGCAAGGATGATTCTGTCCCCGAAAACTTTCGCCCGATTTCTTTGATAAACCATGACTCCAAAATCCTTGCCAAAATATTGGCACACAGGCTGAACCCCTTGTTAACACGATAGTTACACCCTGACCAAGTGGGCTTTGTGCCTGGCAGGCAGCTATTTGAAAATACTAGACGCAACATTGATCTTATCTGGCGGCAGGCAACTAGGGGGATCCCGACGTTGATATTGTCACTCGACGCGGAGAAAGCTTTCGATAGGGTAAAGTGGCCTTATCTTTTCGAGACTCTCCGACAGTTTGGTATCCCTGAACCCTTTATAACTACGATACAAGCAATGTACACTGACGTTCGGGCTCGAGTCCGGATTTCGGGCGCGAAGATGGAACCTTTCAATTTGGGGAATGGGACTAGGCAGGGCTGCCCGCTGTCACCTCTATTGTTCGCTCTCTCTTTGGAACCCCTCCTACAAACAATTAGAAATAGCTCCGACATCAAGGGGATCGTGATTCGGGAGCAGCGATATGTGGTGTCTGGCTTTGCTGACGATGTCTTGCTAACCCTGACGGATCCGATAAATTCTATGGAGGCATTGGCGACAGTGTTGGAGGCCTATAGCGAATTGGCCGGATATAGGGTGAACTTAACTAAGTCAAGCGCACTTCCCATAAGCATGAGCGACACGGATATCGCCCACATCGGAGACACCTATAGGATACATATAGCAAACGATCATATAAAGTATTTGGGGGTTCGGCTGACAGCGGACCCTACCCAATTATTTCAGCAAAATTATGTTCCTATGATCCGCACCTTGATAGGAGACATGGAGAAATGGATAGATAAGCCGATCTCCTGGATTGGTAGGATTCACTCTGTGAAAATGAATATTCTCCCTAGGATTCTATTTCAAGCTCTCCCGGTCCGGCTGTCCAAGTCAGATCTAGGGACGCTCCAGCAGGCCATTGGGAAATTTATTTGGCAGAACAGGAAACATAGAGTTTCGCGTAACGTTCTTTACAGGTCAAAAGCGAGGGGGGGCTTAGGTCTACCAAACCTCTATTTCTATTATTTAGCGTCCCAATTAACTCAAATAGCACTATGGCATGCTCCCCCGGAAGAGAGGCGGTGGGTCGACCTGGAGGCCACCCTTCTGGGTTCCGACGTCCCTCAATTCTTTATGTGGGTCCCTAGGGACCACAGACCATTGATACGCGTCGATTGCCCAGCTATCGCTAACTCTTTGAAAATCTGGGACGCAACATCGACCAAATATGGTTTATCCCCCCATCTGTCCCCATTGGCCCCTTATCTGAGGAATCGAGCGTTCCCTCCGGGATTGGAAGCCAGAAACTTTAAGGGCATAGAGAGCACAGGGGTACAACGACTATGTCATCTTTATGAGGGGGGTGCTTTTATATCCTTCGATGATTTGAAGTCCAGAGCTACTCTACGTCCCTCCGATTTTTTTCGATACCTCCAGTTAAGGGACTTCGCCCATAACCCACAGATTAAAACTAGCGCCTTGACTCCACTCACGTTTTTTGAAAGAATGTGCATTCAAGAACAATTTCCGAAAGGCCTCATCACTAACTTATACGCGCACCTCAGTACGACCACATCTGAATGGGGGGAGCTTCATTATACGTCTCAATGGGAAATGGATCTGAATGAGGAACTGGAGGGTGTTGAGTGGCAAGAGATCTGGGAGGCAGCGGCGACCTCGTCTATTTGTGTCACATTTCAAGAACAAGCCTATAAGACTATGTTCCGGTGGTACGCTACCCCGGCGAAGCTTTACCGGATGAATAAAATTAATACAGATTTATGCTGGAGAGGATGTGGCCAGAAAGGGACGTATTTACATATGTGGTGGGTCTGTCCAGAGGCACAAAAATTCTGGAAACGGGTCGCGGATTTACTGGGAAATATCTTTGATAGGGTGATCAAACCAGACCCCTGGGTTTTCCTCCTGGCCAGATCGCTGGAGAACTGGTCCAGATCGGAACAAAATTTACTACATAAGGTGACTCTGGCTGCCAGAAGGGCCATGGCCCAAGTGTGGCTACAGGGAGAGACCCCCCCTATGGAGGTGGTGATACAAAAGATTAAGGATACATACATAATGGACGAGTTAACAGCTAGGGTCCGGGGCACTAAGAAGAAAATGGAAAAGATTTGGAGCCCGTGGGTGGCTAGTGGGGTGGGTGATTAGGGGAGTGGGGGACGGGCTCGTTCCCTGCGTACCCCGAAACACCTCTATTGATGACAGGATGCATAGCACACTTTTACTCCCCCTTCCGAAGCGGGACCCTCAGGATCCCACGAGATGTTCACGGTTTATAGTTTTTCGCACTGGCATGGCGGTACTTGCTAAAAACATCCCGGCTCGTGGCTATCCAGCTATCTGATCATATCGGCATCATTACCATTCTGGGAAAATCACTATAATACCCCCTCCCAATCCTACTCCCAATCCTACTCTCTCTCCTTCTTTCTCTTCTATCCTTTTGGTACTCCTCTTTCGGTTAACCTTTTCTTTTCTTTATTTATCTTTTTATTGTTTTTTCCCATCTATCTGGTTACTGCCCAGTTACCATATGGCTCACTGAAGCTATATTTGGAGGGGCGGGTCGAGGGGTGTTTATTGGTAGGCTATTATTAAAATATCTTCGCATAAATGTCATCCCTGTACACTGAGTTTTAGTTCATTGACCTAGCCAAATTCTTACTGCATTCTAGGGGTAGCTATGGATGGATAGCGTGAAATATCATTGTGTATTTCACTATCAGATGGGAATTTATTGTCTTACTTAAAATAAAATGGGTGGGATACCGCAGTAATCAAACTCGTAAAGACGACATTCATATGTTAGATATGCTGTTTGTGATTGGTAGTCAGACTTTGCAATATTGTTTGTTTTTTACAAGTAATGCGTATTGTTTTGGTGATTGCGATGTTGTTCTTTATTGCATCATGTTGCATATACTGTTGTGGTGTCTGATCATTTCATAAATAAAGAATTAAAAAAAAAAAAAAGAAACACAACTCTTAGGGTTTGTGCTGCTGCCCAAAAGCACCATTTCACACTTAATGGTTTTATTTATTCTTAAAAATGTCTGTCTGGACCATACAATGTGTGCTATGAAAGAATTTCAAATAAATAAAAAATAAATAAATACATGTTAAAAATACTTATATAAATATTTGAAAAGTGATAACAATTACCAGGTCAATCTTCTTGAGCCTCTCTTTGTTGGAATCGAGTTCTGCCTTGAAAGCTTGATGTTTTAACCATTTGCTGTGCAAATTGCGGGCTCCGTCGTATGAGGTATCCTGAGCTGTCAGCAATTTTTCGTTGATCCATAGGGTTAACTAAAATATAAATTTATATAATACATTTATTTCAATGAAGACGCACTAATTTCTACCACGCAACTCATCTTACATTTCTTAAATTAATTATTTTGATTTTCAAAATATGAAAAAAAAGAAATTCCATGGTATCTAACGAGATCTAAAAGAAACCGAATAGTCTACACAAACACAAAAAGATAGATCAACCATTAGCTAACACAGGAATTTATTATAAAATGCACAATACAAATATAATAACTACAAGTAAGAACCTGAGGATGAAGAAGAAAGTAGAACTGACCGTACAGTAAATCCCACCACAAGGTAATAAATAATTAAAATACCTCATCACAGTTTTCTAAGAAATTCTGCAGGTCGCAATGATCCCTCAGTAATGAATTAACTTCCTTTGCCTTTTTCGCATTCATAGCGTATCTGAAATACATGAAAACGTTTATGTTTTTGAGTTCTTTTCGAGGTGTCTCTTAACTGGTAACTTTATCACTTTCACATGCCATTCAGTTAAATTACGTGTCATAAACCATTTAAAACATGTTTATTAAACCCAGCTTCCGGCTGAGATTATCAGTGGTTATGACCCTAGCAGGCACGAATGGCAGCAGTGGTGATAATGGAATGCAAGGAGACTAAACATAAATTAATCTTTTATTTTATCACTTCTGGGATTAAGTCTATAATCTAAATAACCTCATACATCACTCTAACCGTAATACATTTGATTGGAATCCTTATGTAATCGTTACAGAATAGAATCAGCACAAACAATCTCAACCTTTTATGAATGCTAGTTGATCACATATTCACTAAACTGTTATTAGTGTAGAGTGTGATTCATGTCAGAATAATTATTTATGCAAAGGGAAATTATACATATTTTATTTATAACAACATTTTCTATTATCCTGATTTTTTTCCTTACAAAGTATGTTTTTTAATTCTTTTTTTAAGAAGAGCAAATTAATCTATAATCGGGGGGAAAAGTGTAATTTGTAAAAATACCTAAATTAGTTTTAAAAGTATTTACGTAGGGATCAACATTTTACTCTCTAACTAGCCATTAGCAAGTAAAAATTCGGGCCTGATGATTAGAAATTCAAGCCTGATGAGTATGCCATGGACCCTCCTGGCTTGCTGTATATGTCACAGTTCTCACCGTGACATCTAGATGGCCAGACGCCCCAGAAGTGATCGCCCCAGAAGTGCTCAACAGGGGATTGAACCTGGTACTTTGCAGTCCTGGGCCTGCTATCAATCTTTGAGCCACAGCAGTTCCTAGTCCTTGGAATTATTCTAGTCCTGTTCATCCTGGCTTGTCTGCAGTACTGGGGGCTGGACTGCATCTATTGCTGTGCTTCACCTGACTCTGATCAGTTATCAGCAGGGTATATAAACACAGCCTCGCCTGGGAACTTTATCAAGTCTTTGATCCTGTTGTGTGTGTTTAGTTCCTGTGTTCCAGTCTCTTGATCTTCAACTCCATATTGACCATGGATTCTGACTTTGTTAATCCTGATCTCTGGCATCCTTTGACTTTGGCTAACCCTGGACTATCATGCTGTTTGTGTCCTTGTCGGTACTGCATTGGAATCTCCTTTCCTGCACAGCCCCTGTGCACAGATTCACAGTCCAGGTGGCTTCTTATCTGGTCATCTTGGACTGTGTCTATCTGCAAGGGTGAGCTAACATATCTGCGCTACAGACTCCCATCTCAGGTAAGAACCCTGACAAGCTAGTTGTGTAGGATTTGAAATTTAGAGACCCTTATTAATATACATTCCACTTTTTACATTGAGTATCTTTCATGAATTTTTGGAGGAACCCATAAAAATGTAAGTTGTATCTATTTTTTGCTTTTATGCTTTACCTGTCTTTAAGTGATGAAACTTTTTCTAGAGCTTTGTCAGCATAAATATTTTTGGCTTCGGCCAATTTTTTTGCAGTCTCAATTGGCCCTGTAATCTTCTCTCTGTTATTTTCCATTGTGGCTATGAAATCCTCTTGTTTTTTGAAAATATTTTGAGAAGCTTGCAATGTGTTGGGGAGATCAGTGTGAGTAAGGACATATTCCTAAAAAGAAAACGGTTAAAATACTATATTATACAGTGTTTAAACAGCGATATAAATGTTCCGAAACACCAGAACACACATTGTCATTCAATCTGCAGGTATCTATAAACACCTAGCCATCTAATAAAAACAATAATAGAATATATAGGAAATCTGTTCTCAATGCATGGACTTATAATGAGTACTTTATATGGTAGAATAAGTTAATGTTGATGGCGAGATGACAGAAGGAGATATTTTGGAGAGCATATGTCTAAGAATGAACCTAAGTTGGATACATTGATTTAAAAAAAAATAAAAAATCATTAAACCAAATTCCATTGAGTTGTTTAGCAAATCATACAACATTTTAAAGTAGCCTCCCAGCATAGCATTTTTATTATATAGATATTGCTTTTGAACCTGCGATGCATAATAAGACCTTGTCTTCTACTAGTTAGATGGCATTTCAATTTATTGTAAGCCATGAGGATATACTGTTTGTTAGTTTTTTCTAACTGTGGCTTCTATTTAATATCTTTTACTATGCTTTCCAAATGATTTAATATTTTTTTATAAACATTTTTAAAATAATTTTTAGAAAATATTCTAAATATTCTAAATATACACAAAAATATATAAAAATATCAAATTTTAAAATGAGTTTTCGAAATATTAAATAATTTGAAAAGCTTATCTAAAAACTTGTGGCCATAGAAACATATGAACTAAATACATCTCAAAACTGGTTTCACAAGTGTTGAAACAAATATTACACCAAATTTTGTCTTAGTGTATGATTTTTGGGAAAAATTTTTTTTAAAAGTTTTAAAAAATTTCAAATGTAGAGGTGCACATATGAAAAAGTAACTGCCTTGTATTTGGTTTTATACCTGATTGTTTAAGATAGCTTCTGATTGCTTGACATCTTTCAATAACTTTTGGAATTCGAGGCACTGAGAGAGGAAGTTCTCTCTGTTTTCCCACATCTTGTGGAGATCATTCCAACCCACTTCTATGTCCTTTACGCGTTGGTTCAATTCTTGGTATTGAGGATCAGTCTGGCCGCTTGTTACAGCATTACCAGTGTCAACAACATCATGGAAGTCCGCAACATGGTGTTCAATGTCATCTTTCAGTGCACTGTGATTATTATGAAGCTCTTCAGCTTCTGTTAATGAAGTTGGTGCATCTTCAGAAGCAGTTGCTTGCTGGGCTCTATAGAGCCATGTTTCAAAATCATACAAGTCAACCAAAAATTTCTGCAGTTTGCTGCTTTCCCCTATTGAATCTTCTTGATTTTGCAAAGCCGTCTGTAAATCTTGCCAGACATTATTGATCTCAATCAATCTGTCCAAGATTTCTTGGGCATGATCTGGGTGTTGGTTTGCTAATTTCTGTGCCTCCTCTTGCAGACTTAATAGTTTAGCCTCAATGGCCGCTAGATCTCTCTCAATGCCATATAGCTTCCTCTGAACGGACATCACAGATGCAAGGTCATTGCCAAGGTCTTGTATGGATTCCACTACCCTGACCTTCTCAAGTATCCAATTCTTGGTCTCGTCACACTCTAGGCCATAATTGTGAAGACCAAGGGCAGAATCAATGGCTCTTTTCCTTTGTGTTACCATCTCCTGAATTACTGTCCATCTGAAAAACATCAGTTGGCTTGTTTAGATTAATGTTATTATTAGCGCTTTAATGGTCCAGAAATACATTGGTGTGTTCACTATCTAGAAATATTCAATAGAACCTAATATGAGCACAGGTTAAGAAAGTCAATTGAATTATGTTCATTATGCCAAAAAAAACAGATTGAAATCGATCCTGTCCCTTTAGTTTTCATGTTCATTAATAAAAAGTTAACCTACATTCTTGATTTCATTTTTACAAACAGAAAACCCTATATGTCTATAACCCAATAAATTTTTGCTACCTTGCCCCAGTATCCAGAGATTGATTCCAGCTCCTTTATATAAATGCTATTAAAACATCACTTTCTATAAAGGAATGTCCTAATGTTAGACCCCATCTAAAATTAGGACGTGTTCTGTAAGCTTTATCTTACATAAAATCAAACAAAAAAAAGGTGCACTCTATCTTTAAACCTTAAATAATGAATTTATTCGCTCTAATGGTTTGTGTTATAATAATTATCATAAAGTGAAACTCGTTCTGTGAAATTGTGATAATCATTATACAACAAAATGTATAAAAAGTGCATTTTTTGTGTAAAGTGGATTACACTTTACTCACGTACATAGGGAATCCAGTAATAACACAATAATATTGGTAGGCAAATGAAAAACAAAAAATTAAACACAAGTAGAGTGTTGAAAACAATAATTTACATTACACCTGCACATACATCCGCACTTATAAATCTTTGTAGTACTACTCTATACGTGTTTTATTTTTTGTTTTTCATGTGCAAACCAATATTGATTGTGTTACTACATAAGACAACTTCAAGGGAAAATACATGAATTGTGGTGTGGCTGTAAACGGTTGTGTATGCTCCTGTCATGTTCAAGAACAGGGATGGGCAGCCTTTCACACTTCAGATGAAGTGGGTGGTAACTCCCATTATGTTCAAGCAGCCAAAGGGCTTCTCTCACACCTGTTTGAGTTTCAAGGTTTTTCAGTAAAACGCGAATTACCAGGAACCAACTATGGAAAAGCAAATTTTAAGCTTGATTTGATTTCTTCTTGGCAGAAAACTTTTCCTTGTCAGTTATTCACAATTCACAGTTTATTTTAAAAAAAACAAAGCACTGTTTCTTTTTTTTTTCCATTTGTTTGCCATATGAGTTTTTTCTAGTATAAAATATTTTATAATAATTTCCCCAGTGAATTACCGAGTGTTCATGTGGTCCTGGACCTGCTTTATTTCCTTTCTGTTAGGATGTCCATTCTCAATAAGTGCATTGGAATCGATGTTTACATTCTGGATTTGAGAACCTAGTGCATTCATTTCTTGGTCAAGTGTGTTAAATCTAGAAAAAAAAAACAAAACAAGAAAACATATAAATGTAAAAATGTGAAAACTATTGTGATTGCAGAAACACATCAAAAGTGATGCTAAGCCAGCCCATAAGGTCAAATCTCAAAAAAGTCCACATCTTCCACCATATTTTCCCTCACTTTGGCTTTACAGATTGTATCTCCCATTATATCTTTTTAGCCTTTCCTTTATGTGCTTTTTTTTTTAGGAAAGGTGCTACAGCTCACCTTACCTGGTACTGAGCCGACTTTCAACAGTGTTTCGGTGCTACACCACAGGGCAGGAAGTGTACCTTTGGACACAATCCACAAACTGGAGAGGCACTGTACAAGGGATTATCTCATTATAAGATAATATAATGTTTGCACTATATGGATGGAGCAACCACATTTAATGAAGGTCAATTAAATAGAAAAGCAGTGTAAGTATGAGTATTACCTGTGTTGAATGACTCCCATATCCTCTACTGAATTTGGAATCTCCATTTCTTCCAGCCACTTCTCCTTCTCATTCATCCACATTTCACATGCATCTATTTTACCAATAATCGTGTAAAACTCGAGAGCATCTTGAAGCTTCTGAGAACGCAGATCAGCCAGTGATGCCATATCAAAATAGAGAGACTCTAACCTTTGACAGCGGCTATCTATCTCTGGTGACATTTTGAATTCCTCCGGAAAGCTTTCCACTACCTGTTTCAGACCCTCCAGAACTTTTCTGTTCAACATAATATCATCTAGAAGATCTTTTTGCTTTTTCACCATAACATTAGTTGAGTACTCATCATGACCAATGTCTTCACTTTGCATGATACGGTAGGTGTCTTGCATCCTTGCGGCTAAATCATCAGCATCAACTTGAAATTGGAAGAAATGTTCTGCATCACATAGTACTTTTAAGCGAAAGGCAGCCAATTCTTTAAGCTGAGACCACTCTTCTTTGATTTTATCAATTCTTTCTTTAATCTTGGCAGCTTCGTTGTGTTTTTGGTCAATCAATGTTTCTCCATCATTAATGGTTTGTTGTAAACTGGTTTCAAGACCTTTGAGTTCATCTTCAAACGCTTTGTGCTTTCTTTGAAGAATGCCAATGCTTGTTAGGTCTTTCCCATAATCCATTGAAGCATAAATGTGTTCTTTTTCCTTAATCCATCTCTCTGCCTCATCCATGTCTCCAAAGAACTTCCACGAGCACCTAGACTGCAGTAGATTAGCTTTTCTCTGTGCTGCTAGTGTGACAAGTTCCTGATAGCACAGTTCTAGATGACGAACACGGTCTTTAATCACCTGTGGGTCACATGGCTGGTATCCTGCAAAAGACAATGCCATGAGACGTTTATACCAGTAGAAGTTTATTCTCCTAATATCCATTATTTTTATCATTACAATATATTTCTTCCGGGTAATACTAACACACAAGGTTTTCTTTTTATGAGTGGGTGTTACAACTAATTCTAACATCCATTTTACACTAACAATAATGAGACACTGCAGAAACCATGACCGTTTCAACATATTGAAGTGGTTATGATGCCTATCGTTCATCGGCAACAGGTCCTGCACCACTACTAAATGGTTTACTGACTGCTAAGTCGATATTCTCAGTCCCCGGCAGCCTGCAGCTTGGTCTTCAATGATGACATGGCAAAGAAATCATCATACCAGGGATTGCAGCTGTGATTGGTTGATGCTCTGAAATAATCACAGCCCACTACAACTGGTATGGTGTGAAGAGAAGCATAGTTCCACCTTCTCCATATCATCATTGGAGGCCCAGCTTAAGGCTACTGGAGACTGGGGCTTTATCTCTAGTAAATGTTGAGTATACAAGAAATGAAGTTTATTATTGGACACATTTCAGAAAATGGCCAGAGTGACCTGTGCCGGGTTATTGAACAAGAAAAATGGGCCAACGCATATGAAATACACAAGGGACTTCTACTTGTGCATCACAAATAGAGTTGCAATCATGTATATCTGGTACTTGGTACTAGTGTGGATGTCTCATTTATTCCCACTGTTGTTCAACAAATGCTGGAGTTGCCATTCGGCGGTTGATATGATGTTCCACACATGGTGGACCTGCCCAGCTACAAAGCCATATTGGAACATGGTGACACAACTGTTAACCTCTTGAGGTGTAATATAGAGCCTACACTGTTAATAAATTTGTTGTTCATAATGCCAACTGACCTCCACAGGTCTTCCATTATGCTCTTTTACCAAGTTTTTTTTTTTTTATAATTCTTTATTTTTGCTGTGCATGAAATAACTTTCGCATGTCATCAATGCCATAACAGTATACTTAAACAATTTGAAAACACATATTAGTTGACTGTTGTACAGCATTCAGATCAAACGCACAATTTGTTTTTAGGTTAACAATACAAGCTGAGTACAAGCTGGGTAACTACATCTATCATAATGGATTTCTTTGTCGATTAGTAACAATAGCTGAAGATTAATATTTATGTTGCATCTCGGTGTCATCTAGATATTTAAAGTGTATGCGTCATCTAGATCTAATGTAGCGTCTAACAGATTATAAAACCACTGGTAGTCAGTATTGGTGCAGAGAGTCAGTATTGGTGCAGAGAGTATTGTTAAAGTGAAATGAAGGGAGCTGCTGCGATGCAGTAACTCAGCTGCAGCAGAAACTTGGAGTCTGCCAGTTTGCCTTCATGCAGTGTCTCCCTTGAGCTAGTGTATGGGGGAGAGCCCAGTGTCAAGTAGTGTACCTAGATTAGCGTGGCTAATAATATAGGAGTGTGCCTAGTATTGAGAGGTGACTGGGCAGTAAGCTGTAATATTAGGGGAGGTTAACCCAGGCTAGAGAAGGGGAGCTGTAACCCTCTGGGTCGTACATTAAACAAGTGTCAGTTCATGCAGGTTAGACAGAAGCCGGAAGGTGTGTGCACGCGATGTGAAATACGGCTTGCCGGCTGTGGGGCTGAGTAATGGGCGTCTCAGCCTATGCCCAGTGCTGGAATGTCCCCTGGCCTGTCGCAGCAGGCACCTCCAATGGAGCTTCTGGGCTCGGTTCCTGCTCCAGCGGTGTTCGGCATGATGGTCTCCTGTTCAGCAGTGCAGTGGCATGGGGCTGTGCTGATCTGTGAGTCTTGGGTCGGGTGGGTGGCGTGCAGATGAGGCTTGCTTGATGCAGCAGCTCCCATGTGAGCGGGAGAGTCTGTCTGAGTGGCGTGTTGCCGTTTCCCGCTTTGTCGTCTGCTCAGCCTGATGAGCGCTCTGGATTCGTGTATTAAGTGCACATATTGGCGTCGCCGGGTCTCAGGGCGGATCCAGGAGGCCACTGTTTTGACTGCTAGGAAGTAGGGCATTCCACGCTGGCAGAGCACTGACCAAAATCTCCTGCAGAGCCGATTGAAAGCCTCCAGAGATTGCATAGGTGGCTGGGTTAATGTGCTCTTTGTCTGCGGTTTGCGCTGAGCCGCCATCTTGCGAGTGCCTCGGTAGTCCATTGCCCCCACAGATTATGTAGCCGGCTTGTCAACAGTTCTGGTCTGAGTGTCCAGTGGGGACCGGGATAACCCCCACCGGTCCAAAGGGGGGGGGGGTAGGGGACCAGCAAAGTCGCTCGAGGGTGATGGTGTCGGGGGGAGCGGCCGCCTCTCCCCGGCTCAAATCCCAGTAGGCCGCACGTGGCGTTCTGTCCCGACAGGCTCCAGAAAGGTGTCGCTTGATTCAGTGTTGTGCCCCCGATCTGGTTGGCGCACCCTGGTAGTTCCTTGGGCTGTAAAGCCACCGATTTTGCCCCAATTTCTGTCTGCCAGGCGGGAGCTTGTGTGACCCACGTCTGCTCTGCCTGGTGGTCAGGCTCCGCCCCCTTTGAACCCTTTTACCAAGTTTTAATGGCAGCGAACATTTTGGTTACATGTCTCTGGAAATCCAAACATTTTCCATCATAAAAAGATATGTGATCAAATTTCGATAAATTGGTCTTATGAAGGTATGGCAGGCAGATAGCTATACATGAATAAAGCGACCTTGCACACCCAGGTACTGTGGGACACACTCATAGCTAGAAAAGATGGTGATGCAAAAGGAATGATGAATGTTGTATGACGACATTAAGACTCTGGATATGTATGTTTTATCTCTTGTATCGCCCTATGCAAAACAAATAAAAATGGTCAAATTGACCATTGGCCAGGAAAGGGTGCTGCGTTTGAAGTTCTTGTTCTAGCATTCTGCTGTTGTGGACTGCATTGAAATTGTAGTCAAGTGGGGAAATATGTAGAGGGGCAAGGAATTATTGCAAACAAGTTACACTTTCTACGTTGCCTTGCAGAGTGGTGCTATGGTGAGTGTTCCGGGCACCTTGATCTCCCAAAAGTACTTTGTATAATAAGTACTGAGTATGTAGACAATGGGCATGATAGAGTGCGGAGTTTCTAGATTGCTTAAATCTATATTTGAGAGGTGCTATGACAAGGAGGGAAGCCTCTGGTCTTATTGGTACCAAGCAATGCCACTGGTTACATTGTGTAGATATTATATTCGTGATCTGCAATATATGTAATAGTCATCCTAGTGTTGATGCCATTCTTGATTTTCTTTATTTTGCATTGTGTTAAAAACGTCAAAGGAAAGGCAGTTACCAACTTACCATCTCCACCAACAAACTTAAGCACTGACGTCTTAAAAGATTTCACCTTGTCTTCTTGAGCCCCTATGTCAGCTTCAGTTAAAGCATGCTTTTGAAGGAGATATTCAACCTCATCAAGGTGTTTCCCAAAATCTTGAGATAATAGACCAACCTATAGCATAAAGGAGAAAATATGATTTGTAGCCATATATTTTATGAATAGAAAAGTGAAAATCTGCTATAACATTAACTGATAGGCCCATAATATCAACACTGTGTAGAATGTATGTTTATTTTCTCTCCATTGTAACTACAGTATCCATCTGTGATCTGTTGAAAGAATCAAACTGTATAACTTCTGAATTTCAGATATACACCTTCATAAAACTATCAAATATTTTGCCAGTTTCAAACCCTTGAAGAAAGGTGGGTCACTGGGTGATATCAGAACTATAAGTAAATGGTCGAAAATTAGTTGTGAGAATTCAAAGTGAATTTTTAAATTCTCTAAGCCAGCTGTGCTTTTAATTCAGCTAGTCCGGCCTTACATTTGAAATTCATTTTGAATTCTCACTTTAGTAAATAACTCTGTTTGTGTCCAACCATTAAAAAACTTAGCAACTGACTTAAGACTAATGTCATAGCATAGGTTCTTTTTCTAGTATTCTATTTCTCATCATCTGTCAACATTCTATTGTACAGTTTACTATATTTTATCACCACGTTTCCCTTATGTATTCAAGTGTAAATATATGTCTTTGTGACAGACGACACAAAGTCAAAGAATACACAGTGTAAAATTCCACTGATGCCCCAAGTTATTTATACTCAGAGTAATCTTAAAGCCATGATTATTGAATTTCCTTACTTTCATTTCATCCATCCAATTAACGGTGTGCAACATTTCCTGGAACTGGGTCTGTAGCTCCAAATTCATGTTGAGTCTCTGATGCCGAGCATTTAGCATTTCTAGAAGGTATTGCCAGAGGCGAACAACATTATCTTTCCTGGCATTAATCCGTTTTATATCATGGTATCTCTCGTTCTCCAGCTCTTTGGCCACATTTACTAAAGCCTGGACTCTCTCTTTATAAGCCAAAATGTCTGTCTCAATTGCTTCATGCTTTTTATTGGCGGCTTCCACCGATGGCAAATCATAACCAAAGTTATCCTGTAGAAGACAAGAAGAAATATTATATCCCATATAACTGTATGTGATATCTAACTAGTGCGTAGAAAGCAAGTGTGTTTCTTTTTACAGCCAACATTTCTTGGTTACTTCAGGTCACAAGAATGTTGATTTAGAACATGAGTAGAAAAAGGTCCTATGTTTCACAATTCATAGTGTATAATCACCCTCACATCAACCGTTCCTTTTCATATTGGTTTAATTTAGAAGGATTGATAGCCAATCAAATTTGTTGTTTTACCCTCTACCATCAATAGAAAGGAACATTGGAACTCTGGGCTCTTGGAACATTACTGAGATGCTGGTTGTTTTGGAACTATACTTTTCTGAAACTGCTTCCACTGTTGCCCTGCTATTGAACAAACCACTTTACAAGCAATGGTGATGCATGCAAAACATTGATTGATTAACATGCCACAGAGCAAATTAATCAGAGGAAGTTTACCTGAGCAATTAGATGTTGATTCTCAGCCACCCAGGCCTCCCTCATTGCTGCCTTCCTGTCAAAGCGTTTTGCCAGCTGTTCGAGTTTTTCTTGACGAATGAGTTCAGCCCTCAAGGTAGTCTCTCGCTCATGCTCTGCCTTTTCAAGTCGGCCCCAGGCCTGTTTGTGATTATGAGAAAAATAGCATGTTAATTTGCAATTGGTCCTTCTATCATATTGCTTTTCCTCTCCAGAATAATGCCCCTTAATCCTCCAGTTCACACCTTGCAGGTGTGAACAACCTATCGAACAGACATTTTTAGCTTATTGTTCTTTTCATTGAGAAAATAAGAGCAGTTACACAGATACAGGGTCATTTAAGGGCCACCAGTCCTCTGCAGATTCCGCTCCCGCAGCAATCCTGGAAGTAATAGGCCAAGTTTAAAAATAATATTAAATCCAATGAGATTAAATCTAGATTTATTGGAATGTATAAAGTAATGTTTTGATTCTTTTTCAAGCCTCTTGTAAAACATTGCTTTCTGCATTTCGATAAATCTGTATTGGATTCCATCTAATTTTGTGCCTGGTTCGTTACTTATTGTACTGCTCTCTCAACTAACACAAGGTTCTTATTCCAAATGTCAGCACCACAGTCACCCTGAGAATACAAAAACGTGGTGCCTGGACTCTAATGTAAATTTAAAGTTTGCACAGAATTACTTGCCTGGTGTTATTTCAGATCATTGAATTCTAGTTATGACAATCTAGGATTATTTTCTAAGATTATTTTCAACGTACCCTGTTGATGTCCGATACTAGCTTTCCGTCATGAGGTACATATACTTTCTGTTTATTCTCCCTCATCTTGGACTGGATGGTGAACAAAAGGACTTCCAACTCTCCTTTCTCCTGAAATCTTAAAAAAAAAAAAAGACATATATATTTTGCATACATTAATTTCCATCACACACAAGGCACACAGGAAATGCATAATATACAAATGTATTCCCTACCAGTTGCGCAAAGAACACCTTAATTTTTCTTGCTTATCTACACATGTACCATTTAACTCTTCTTTTGAAGAAAAATATATTTTAAAAAATCATCATATTACATCGTAAATTCCACGTAGAAATCAAATAAGCATCCTAATTCTTTTGATATTTAACATTGTCATTAAGTCTTATCACATGTTAATAACTTAGACTCTTCTAAAACATTCAGTTGATTTAGCTAGACCTAAAGAAGGTGAAAAGTCCACACCTATTAAAAAACTTATAAGATCTTCGTAAATAGTATAAGTTACCTACACTTTCATGTTTGTCAGTTCCTTTTTAAATAACCCTTTCGGTTCTCTAGAGAACCAAAGTTGATGAATACACAATGACTCCTCTTCCTTCTACATGTCTTGAAGATGTCATAGGAAGCCAGAAAAAGCTCATGTAGGAGGTACATGAAAATGCCCCATACCATGGTCAAGTAATGTGTCTAATACTAAAATAAAACTCTGCCTTTCTCAGCTACAAAAATGAAAAAATCCCATAAAACAACGAGTACTGACTTAAGCAATCCCTGCTTCGTTTAGTTAAGAAGACAATGGTATTGAACCAGATTTTAAGGAAACAGTGAATGGTCAATCCTGTGTACCCAAATAAATGTCAAACTCTGATACAGCCATACTTTGAGTTAGCCATGCAGGCCTACATAGTTGGCCACTGGGATAAATGCCCTTGGAGTACAAAGAGTTATGTTGGAAATGTGTCCTCAAGTTTAAATGCTTCCTCTAATCACTAGTGTTATGTAGGTTAATGCACTGCTAACCATATGCCCCTCGTGTCTTAATGTCTGTGTGATCTCGGGTTACTGCAAATGATAGGATTTCAAATACCAAAACTGTGTTCTTAGTCAATCAGGATATAACATGAATTTAGTAAACAACACCTGCCCCTGGTTAATATGCCACACTGTGTAATTAAACACTCAATAAAATTTTGTAGTAAATAAATCATTAAAATGTTTGTGGGTTATATTATGTGTGCTTACAGACTGGAAGGAGGCTACTAACGTAATGGTAAGCTAATATAATTAACAGAGTTCTGTTCGTCCTTAAAGGGACACTATAGTCACCAGAACAACGTTAGCTTAAGGAAGCAGTTTTAGTGTATAGATCATGATCCTGCAGTCTCACTGCTCAAATCTCTGCAATTTAGGAGTTAGATCCCTTTTGTTTCTGTCCATGGAGCCCTAGTCACACCTCCCCTGGATGTGACTCACACACCATGCATGAAATAAATGGTTTCACTTTCAATTAGATGTAACTTACTTTAAAAGTTATTATTGCCTGCTCTCTAAAGTAAACTTTAATCATACACAGGAGGCTTCTGTGGGGTCTAGCTGACTATCAACAGTGCAGGGGATAATACATTTTAAATGAAATTGAATTTGCAATGAAGGAAGTGTAAACATTAGCTGACTCTTTACAGGAAGTGTTTAGGAAGGCTATGCAAGTCACATGCAGGGAGCTTTGACTAGGGTTCATAAACAAAGTGATTTAACTCCTAAATGGCAGAGAATTGAGCAGTGACACTGCAGTGAAATGATCTATACACCAAAACTGCTTCAATAAGCTAAAATTGTTTTGGTGACTATAGTGTCCCTTTAATGGGGGAACAATGATTTCCCAGGATTTTTATATTATGATTACTAATCCCCTATATTTGTGAAATATAGATTTCTAAGGTGTGAGAGAAATTTTTTTTCCACATCGCTCTATCCAGGAACTGAATGTCTACATGTTGACTTTTATACTGACAACCACTAGAGGTGCTTCAGCTGCACTGACTGAGTAAAACATGGTTACTGATGTGGAAGCTTGTAGGAAAGCATTGTATTCAATACCTTCCTAAGGGACATGCACATCAGGTCCCTAATGCTGCTCTATAAGGAGTATTGGATTGGACCAACTCTGAAGGAGCCCATGCCACATCAATAATGTTGTGAGAGGTGAGAAGCACTGATGGAGTCGCCCTGGAAAAAAGGTAACCTGTAGCCTGTATATAACTAGGGACTTGTATTCCTAATGCTACAGTGTTCCTTTAATTGTACAAAAACAATGCCATAAGTATATTTTATTTATTTATTATTTCTTTTTAAAGCTGCATTACACTGTAGGGGTTATTATGTTTGGAGTACCCACAGGGGTGTTACTAGATGGCACAAAGACCAGGGGCTTCAGCCCGAGGTCAAATTATATGGTCCTTCCTACATCTATTGACTTAAGCCATTCATCCAGGCCCATGTCCAACCCTAAAACATAGTGTGTTCTATAAATTACATAGTGACACAATTCAAAGTATTACATGTGTCACAGAACCCCATTTCAACATGGATTTAAAAGGGGTACTATCACTATGGAAAGGACATGGATTAAAAGGGCTATTATCACAATGGAAAGGACATGGATTTAAAAGGGCTATTATCACTAAGGGAAGGGGTTATGGAGACACCCTGGATGCCTACTCTGGACCACAGCTGGAATTAGGAGACCAGTGGGGATTGCCTGGACCCATCCTGCACATGGAATGCCTGACCAGGAGATGCTCTGGAACTGTTTGACAAATTAGGGACTCTGCTATGATCCAGTAAACTTTCCAAATTGGAAAAGGGTGGTTTAGATTCAACTGGCTAATTCCAATAAAATGTTAACCAAATTAGATTTGGTTACTCAGCTATCACAGCCACTTACTTGGGAGGTTTCTCTGTGGTTCTGTAGGCACTGAATGACTGTAATTGTTGCTGAACCCCCAACAAAGAATTTGCAAACTTCCAGTTTGTCAGAGCCAGGATTGTTTGTTCAATCCATGTCAACAGATCAGAGGCAAGTCTTTCATATTTATGAATCATTTTTTCTGTCTCGATGGCGCCATCCAAAACCTCAACAATAGAAGCAAACAGCAATTCACGTTAAACTGAATATTTAAAATCAATAATGTGCCTTAATAAGAATTAATATGCGAAGAAGGGTCCATTGCTTTTACAAATACAAATTTCTGCAAAGTCACATAACATTTAAGGATATATATATTCTCAGAGAAAAACATTGGGTTTCTTTACGAAAAGTGATTTTCAGTAAAATACAAATTGTAAATGAAAATTTAGACCACAATATTTACTTGGAAAAATAGCTCATTTTGAGATTTCTTTACAGTTTTTTTTGTTGTTTTTTTTAGATTGTGCCATTTTGGTCTCAAGTTTTAAGCAATGTTTTCATTATGTAACCTTCACCAAATGTGTTTTTTTTTTTTTTTTAGTTAAAGTGAATCTGTCACATGTCAAAAATTCACCTTAATTGAGAACATTCCATATGACCTAATATCAGTAACTATTTCTACCACAAGTGCATTCCATCCATTTGGCTGCTCCAGTAGGACAAGGGATAACCTTGGGATCAGCTAGAATTATTAAGCAGTATTTGCAGGTTACACATCGAAACGTAAACAACTCTAAAGATACTGTTAAGAAAAAATGAAAAGGGTTTTATTAAACTGTGATTGTTTTTGAGAATTTACAAGGGAATTGCAAGCTGAACAAACAGCAAAGTTGGATAATATATTGGCCATAAATTGGCAATTTTCTTATGAATTCTCCACAATTTCTTTTCCAAATCAACACATTTTGATATTGCCTTATTTTCACCACCAAATCTGCATTGAGCACCACCAAATTCACACATTAAAACTTCAGTTTTAGCAATTGGTAAGGAGATAGGTCGGGGTATGAAATTACCTTGCCAATTCTTTTGCCTTCTACAGCTAATGCCTTCATCTTGGAAAAGTAGTGATAAAATGCTACTACATAGGTAATAATGGACTTTTCATCAGGATTTTCAGTGAAGACGTCTGTAAAACAGATTTATAAAATAAACACAGTGCTATGTTTCGCAATTATACCCCACATTTCTCAGTACACCAGCAATCAAGTGATGAGAGAGCACCCACTTTCTATACGACTCTACCTACGCCTTCCCAGTAGAATATTCAATAATAAATGGAAAAAATGTCCAGCACTCCTTATTGTAAAAAATGTTTATCCTTTTTTGTCAAAACAGCAAATTAATGAATTTAATTTTTCACAATGAGGAGTGTTGGGCATTTTTCTACTTAGTACAGCAGCAATGGCGAGCTCGAACCCACTAAATAGTCATTTGTACTACATCAGTACTAAGTCGACTAATGCAAATAATTAGAAAATAATAGTTAACAAAGGTGATGATGAATTTTGGCACAGGTGTGAGAATTCTTTAAAAGAAGGAATTTCAGGAGGAGGGGAACAATGTGCTTCAGGCTTGGAAATATACAACAGATGATGTGTTGGCTACAAGTTAACCGCAAATATATTTAGTCCTTCCCAGGTGCGGGCAGAAATTCAGCTACCAAAGTATTATGGGAAACTATTAAATCTATTAACCACTTAAGGAATAATTATATTGTATGCTGTCCCTAGTGATCCCATGTCAGAATGGAATGTTCTACCTATTTAGCATTTGCAGATCTATATGGCCCTGTCACTGTTACATGAGTGTGGCATTCCAATTTAATACAAGATCTTCAAAGGCTGGAATGCAAGACAAAAATTATTCCATTACTGGTTCATAGGGGGTTAATTCTATACGCTCCACTTTTCAGACTATCTCCAATATAAATAAATATAAATTCATCTTGCGTTCGTATAGCGCAGGCATCGCCGTTGCTAAACAATCATACTTTTCCTCTCAACAATCCCAGGTCTTTCTTTAATACCTTCAACTCTCTTTTTCACCCTGCTATGACTAAACCCCAAATTAAACTTTCAGCCGATAGCTTTGTATGTTACTTTACTGACAAAATTAAAACGGTAAGGAAAGAATTCTCCACCTTAGCACCTCTCTGTTATCCATACTTGGACTTTTTCTTTCCTACACTTCATGTTTTCGCCTCGGTTATTGAAGAGGAGGTGGCTGAGCTTTTCCTTTCCTCTTGTTCCACCGCTTGTCCACTTGATTCTGCCCCATCTTAACTTATCAGATATCTTTCCCCTTGTCTTGTGCTACCCTAAATGCATATCTACGACTGCTCTCTTTCTTCTGTCATTGTGCCTGCTCCCTTTAAACATGCTGTTGTATCCATCCTAAAAAAAAGTACTCTCTTGACCCGTCTTCCCTTTCCAAATATTGTCTCATATCCTGGCTCCCTTCTTCCTCAAAGTTTCTAGATCAACTTGTTTTTACCAGTCTGACTTGCTTTCTCAATTCCAACTCTCTCCTTAATCCCTATCTAATCTGCCTCCTCCACTTTGCGACCTCTCTGATTAAAGTAGCAAATGATGTACTAATGTACAATGATGTACTAATAATAATTCTTCTTAACTTCTCTGCTGCCTTTGACGCAGTTGATCATGTCCTCCTTCTTCAAACTCTTTAATCCCTCTGTCTCTTTGACACCATCCTCTCGTGGTTCTCGTCCTATCTCACCCAACGTTCATTTAGTGTCTCCTTTTCTAATAACACCCTCCCCTCTTCCTGTCTCAGTTAGAGTTCCTCAAGGCTCTATTCTCAGTCATCTTTTGTTCTCTCTTTACAATGCCTCTCTTGGCAAACCTATTCACACAAATTGTGACCTGTGTATTTATAACCAGATGAAACAACACATTCATGAAGAAACCAATTCCTCACTTATTTGTACCTTTTAGTATTGTTAGTGGAGCTAAGTTCACAAAAAAATATATATATATAAAGTTTAGATACACATACCAACCGAATAAATGTATTATTAAGGTCAGCCATATATAACTGTTACCATCAATATTGATAATAATTAATAAAGGCCAAATTAGACTTTACAAGACTTCGGGGTCTGCGGCCTATGAGGGTGAAGAGCGGGGCGGACTGCTGCCGTCCTGTTTGTGAGCCTGGCTGCCGTGCAATAGCCTTGCGACATGTCTCGCGTGTCCTGCTACCCCCCCCCCCCATCCATGGACTAAGGGGTTATCCCGGTCCCCACTGGAGGGATTCACCGCCTAACACTGGACCTCCATCAAGCCTACTTGGCACTGTGCATCCCACGCCTGGGCACCAAAATGGCAGCAATGCGACCAAAGATGAGCAACACAACTTTGCCTACCTGCAAGCAGCTATGCCCACAGGACAACATGCTGACTATGACCCCTGTCCAGGATACTCAAGTTGGCAAACAAGCAACGGATCCCCTCAGAAGCCCTTGCCTACTTACCCACAGATCGGGCCTGTTCCCCACAACTGCCTTCCAGGCATTGGGCCCCCAGAGGTGAAACCTCACACCACAGCCCAAGTCTGGACAGACCAACATCCCTAGGACTCCAGTTGTTGGCCGTAAGGAGCCAAAACCGAGGGCACAGGTAACGGACCCATGAAGTGCTGGGGGCTGGCAGCGTGGTAATCTCCAGACTTAGCAATAAGAAGCTGATACCGATTGCTGGTGGGAGGCAGGAGCAGACCACAGCCAGATGACACTGCAAATCTGCCTGCAGGTATACCACAGAGGTCTCAGGCTGCAAGACCAGATGGGACAGGTGACACAATTGGCAAAGCTCCAGTAGACTTTCACAGTAATCCTGGGCCACCTTATTGACGATATGCTACACACTTTGTAGCTAATAATTCTAGTCTTAGTTTAATAATAGGCAAAGGTCTTGACACACTCATGCTCCTGCTGCCACTTACCATGACAAAACCTTCATAGTTCCAGTACACTTAACTTACGTAGCACAAAAATCTAAGCACAGTAACATGTGTCTAGACAGCCATGCCTAGCCTGAGCAAATTTACTAATTAGCACGAATAGTCAGTCGGGAAGGCCTACTCGCACGATATAAATAAAGATTGACAAAAATAAATAAATATATATAACTTGTAACTTACCTTCTGGGTCAAGAAGCTGCGTTATGCCCAACTGTCGATCGGCCACATTGAAGGCATTCTCAAGGTTATGTCTAGCATTGGATTTCTTCAGTTTCTCAAAATCTATCAGATCAGGCCTGAAAGATAAAATATTATTATGGTTGGCAGATTATTGGATAGATTGTATAGACTCATGTATTACTGTAATAACAATTTATACATCTTTAAATGTGTTAACCATTACGTTGTATATAAGTAATGAAAGCAAGACATCTGGTTGAAAAGAAGACATATTATTTTTAGCATTAGCACCATCTATGGTGTTTCCATATTGTATACAATACAATTGGGTTGTTATCCTAACCCGTCCATGCTATCCATTCTAATTCTGTTTACTGATTGATGTACGTCATAGCTACATGAACATTCTGAATTCTTCCTGTGAGCATACTTTCATAGTACATCAAATTTAAACACATAGTACACATACTTTTAAACAGCCCTATGTGTCCCTGAAATCTAACAATAAAATAAGCATACATTCCACTATATCTGGCAATGGAGTGGGTAGCATTCCAGTGGCAGTATCTTAGAGTTGCAAGTTCGATACTACTTAAAGTCTACTCACAATTTTATCCTTATAAGTTCAATAAGACAAGAAACTTTAAATTGGACATGCATGGAAAATTAGCAACCAGCTATCACCTCTATCTTCGTGGACTTTTCACATTGTTGTTAGAAGGTTCGTTCTCCCTGCTACAAATAACACGTGCCTTGCCTGCGTTCTCTTGGGTTCTTGGCCCCTATTTCACTCTTTGTTAATTCATAATTTTTCTTAATTGTATTTTTTGTTCCAAGAGTAATTATGTTGATGCTTCCAAAATATTTTAACACTTTGCTTTCCAGGTGAGCAAATATTATGTTATTAGGTAAAGTAGATGGAGGAAAATATGCTATGGGATCTATTTTCTTGGGGCAGAGGTGACCAGAGAGAAAAGTAATTTGAGAATTATCATTTCAAGTGTGCTGGAAAAGTTTTCTCTTTAGAACAAATTTGAGATGTTCTCGAGTGTGCACCATCTTCCAGGGAAGCTACTAGGACTTGTCGTGGTTTATTTAAAATAAAAATCTATTTAATGTCACACCTATGGATTTCTCCTTAAAGGCCAGCTACAACCAATGTTTTTTATAATACATATACGGTATTGTGATGCCTATGCATATTTGGTCATTATGTTTATTATTATTGTACCAGTAGAGTATTTGAGACTGTAGACAAACTATTCATCATGAAATGGCCAACCTTGTTGAAGTAAGAACCATCTCATGAAAATCACAATTTGCAAACCTTTAACTTTTTACTCATTTTCAAAATATATACATATTCCCATGTGACTGGCTCATGCCAAAGACATCATCGAACAATCATCTGTAAAAGTTATGTAATTTATTAAATATATATTAAACCTATCTGAACCATATCTAAAGCCAAACTTCCCTAATAGTCAGTGGACAAATCATCTTCTCACATGGGATCTTCTCGAACAAGCTTACAAGCTAATTAAGCATAATAGGAACGGTACTTCACGAAGTCTTTAAAGTCCAGCCTCTTCAGATGTTTGTAAAGTGCAATCCTTATGATGACTGGGTTTGATTTACGTCAAGTAAAATGCATATGCCCCTCTACTTCCCTCTTAGCTATCTCTCCAAAGTCTCTCCTAGTTCTTTTTTCCCTCCCAGCCATCTCTCACTCGTTCCCCTCTCTTAGTTATCTTTCACTAATCCACCATAGCTATCTCTACCTATTCCCCTTCTTTAGTTTTCTCTTAATTCCCCTTAGGTTATTCTCTTGATTACCGTTCCTGTTCTAGAATGGCTGAGCCCTTTTCCATAGCCTCAGCTGCAACATTTAAGCAAGGCGGCAAAGCTGTAAGTTTAGGAGTTTAACATGATAAAACATCATATACCCACCTCTCTTTCACTACAAATATACCAACTGCTACAAATGTGATTTTCACATGTAAGTAATGCAGTTTTACTTTCTATAGATTTCCATTAACTTTCATAATGCAAAAAAACAAAGACAGTGTAAGTTTAGCAGATCGTTTATATGAGCATATAAATGAAGTTTGCTTATTTTTAACCCAATTCCCACAGAAAATATCTTACCTGTGTTTATGTATCAAAGCATTAAATGCCATTCCATCCTTCCAGCTTGATGTAAAGTTTGTTATATTGACATTGGGGTATCTATAAAAATAATAAAGAATAAGAATTTTAAGTATTATCAATTAATTATACTAATGAGTTTTCATTTTTACAAAGAGTAGCGGTACCTAAAATGTAATATGATTCTGAATTTCAATATTTCAAGTTATATATTTATAAACATGACAATGGCTAGCAGTCTTCTCACTAATATTAATAAAGAATCCTAAAATTAATTTCTTGTGAAAAGACTCAAAACAATAATGTAATAATAAAAAATAGATATAGTATCTCTGTTGACGCACTTAAAACTACTGTTTTTTTTACCCAAATGGACAACCTTGCCTTACGCTTTGTATAATTCCTTGAGAGTTATAAAAATGCTTCTAAAGCCACCAGCAATACTAATGATCTTCTGAGTAGATGACTGACCAGTTACATCTAGTTTACTATTCACTATTTAGTAAATATATCTCTAATCCTACAGACTACCTGTGAAATAATAGAATAACAACATAATTTTTCTTCTACTTTGCCAGTCTCACATTTTCTCTTTAGAAACCTGTTGCTTTCTCTCCTACAATCTCTGTTTTATGTTTCATATTATGATATAATTTATCACACTTAGCATTATCATTATAATCCCATCATCTCATATGTAAAATTTAATTTGATATAGATTACACGTGACTTGTCATTCAATATGCCGGTCCATCAGCCCTTATTCTATATTCCATAACACTAACACATACGTCATATCATTCCACATTCCATCCCTTGAGTGGATAGAGAGGTATGATACTACAGTAAGTGTCAATCCTGCCATGCCACACAAAGCTTGGTCACAGATCTTGAACCTTCACTGATAGAGCAGGCTTTGTGCAAAAAAGCCATGGTTCTTGCTTGGCTGTATTACTAGAGCCGTCCCGCACATGTACCAGTGGGACTGCCACATTAGTATGCTGCTGATTGTCTACATATTTTTATTTTTTTTCCCCATAAATTTAAACATCAGAATGTGGTATTTGTCATTTCATACCTTGTATAATCATAATAGAGGGGATCAAATACCAAATCATCATATGTATTATTCATTTCTCTTTTTTCTCTCTTTATCATTTATACACATACATATATATATATATATATATATATATATATAATTCTATTTCCTTTCTCTCTTTCTACCGTTCCTTTACCCCTTCTTTTTCCCCTCTTCTTTCCCTTTTTATTAACTAACCACTTCTTCAGTTTTATTTGGTTGTCTACATATTTTAGTATTATCCAGAATGAATAGGCAATATCCCATTGTACAGCGCTATGAAATTTGCAGGCGCTACATAAATAATAAATAATAATAATAGGGTTACCATAGCAACATATACCCACTATAGATATACACACCTTGATCAAATTCTGCATATATTTAAAATCATTATATTATAAAATAGGTTTAGGTAACAGTTAGGTAACAGTTGTTTTTTTAACATTTCATGCTGGAAATTTGCATGATGTTTATAAATAATGAAAGGGATGAGAAAGCAAATGGGGCAACTAACAAAGACTGGCATCCCTGTCCTATTTTTGCCAGGGCAGTCCTATTTTTTTTTACTCCAGTCCTAGCGAAAATTGGTCCTTAGACCTGTTCTGCATTCCTGGGTCGAAACTACTGGAGGTTCAGTCAGTGTAGGTGCCCCAGGGCCAATAGGCTTGTAGGAACCCATCTCTGATCAATGATTGGGTACTGCAGCCCTTTAACAGCACACTGCATCTGGCCCTCTCAAATGGTTATCCCATCATACGATCGCTATGATAGGAGGAAATGATTATTTTCTTACCCAGCTGTCTTCATCTGACACCACAAAAGTAAGGCATCTTTGGCGGAACGTGTCTCACTTCCTTTTGTCTCAATTACTATGTCCTGTATCTATATTAACAAAGATTAAATAGTTTATTCATTAACTCCAAAATGATAACAAAAAAAACATTTGGGAACAAGTTTCAACCTTGGAGAATATTCTAAAATTAACAAAATTTTAGATGAACAACTTTAGAGATATGAAACACTTTATTTAGTGTAGTCCATTTTTACTATGGAGAAGGCAGTTTACATGAAGTTGAAACGGATTTGATTCATTAAATGATGTAATTTTATCTTGCTTAACTCTCATCGATTTAATGATAAAATTCCTCTGTAGTTCACTTTATTCATTACCAACTGAGTTGAAACTGCATTCAGCTGAATGGCTCCCTGGCTAATTTCAAATAGATCTCTTTACTGCAGTGAGATTTATTTGAAAATAGCGCAAAATGAAAACGCCAGCCAAATATTCTTGCTACAGGGGAAAAAAATTATGCCGTCAAGATAAGAGAAGGGTTTGGGGAGAAATTAGGCTTGGGATATTGCTATTGGTCCAGGAGGCAAAATAGTAAGGGGTAGATATAGGACCACTTTATATAGTAATTTGGTTGATTTTAACAGCTAACCCAATGGAAGCTAACTGGAAATGCCTTTTGTGAAAAGCCAAATGGGTTTCACATAGCAATCTTTCTGTTAAAACAAATTAATCTGGAAATTTATAACTACTGGTGGATTATTGGTTTCATGAGCCTGGAGTTTAAAATTATGCTTGGCCCAAAAACAAAACCTGAATTTGTGTTTCTGATTCTAGTTGTTAATCAGGGCACAGATCTAATAGTGAATTGTATATATCGTGCCAAAGCTTCCTCTGGACCATATGTTTAATGGTTTTCATCTGTAAGAATTCATTACAATTTTATTTTCTAGCATATGGTATAGCATTGTCTATTATATTTGAGTTCTTAATACAACTATTTATTAAAAGAATACAATTTTAAATGAGCCAGGGATATTATTCATCATTATATTTGAGTGTTCATTTCATCCATTAATCGAAAAGGGATGGTATTTACAGTCATGAGATCGAACAAGCACAATCAAGACACAGTGCATTAAAAAATAAAAAAAAACAGCTGCCATATGCTTAGACCATTGAGAAATATGCAAGACTGGTAAACACTGTTTTAAATGAACTGTTTTAAAGCATGCTTAAGCATCGGCATAAGAACCAAAGAAAATTGGGTCAACCTTTCATAACAAATATATGGCACTTGGATGTTAAACTATGCAGTATTCTATAGGCAACATGATGCACCATCACTGGAGAAAATTGAATATAGACCAATTTAAGCTACCTGACCTTGATATATACAAATATGCAATTTCTTACAAAAACAAAAATCAATTATTCAATAAAGGCCATGATATTTTTGCATCCTCTACTTGAAACATATATATTTTCATATTTCTTAACCACTAAAACATATGATTTTTAAAACTATAAACTTCATGACTTGGGGGAATACACCTCACAGTATATATATATATTATTTTTTTTTGGGGGGGGGGTGGGGGTTTGTCTCGCCCGCTTTCCATACCCATGAGCATTGGCACAAATGTAACATTGCTTTGCCCATTTCAAGACATAGCCCCGCAATAAGTATATGTGAAAAATTGTGACCACATACCTGGAATCGTAATATGATGGTCCATATGAGACCCAACGTCAGCCTGTGATTACCATTAACTATATCATGAGGACCGATATTTTCCAAATGGACTCTTTTCTCCTTCAGAAAATTAAGAGCCTTGTCAACATTTTCTAAACAGTGGATACGCATTCTCCCTTTCGTTCTTCTTGGCTACAGAAAAGTAGAAAATTGAAATGTTTAAATGTATTTACATTTTTTTATTGAACTTTTTGTTTTCCAGAAGATTGATCAGTTTAACAAAGTTTGCACATAAGTACACAATGATAAAATGGGTACAAAAGTTAACATTTTTTAATTTAATGTGTATACACCAATAAAGGGACTGCATTGAACCTCACATACAATCTAAATATCCACAAACAGCCTTTAGGAATCCTCTCTCTGACCAAAGGTTCAAGATTTCAATATCTTCAAGAATTATGAATTTTTATATGATATTTTAAAGGTATCACTGGTTTAGCTTACTGTTAAAAAGTAGCAATTTGGATGAAGGTAAGATTTTGGTATATATTAGCTGTGGAGTATATCTCTGCTATTGGACATCAAAGGTACCCAAAATATCACTCCATTTGTAATCTTTGGACAAGGCATAGGTGACCTTGAATCTTATTAAACCTCTTTTAGCCCTGCAAAGTTTCCATGGTAGTGCTGTGGTGGATTTTGGCTCTCATCGACCCTCTTCTCTTTTACGTTCAACATTTTCCTATCCTTTTTATTTAATTGTCTTCAGCCTGCCTCCATCATTAGCTTTACTTTAATCAATACAACAGATTTGTAAGTTCATGTATAGTTTACCTTTATGTCATGTCCTCACTCACTGTTCATTAAATTATATATCATGTCTATTTTGTTATCTTTAATAAAATGAAAGCAAAAACTTTCATCAACCTCTCCCCCACCCCCACCAGCCAGACTAGAAGTGCTTTTACTGAGAAAATAATTGTTATTTTATTAAAACTAAGCATCAGAAAATCCAACTCCGGGGGGCGTGGCCTGACTCTACATGTGAACGGTCGCATCTCTGCGAAGCTCCCGTTCCTCCGGGTTTATTTTAGCCGCCAAGCGACAGAATAAAGCAAGATGGGCAACAAGAAGAAACAACAGACCTCCCAAGAGACCCCGGGTCCCGGTACCGGCAAGAAAAGCGGGGATCTCGACAGATTTTTCCGAGACAAAGTGAGAGCGCTGACAGAGGCTGACACAGAGGATCCGCCATCTTCGCCACGTGTCTCCCCGCCGGAGAGCCCAGCAAGCTCCGATTCTCTCTACCCACCTGGGAATGCGACACTGCAGGAGATGCTGCAAAACCTACCCTCAAAACAGGACATGGCCTCCATGCTGGCAAAGCTTGAGGCATCCATGCAGGAACGATTGTCCTCCATCACAACAGAGGTACGCCAGATAGGGCTCCGGGTGGGAGGCCTAGAGGGGGACAGAGACAACATGCAACTCAGGCTGCACAATATGGAACAGAGGCAGGATGCCCATGAATCCAAACTAGTACAGATTTTACGCCACACAGAGGACCTCGACAACCGAGGCAGGAGGAATAACCTCCGGGTCAGAGGGGTACCAGAGGCACAAGGGGAACTGGAAAATACCAAGGATGTTCTCCAGGCCCTCTTCAATAACATACTGAAGCGTGCCCCGGACACCCCGATATTAATGGACAGGGCGCATAGGGCGGCAAGACCCAGGGGGCTACCACAAGAGACTCCCAGGGACATAATATGTAGAATTCACTACTATACACTAAAAGAGGACATACTAAAGCAGGCGAGGAATTCACCGGCCTTAACTATGTTTGCTACACAGATCCAGATATTACCAGACTTGGCGTGGCAAACGCTCCAGGGGAGGAGGGCCCTGAGGCCTCTCATCCAAGCCTTGCAAGCCAAAGAAATCCGCTACCGCTGGGGCTACCCCTTTGCTCTGATCGCCTCACATCAAGGAGTACAACATAGCATCGCAACGATACAAGATCTACCAGATTTTTTAAAGGCGTTTGACCTACCACACATGGAGATCCAGGACTGGTATGACCCCGGGTCCCAAGCAGCCATACAAGCGCAACCGCAAAGAGCCCGGTGGAGAAATGCAGCGGAGAGGAAACGGACACCTGGGAAACGGCTTCCCTTCACGCCAACTTCAAGATCAAGGGCAGCGGGACGAGACACGGGAATTGGACTCTCTACACCCTGAAATTATGAACTACAACTCACCCACCCACCTAACCACCCACCGCAAGAGAGACTTGTTTCACCTCAGTGACCTTTTAAGTCCCCGAGGTGTGGTGTCCCTGGTTCAGGACAGAGACTCACTACAACTGGATGCTACTCCTAACGGAACGACGATGACTGGCGTTGCTACCTTAAGACGCAAGTATTGTAAACTACACCAGCTGATGTAAAGTGGGACATAGGCACACATAGTCTACCACACATTAACACCGGGAGACGGTTATGGGACTGAGGCTTCAGATAAGGGGGGAGTCAGGACCAACTAGCGGGACGAGCTATTTTATATCTATCTCAAAAAGGGAAAAAAAAAAAATATATATATATATATATATATATATGTCTATAGATATTAAATATTGGCTATTATTAATCTTAACCACATTGATTTAGATTCAAAGTTTGGTCCGGCCAAGCGAGGCCCCTCCGGGACACGCCTCCGCACTAAGGGTGGTTGTTACGCCCGATAGGGGTAAAGGGGAGAAAGCATTTACACCTCTCAATAGTATAGCACATTGGACGTAATGATCTCTCGCTGTACATACTATGCGCACTGCTCACTCAGGCTGTTTTGCCGAAAAAAAAATAAAAAAATAAAATAAAAAAAATATTAAAAAAATAAAACGAAACGAGAAAAAAAAAATAAACACCCCAACCAGTACATAGCGGTGCTCAAAAGCCATGTTTTGCAAGGATAATCAAAAGAAACCCATGTACTCCATTTACGGCGCTTGGCGGCGCTATAACATAAGCGTAATTGTGAACGGTCGCAGAGACCAGAAATACAGACTGACACACCACCGGAAAACAAATACGACTGAAAGCCACATTTCATTCTAGGATTACGCTAAACGATATACACAACACCCCAAGTAACCGAATAAGGTTACGAGCGGTGCACTGACATCTTTCACTCTGACAGACATCATTCCCGATTCGGCGATTAAGGCCGACGGTGACTGACACTAAGCACCGACTCCTGCATAGTTAGTTAAATACTAACGGATATACGTGGCCCCTAGATCTAGGAGTCACATTTTTACAAGTTCGCTGTTAAAAAGTTTTCTTACATCTAAGTTTAGATATTTTGTTGCTTCTATACCTTATATCGCACACACCGCCGGGCATATACGCCCCACAACGACACGACTTTACCATGGACACAAGAGGTACCGCCATAGCAACGGTCAATAAACACGTACCTACCATAGATACTATAAAAATACTCTCATACAATGTCAGGGGACTAAATTCTCCTGAAAAGAGGAATATGGCACTGAGGGACTTTCAACGAATACAAGCCGATGTTGTTTTCGTGCAGGAGACGCACTTTAAAGGACCCACGGCACCAAAACTCACCAATAGACACTACCCCCACGCGTATTACAACAATTTCACACATAGCAAATCCCGCGGGGTTGCCATTCTGATAGGAGCCAAGATACCATTTGTGTACAGCCAGCATTTCGCGGATGATTCAGGCCGCTATGTTATACTACAGGGACAGATTAGCAACTACCCGGTGACCCTGGTCAATCTATACCTTCCAAACACACGACAATGTCACACCCTCCGTAAAATCTTAAACAAGGTTCAACAACTTACAACAGGGACCTTAATTATAGGGGGAGACTTCAACGTATCTCTAGATGCTCAAAAAGATAGCACGGCGCGACACCCTAACCATCTCCAACCGACCAGAACGCAAATTAAACGACTACTGCACGGCCATCAATTAGTGGACTGCTGGAGGGCACTCCATCCCACCACGAAAGACTACACATTTTACTCCAGACCAGCCTCCACATACACTAGAATAGATTATTTCATCACCACACACAGAGACCTTTCACTCGTAACCTCGGCAACAATCGGCAACATCACCTGGTCCGATCATGCCCCGGTTCAGATACAGCTCAAAATTCCTACCCTAGCTCAGGGCACAGGCCAGTGGAAACTAAACACCACTATATTGCATGACGAAACGGCTAAAAAAGCTATTGCCGAAACTATCTCCCAATATTTCCTAGACAATAACACACAAGACACAACCCCTTTCCTCCAGTGGGAAGCACATAAGTGTGTAGTGAGAGGGGAACTAATAAAATGGGGCTCCTTTCTTAAAAAAATGAGAATTAAGAGACAGACAGAGCTATTGACAGACATAAAAAACTTAGAAGAGGCGCATAAGGAAACCATGTCTGAATCCGATCATCGCAAACTTCTGTCCCTTAGGTCCGAACTAACAATTCTGCTACAATCAAAGGCTAAAAAATCACTGGTATGGACTAAACAGTTATTTTATGCCCAAGGGAATAGGTGCGGCAAACTCCTAGCAAACGCACTAAAGCATAAGCAGGAGAGAACGTACATCCCCCAGATTAAAACAGCAAACAACAACATTGTACAATCAAACAGTGAGATAGCAAAAACATTTAGGGAGTTTTACCACTCACTCTACAATCTAACGAGTACATCACAGGACAAGGATAGGATCAAGGCATACCTAAGCGATAAATTTGACAAAATACTACCCCAAACACTGGCCAGATCCCTAGATGAGCCCTTCACTCTCACCGAGCTCATGAACGCGATTAAAACCACCCCATCGGGCAAAAGCCCAGGTCCAGATGGCTACTCGGCTACGTACTATAAGACGTATCTGAAAGAACTAGGCCCACACCTTCTGGAAGCGATTAACTCCATAAGCCCTGACAAACCCCTCCCTAAACCGAGTCTGGAGGCCAATATTACTCTTATTCACAAGACTGGAAAGAACCCTGATTTATGCGGCAGTTACAGACCAATCTCGCTGATTAATGTAGATATCAAAATCTTTACTAAAATGTTGGCATTACGATTGAAACCTATGCTCCCAACCCTGATTCACCCCGACCAGGCGGGATTTGTCCCCTCTAGGGAAGCCAAAGACAACACCACGAAGATCATTGCCCTGATACATGAAGCTCTCAGCAATAAAGCCCCTTCCATCATGTTAGCTATTGACGCGGAAAAAGCGTTCGACAGGGTGGATTGGAGTTTTCTGTTGTCGACACTGGAAACACTAGGCTTTGGGAAAAGGTGGATGCAGTGGGTCCAGGCAATCTACTCTCACCCCTCGGCACGGCTTAAAATTAATGGGATACTGTCCGATCCGTTCCAAATAACGAACGGCACGAGACAGGGTTGCCCCCTGTCTCCGTTGCTTTTTATCTTGGGATTGGAACCTTTGCTAAACGCGGTACGGAACAGGCCGGGTGTAGAGGGAATAAGGGTGGGTGCACACCAGTACAAAGTATCGGCATTTGCAGATGACTTACTTTTTACACTCACTAACCCCCTAGAATCTCTTCCCACACTGATGGACCTCTTAGACGAATACAGTGCCCTATCCAACTTCAAAATCAATGTTGACAAATGTGAAATACTGAACCTCACATTACCAGACAAGGACAAGACACGACTACAAACGCGATATGCATTTCAATGGGCAACAAAGTCCATCAAATACTTAGGAGTCAATATAACTCCACGCACTAAGCTATTATATGGTGCTAACTTCCCACAAATCTTAGGAGCTATTAGTGCGGACCTGGAAGCATGGAATAAACCACACTTCCGATGGTTTGGGAGGATAAATATTTTAAAAATGAATGTACTCCCCAGACTACTATATCTATTAAACACTCTCCCAATCGCCATCCCGAGAACCTTTTTTAAGAAAATTCAGACATTATTTACACAGTTCATATGGGCCAAAAGACGTCCAAGAATAAGGTACAACATACTAACGAGATCTAAGGAGTTAGGGGGGGTGGGCCTGCCGGACATCTGGCTATACTACCAGGCGATACACGTAGGCCGAATCATAGACTGGACATACCAAAACGCCTCCAAAGAGTGGGTCACAATAGAACAAGTTCAGATAGGCGACTCATTAAAGGCAATTCCATGGCTGCTGACCTCCGGTAACGACTGGACGACACTAGCACACCCGACGATAACACCAACCCTACAAATATGGAAAAAAGTACGCAGCTACCCAGACATTGCCCCAACACCATCTCCGAAATACCCTATAACGAACAACCCCCTTTTCATAGCAGGGAAAAGGGGCTTCCAATTGAAACCAATGAGAGACGACCAACGGAAGGCACATCTGACACTAGACGAGGTAGTGAGAGAGGGGGGAGTGACGCCAATCACACTATTGACAGAAGGGAAAGACCCATCCCTTATGCAGAGATTTCAGTACGCACAAATGCGACATTTCTTGACTGCACAGGGTTTATCACATTGGACTCCAAGGGACAGGACCAAATTTGAACTACTATGCTCGGGAGAAAAAAAGCCTCACAAGCCAACATCCCTCTGCTATAAACTGTTACAAACCCAGACGAGTACTCAATTACCGTACTTTACCAGATTATGGAGGGACCACTTAGGCAAAGATTTAGAAGCAGGAGACTGGAAGAATATCTTCCAAACGATCTTCCACGCGCACTCTAGCATACCACTACAGGAGATTAACTATAAATTCATCTCCAAGTGGTATACCACCCCGTTGGATGTTCACAGATTCGACTCCAACTCATCACCAATGTGCTGGAGATGCAACTCAGACAAGGGCACCTTCCAGCACATATGGTGGACATGTGAGGAGCTATCGGGCTTCTGGAAAGAAGTCTGGACCACGGTCAATCTGATAGCAGACACGCCCATACCCTACAACCTAGAGGCACTCCTACTACTCCACTTCGAAATACCACACCGTAAATTCAAACATTCCCTCGTTTACTTTATGCTGACAGCGGCAAAAAGCTCGATAGTGAACCACTGGAAATCGGCGATCCCGCCCTCTAAAACAGACTGGTTTCAAAGAATAGAACATTTTCATGAGATGGAGGAACTAAGATGGGGATCGTTAGACAAATATCACAGATACAAAGACATATGGCAACCCTGGAAAGAATTGCTAAGAGGTAGACAGGCCGACTAAACTAAATAACCACCGTATCTACCTAAGAGGGGGGGAAGCTAACCAGGAAAGGGACAAGGAACAGGGTCAGGGGGTGGGACAGAGGGTGCATGGGAGGTCCTCTTCTTTGCCTATGGCACAACAATCTAACTAACTGGGTATAAAAGGCCAAACCACAGCGATACCCAGAACGACATACCACAACTCTTGGACGCATGCTATACCGCACACACACACACATAGGAATCAATGACCAAGGCGGCAGGTTTACCGTGATAGATATGAAACCAATGTGTATCCTAGGCCAAATACAATTGTTACTGAGAATGTTATTCTTGTATTCAGTGCTGTGATGTTGCGATATTGTATTTCTTCTTCTTCTTCTTTCTTTCTTTTTCCTTATAACACTACGTTTTGTGTTACTACAATGTTATAATACAGGGTCTTACCGTACTCCGGAAACATGGAGACATGCACTCAAAAAATCCAATAAAAATAAAATATATAAAAAAAAAAGAAAATCCAACTCCTATTTTGATTGGTTCTTTTATGTGTGCCATTTTTATTCCTGCCCTATGTAGTCTGACTAATGGCTTATTTTAAATGCTGTATGTGTTTGCTTGGTTTACATATAAAATAAAACATATGTTTGTGTCTGTTACAATATCTACAAAATTCACTTTTTGATTTTCATATAATTACAACTCTTTTTAATTTTTGTTTACAGTGTTAGGGAGCTGAGATTGATTACATGTTGGGGAAAACCTGCAAGATTTATTACTATGCATTTCTGATTCTGCATCTTCCACCAAATTAGAGTCGTGTGGGGTAACTCTTAATAAGAAATTGAATAAAAATTGTCAAATAGCTTGTTTGAGGACAGGAGTAACGAATCAGCTGATATTTTATTCTGCTTAGCCAGAAAGAAACTTTAAGTTTGACCTCAGGTCACTCGAGAAGATCTTAACAAGATCCAATGTTATGACTAGATGTGAAAAAAAGGGTCTAAGTTGAGCCAACTATAGATTTGGGACATACGAACATTAAAATTAACATAATACTAAAAAAATAGACTCAAAAAAATAGACTCAAAAAAATAGAATAAGGAAATATAGAGCATACCAGTTGCTCTCCAGAAAGCACTTCAAGTAGTTTCAGTAGCATTCTCCCGTCTCTGAGGTCCAAGTAGAGGTCTGAAATACGACAACTTACGAAAGCCAAATTTGCGTTTACCCATTTTGTGAATGTCTTCTTTTGAACAGCCTCACGTTCATCTAGATTACAGCAAAACAGAAATATTTTTACAATTTTTCCACTGGATTTGTCTTGGGTAAACTTGATGCTTCTTGGAGATGTTTTATGTAAACGAAAAAACATAGAATACAAACTGCAAGAAATTAAAACTATCTTTCATAGATTATCAATTAGATTATCAATTACCATATTATAAAGCATAGGTATCGCAAACCAACTAAAGAAAAAGATATGTTTATCAATGAAATATATTCAATTTACCAAACCAAATATGTATTGTTGGGTGTGGGGGTGACACAATGCACTAAATTAAATCAGATCTGTGCAGAAGATTGATACCTTTTATATACATTTGTCCACAACTTACCTGCCAGAGCTTTAATTCTGGACCTTTCAAACATTCTGGCAGAACAGTTATCATTGTCAAGGTCATCTTCTGTGGCTTCCCAGCGGGAATTCACTCGGCTGTACTGCTGCTCAATTTCTGAATTATCAAAATCTGTGGTCTGCATTTTTTTGGGGGGTCTTTTCCCTTTCAGCCCAAATGACCAAATCCTAGAAAGAACGGTAAAAATTAAGCATTACATTTCTTTCATCACTTATATCTAAATGCAAATCTCACATGGATCTTACTGACCAATTATCTTTGACCATTTGATTTACATACACTCAGTGGCGTAGGATATTGCGGACTGAACTGCTTTTGTAACACATGAGTGAGATGAAAAGAGTTCATTAACTAAACCAGAAATGACCAGTGAGTTGCTAATTATAGGCCAAAATAGCCGTAATTGAAAAATTTTCAAACTTGGATTTTTTAAAATGTATTTATCATTTTTATTTTATTTTTTAGCTTATAGATATTTTTCTGAAAATTTGCAATTAACTGGTCAGCTCAGGAAGTTCTCAGTCTTGTGAAAAGAAAAAAAAACACATTACATATTTTGAAAAAATTTTTTTTTATATTGTATAAGTATTTATAAAGGTATGTGTGTCTGTTTAGACTACACATATAGTATATACTAAGTGTATAAGCCTGGGTGACTAAGATAGATTTACTAAATTAAGAGAATACTGACCTCTACTGTCATAAATATAATATCTAAATATTACCTGCATCAGATTATAAATATACAGTAATACCTACATTAATATGTATTATATATATATTTAAAAAAAAATTTTTTTTTTTGCAGTTTCTCCTTACCAATTATGTCCAAATCAAACTTGGTGGCTTTTAACTAGTGACTGATGACATGCCAATATGACTTACTATAAATTTGGCCTTTGGCTCAGTTAGTGTAGCGGGGAAGATAGATTAGAACCATTAAAAGTACAGATCTCTATTTATTTTCAACTAAACACCTAAAGATATAGAACAGTGAGCTTTTGGGTCTCTTAGCAGTAAAAAGTAGGTGTACAGTAGACTCCTTGGAACTCTGACGTTACAACAATAGTGAGACTATTTAGGTTAAGTGTCTGATTAACCAGAGCACCAGTAATCATTTAGAAAGTTAGTGACTAGATTAATTGCAAACAAATTATTTAAGCATTTTTTCTTTTCTATATTAACTAATATGGAAAATCAATCTACAGCTGGTATTAGAAGAATGCGTTAGCAAATATAACCTGTCATGTTATAGAGCATATAAACATGTATAACAAAAATAATAGTGACGGATTCAGGATCTAAAAGTGAATAGTGGCGGAGGTGTAGTTTTGCATTTTCGTCAAATGATCCCATAATTCCTCTAAAAAAGTGTGAACCTACTGCTATTCATTGGGGTTTGTCACTCATTAGACCAAATTATGGTGACTTGACAATTTATTCTAAAAATAAAGGCAACCATTTATCCTAAAAAAATCAACCAATTCAAAGAGTAACTTAAAGTAAATATGTTTTAAAGAGTAATTAGTCAGGAATACAGGATTAGCAGAATTACATTTTTTCCCAAGTCAGCCAGTTTGAAATTTGGCCTAAAATTGTAAATTCCCCTGAATTCTCTACTCTTCACATTTTACTGATTGAATACATATTTTGAAATGCTATTTTTTTATATTGTAAAAGTATTTATGAATTACATTTATGGTAACCTGTTCAATAGTAGGACTGGACAAAGAGAGTCGACAAAGAGAGAAGAGTTTGACCATTTAGTCATGAACAAAGATTTTGCCTACAGCAGAATTCTTTACATTTAGAACAAAAAAATAATAATTCTTTGCTTAAAGAAGTTGTTTTATCAGATTCTGTACAGATTTTCAAATAAAGGCCTCAATTTAAAGGACCACTAATGTCAACCAAGTTACTTCATCTCAATGTCCTTGTAACCCTGCAATGTAAAACATGTACATTGCAGGGTTAAATTATCCTCTAGTCTGCCATACTGATAGCCACTAGAGTAAAACTTGATCACCTGACACAGAAACCCCCATAGGAAAGCATGCTTATTGGGTCCCCAATACTCATCTACTGTATAAGGAAAAACATTCCAAATGATTTATCTACAAACAATCCATAGACTTAAAAGGTGACGTTTTTATAGATCATTTGTAAAGTGTTTCTAACAGTATTGAATTATTTGGAAAGTTTATTAAATCAAAGCCCAGTTCTAAGGCATTAGCGTTATCACAGTTCTAACCAGCAGATATATAATTATACAATAATATATAAAACATGTATATAATAAATATATAATATAATAACAGGGTATGAATATATATATATATATATATATATATATATAAATATATAAATATATACAAATATTATTTCATACTCTATTATATTATATATTTATAAATATATATTTATTTATTAATACTCTGTTTAGTGGATTCATCTTCAAATACCCAAGCTAAATTCGCTATGTTATTGCTAAGGATGTAGAGCTTCAGGGAGTTTGGTGAGTGAATTCTTAGTATAATGTTAAGGATAAGCTGAGCCACTGATATCACATTAACTGTCCACATGAATCTGGTTTTACTTGATAACACCTGATGGAGAAGAGAGCGCGGGAACAGAGCTTAACAGACATGCAAGTCATTATGAGTGATTCTCTGAGTGACGTAGAAACATGTTTAACACTGTCTGGAATTTGACATGAATATGAGACTGTGAATTCTCGTAACACAAAGGGGTAGATTAAAAAAACCACGTGTAAATGTAGGCCAATACGCTGGGTATAAAGACTGATAAACCGGATCAGAAGTGCTAAATGTTACCCATCCTCAACAGACAGATAGCATGTTGCGTCTGTGCATCATGTGATTCTAGGAATCATGTTATATATTTTGATCGCCTTGCACAAGGACGTGTGAGTCAGTCGGAAGCTAAGCAATTTTAGCCTGTGGTCTTGCAAAACCCATGTGGGTTCACATAACCACATTCTGGAACTATGTTAAACCATGTTGTTCATTCACATTGACCAATAGCTTTGCAGAATAAAAATACTCCCACAATCAGTTGTTTGTTCACGTCTCTAGTTATATTCACACACATACACATGGTGGGGCATATTCACTAGAATTAGTGAGGAAACTTCTGGCCTTAATTGGCCAACTGGGTTTTCAAATATTCACTAGATATTCTAAATAACTGAGAAAATAAATGGAAATGTTACAGTAAAAGTGGACACCTTCTCCAACTGACCTGTGTTCCGAGCTGAGATATGGTAACCTAAAATTTGAAATTCACTTTTTAATTCTACACCAAATGTTTAATGATTATAGTTTATCTTGAGAAGAATAGAAATATGCTGGAAATGACCACACAACAGCTTAATGTCAGTGACTTCATAAATCTCAAAGAATTTCACCAGGAATTACACATTTAAAGTTCTCTAATTTTAAAGTACGTTCTCTGATATAGATGTAATAAATAGAGAATTCAATTGTAATTATTTCTTCAACCATGGGAACCATACTTGTGCCCTGAGGTTTGAAGAGGTATTGTCACGATTCTGGAACCTAACACGCTAACAGGACACAGAGAGGAAAGATGCTATACCGGTCCTTAGAGTGGCCGGGCTAAGCACAGTAAGAATGGTCAGGAGACAAGCCAAGTAAAGGGAGCCAGAAAACGGGAGAACGAGAAACAAGCCGAGGTCAAAGGAGTGGAGAATACAGGATAATCGGAATAACAAGCCAAATAATCGGTAACCAGAGAGAAACACGAGCAAACTGCAATACAGGTATCACAAGACCACAACAGGGCACTGAAAGACAGGAAAGGTAAGTATAAATACCCTTTGCTTAATTCTGATCGCCGACAGGTAGGAGTGGCGTGCAGCCTCCCCTCACAGCCGCCTGCGGACCCCTGACATAACCCCCCCCCCTCGAGGACCGCCCAACTCGCGGGAAGCCGAAGGCTTCAAAGGAAACCGAGCATGAAAGGAGCGGATCAAAGAGGGTGCATTCAAGTCAGAGGCAGAAACACAAGACCGCTCCTCAGGGCCGTAACCCTTCCAATCTACCACATACTGCAACCGACCCCAAGAAAAACGAGAATCAAGCAGAGCAGCCACTTCGTACACGTCACTGGATACGGCACGGAGGGAATTACAGAGCAGGGGCTTTAAAAGGGAGGTGTGAAAAGTGTTAGGTATACGCATGGAAGGAGGCAAGGCCAGGGAGTAGGACACAGGATTGACATTACGCAATACCTTATAGGGGCCAAGGAACCAGGGCGCGAATTTCATTGAGGGGACCCTGAGGCGGAGATTCTTAGAGGACAACCAAACCCTATCACCCAGGACATAAGAAGGAGCAGCACCCCTACAAAGATCAGCAAATCTCTTCTGAGTAGCAGTCGCACGAGAAAGAGTAGCAAGGACCTGATCCCACATCTTCCGTAAGGAGGTGAGGTGCTCGTCCAAAGTGGGTATTCCCTTGTCGGAGAACACGCCAGGAAGGGCAGAGGGTTGGAACCCATAAGCAACCATAAAAGGACTTAAGCCAGTGGACGAATGAGTCATGGTGTTCCTGGCGAATTCAGCCCAGGGGAGGAGGTGAGACCAGTTGTCCTGGTGTGCATTCGTGAAACAGCGTAAATATAACTCTACAGATTGATTTGCTCGTTCGGCGGCTCCATTAGATTGTGGATGATAGGAGGACGTAAATGACAAGGAGATCCCCATCTCAGCACAAAAGCCCCTCCAAAACCGAGAGACAAATTGAGGACCCCTGTCAGATACGATATCCTGTGGTATACCATGCAAGCGGAACACCTCTTTGGCAAATACTTGAGCCAACTGAACCGCAGAAGGTAGTTTCTTAAGTGGAATAAAGTGTGCCATTTTAGAGAACCTATCAGTCACAGTCAAAATTAGTCTGTCCACCAGATGAAGGAAGATCTACAATGAAGTCCATGGATAAGTGGGTCCATGGTTTCCTGGGCACAGATAGAGGCATTAGGAGTCCCGGGGGTTTAACATTAGGGGACTTACACTGTGCGCAAACACGACAAGCCTGCACATAATCCACTACGTCTTGCTTAAGTGAGGGCCACCAAAACTGTTGAAGGAGACCCTTGTATGTTTTGGTAACCCCTGGGTGACCAGCCGTTTTGGCGGTGTGAAATAAAGGTAACAATTTCTTTCTATCTTTTTCTTTCATGTATAATCTACCAAGGTGTCTCAGAGGGTGCTTGGGTTTGGTATGTCTTGATACCATCAAGGAAAAGAGACAAAATAATCAAACGGGTAGCAGCTATTATCTTAGATGTAGGTACAATGAGTTCAGGGGCGGAGGCAATTGACTCAAAAGGTTCATATTGTCTGGAGATCGCTTCAGCCTTGACATTACGGTACCCAGGCCTATATGTGATAATGAACTGAAAGCGTGAAAGAAATAAGGACCATCTGGCTTGACGAGAGGACAACCTTTTAGCATCTGCTATATAGGAGAGATTCTTATGATCAGTTATAACCAGGATTTTATGTCTAGCTCCTTCTAATAAGTACCTCCATTCTTTAAAAGCTATCACAATAGCTAATAGTTCCCTGTTCCCGACGTCGTAATTCTTTTCCGAATCAGACAGCTTTTTAGAAAAGTAACAACAGGGATGGAGGGGTTCGTTATACGATAGTCTTTGTGATAATATAGCTCCTACACCTGATTCTGAAGCATCTACTTCCATAACAAAGGGAAGGGAAGGATCAGGATGGTGTAGCACAGGGGCAGTGGCAAATGCCTTTTTGAGAGTCTCGAAGGCTTTAACAGCTTCAGGAGTCCAAACCCTGGGGTGCAAACCCTGTTTAGTCAGTTTCGTGATAGGAGAAATGACTGATGAAAAGTTTTTAATAAACCTGCGATAATAATTGGCAAAGCCTATAAATCGCTGTATTGCCTTAAGGTCTTGAGGAAGAGGCCAAGACAATATGGCTTCTAATTTTGAAGGATCCATGCTGAATCCCTGTTCAGAAATGATGTACCCTAGGAATCGTACTGATTTTTAGTCAAATAAACATTTCTCCAATTTACAATAAAGACCGTTCTGCAGCAATCTCTTAAGTACCATCCTCACATGGGCATGATGTGACTCCAAATCAGGAGAATATACAAGTATATCATCGAGATAAACCACGGCACAGACATGCAGTAAATCTCATCATTTATGAGGTCCTGAAAGACAGCAGGAGCATTACACAGTCCAAAAGGCATGACTATATACTCGTAATGCCCACTGCGTGTATTGAACGCTGTCTTCCATTCATCATTCTCTTTTATACGAACCAAGTTATAAGCCCCTCTGAGGTCTAGTTTAGTATAATATCTGGAACCTTTAACACGGTCAAACAACTCAGTAATGAGAGGGATAGGATAAGCTTTTTTAACTTTAACTATATTGTTCAGGCCCCTGTAGTCTATACATGGCCTCAAATCACCCTCTTTCTTGGCAACAAAAAAGAAACCAGAACCAGCCGGAGAGGAGGACCTTCTGATAAAACCTTTACATAAGGATTCCTGTATGTACTCCTCCATGACCTGGTTTTCTTTCTCAGAAAGCGGGTAGACCTTACCCCTAGGAGGCATAGTACCAGGTAACAGGTTTATGGCACAATCATAATCCCGGTGTGGGGGTAGTTTATCAGCTTCCCTTTTTTCAAAGACCAATGCGAGGTCTGCATACACAGGAGGGACAGAAACAGAAAGTAGTTTAGCTGTAGCACATTAAGTAAGCAAACGGGATGTAAACGGGCCATACAGTCTTATTGACAAGATTCCCCCCAGGAGAGTATATCTAGACAACCCCAATCAAGTACCGGGTTATGCTTAACTAACCAGGGAAAGCCCAGAACGATGGAAGCTGTAGGGGAGTCAATTATTTGGAAGGTTAACCTTTCCTTGTGTAAGGCACCCACGGCCATAACCATTTCTTGGGTTTCATGGGTCACCAGAGGTTTATCAAGTGGTCTACCATCTATGGCCTCAACGGCCAAGGGTGTGGCCTTTTGGATCAGATTCAAGGCTGCGGTTTTTGCAAAGTTCTCATCCATAAAGTTGTCTGCAGCACCTAAATCGATCAAGGCTTTAGTTGTTATAGTGGTTTGATTGACCAAAAGAGTAACCGTAATAAATGGTCTGGAGATGGACACATGAGGGGAACAAACCATAACACCTGAGGCCGACCCCTCTCTAGGCATTAGGTGCTGAAGTTTCCCTGCAAACTAGGACAGTTTCTTCGGATATGCCCCCTCTTTCCACAATAAAGGCACAAGCCCTCCCTTCTGCGGTACGTTCTTTCAGCTTCAGTTAAGCCTACAGCACCTAATTGGGTTCGGGAGGTGGTTGATTAGGGGGAGGTAATGCTAGTAATGCAGTACTGGGTAAAGCAGGTAACCCCTGTGTATTCATCCTTCTTTGACTACGCCTCTCTCTAATACGGTTGTCAATAAGAATGATTTAATCTATTACATCATCCAGAAGAACAGGCAATTCCCTGGATGCTATTTTGTCTAATATGTAAGCGGCCAAACCCTCCTGAAAGGCTGTTACGAGGGCGTCGTTATTCCAAACCACTTCAGCTGCCAGAGTGCGGAATTCAATGGTATAATCCGCCACAGATCTATTACCCTGTCGGACCCTAAGCAGAGCTTTGCCAGCAGAAGCAACCCTGCCGGGTTGATCAAATGTACATTTAAAAGCTGTCAAAAAGTCTCCAAAGGACATTGGGGACGTATTCTCCCACATGGGATTGGCCCATGCTAGAGCTTTCCCGGACAAGTGGTTGATCAGAAAAGCAATTTTGGTTCTGTCAGTGGGGTAGGAACGAGGATTCATCACCAAATGAATATCAATTTGGTTGAGGAAACCATGGCACAACGCTGGATCACCGCTATAGCGCTGAGGTGGCGTCATGTGAACCACGTGAGCAGGAGCGGGTACTGGATCAGGAATGGGTTCTGGAACAGCAGCAACAGCTTCTTGAACGGCAGGTTGCAAGTGGGCAGTACGAGCCAGTATGGTTTGTAAAGCCTTGGCAAACTGATCCATACGGTGGTCTAAACCATCCATTCTAGCCTCCTGATTTACTAACAACTGTGGAATGTCAGCAGGTTCCATGGTGGCCCTGTTGTAATGTCACGATTCTGGAACCTAACACGCTAACAGGACACAGAGAGGAAAGATGCTATACCGGTCCTTAGAGTGGCCGGGCTAAGCACAGTAAGAATGGTCAGGAGACAAGCCAAGTAAAGGGAGCCAGAAAAGTAAAGGGAGCCAGAAAACGGGAGAACGAGAAACAAGCCGAGGTCAAAGGAGTGGAGAATACAAGATAATCGGAATAACAAGCCAAATAATCGGTAACCAGAGAGAAACACGAGCAAACTGCAATACAGGTATCACAAGACCACAACAGGGCAATGAGAGACAGGAAAGGTAAGTATAAATACCCTTTGCTTAATTCTGATTGGATAACTTCCAATCAGAATTAACAATCACACTTGGGAGATATCTACGCCTCCCACTGTGATTGTGGTAGTGTTGCTTTATCACCGGGTCACGTGAGTGACCCTGGCGTTTGCATAAATTTGCGACTTCCTAGCGTGCAGCGTTATGCATTCTGCCGCTGGGAGGCGTGGAGGACGCGAGCGGCAAACGGCGGAGAGGAGACGCTGCTCGCCGACAGGCAGCCTCCTCTCACAGCTGCCCGCGGACCCCTGACAGGTATGGGAAGATCTACAGGTGGTGTACTAACTAACATAATCTCATTGGCATAAGAAAGAAAAAAAGCCATTTCCTGGCTGCTACCTTCTTTTCTACAACACTCACACGTCAACAAGAAAATGTAAAATGTGTATCTCTCATTCCCGAAGTGTTACTTTAAATAGCTGGGCTAAAATGATCTCAGTGACAGCTGCCAAATTCTTTACGTACCCAGAATTAACACTGAAGGACAGAGTTCCACAGTTGGACAGGACACCCACGCCACGCATATCTACGGGACTAGTTCTTCAAACATTGTCAAATAAAAAGGAAAGGAAAATTAAGTAAAGAAAATAACTAGAGATTCATGGGATATTTATTAATGTTTTACTGTTTGTTAATCTGAAATCTACTTATTAGGGGTGTGCGTCTATCCATATATGAATACACAACACACATCTATTTATCTATCATCTATCTACCTACCAAATCACTTGTGATGAGACCAAAAAACTTCCCACATTTTGCTGCACATAGAAAAGATACTGTTATGCATCACCTGCATATCTTAGTTTGGACTTTGGAAAATTTCACATTGGGCACAGAAACTCAGAGAAATCATGTTTCCACAACTATTCCAGAATTCCAAATTTGACAGGCATTGTAAAATGTCAGGTTAGTTTTAAACCTTTTTTTTTTTTTGCAGCATTTTACCAGGGGGGCCTAATTGTAATGCCCAATAGGGCATTCTCACTGCCCTTTGCTTGTCAGTGTGCATAAAGAAAGCATTTAGAGAGATGGAAAACAATTTATGCTTCTACTTCTTAATTACAATGTGTGCCCTGGCTGTGCCTAGAATGAACTGTAATTTTATAAATCTTATAAAGGGGCATATAAGGGTGACATCATTACTTAGCGTGCAGGCCCTGGGGTACAGTGTCTTTGATATATACCTACCTGGCCGCCACAATCCCCCAGGATCGGACATCTACTCTCGCGCAGGCACAAGAATACAATTCTGTTGTCTATGGAGGATCCTGCGAGAGTGCGATCATAGAGACAATGCCTTTTTTTACCCAGCCATCGCTAGTGAAGGCTGGGGGAATTGACAAAACATGACAGCGTTGGCACCACCTTTTATTACATAAGACAAACCAGTCTCTACTTTACCATATGATATCCTTTGACTGCATTGGAATTTCAGTGAAATTCTAACATGGTTACTGTGAATATTACATAAAGATTTTAGGGAAGTTAAAAAGCCGCTTTAATATAAAATAAAATAAAAATAATATAGAGAATCACATGAAAAACAGATTAAAACAAGCTATAGGTAATTTGCAATGTTTTATTTAGTGGGGTTATTTCCACAAAATAAATCCATAACTGTACTTAGGTATGCCTTCTTGACAACTTGTCTTTAAAGAGATATTCGCATTGCTCATCAAATTGGATTTGTGCGTTAAATAAAAATACATAATATCCTCCCTGTAAAGCTATACACGTATTCGTCAGCATGTCCTATCATTGGTGCGAGACGAAGTCCGTTTTCAGTATCCCAGTAAAATATTATCAGTTCTAAGCAGACATGCATAGGGATTCCCCACCCATGTGGTGTTACGTGTTGTCATGGGGTATGGAGGCAGTGAATTGAAAATGTTTAACCTTAAACCTTGTTTATTGTAAAAGGAAGCCAGGAATCCTCATTAAATTTTAAGACAGCCTTTAGGATTTCTCAGCATTTTTTTTTTCTTTAATAGAATTTTAGTAATTGTATGCACATAGAATTCCGTCGTGAGATGTGTTTATATATAACATGCACTATTCTCCTTTGGTCAGTCTACATTACATGGAACGTAAAAGCAACAAAATACAAAAATTTTCTTTTTTTATTTCAATGGCATTATTTAAGGTTTTTGTTTTAATGAACTTGAACAAATTCTGTAGATCTTTTTAATTGTGCATATAGACATGTACCAAAATTCTCCACCTCCTACACTTCTGCGTGGGAAGGTTAGTATTTCACAAAGAGGTAAATTCATAGGACTTTAGAGCATGTCGCTATTATTGTAAGAACAGATGGACAGTTCTGACCTATTCAAGGACAAGGACAAGACATGCATAAATTCAATTATGTATATAATGAAATAAGTAAAGAGTACTTGTTTGATTTACTGATATACTATTTATGATCTTCTCTTAAGGATACAGGCCTTGGGCAGTGAGGTAGGACCATAAAATAGCTAGAAGAAGTCACCACAATGCTTTTTTCACACGCCTAGGTCAAAATACGACACTGCATCGAGGACACATATTGCATTAGAGGACAAGAAACTGAAACATTGTTTCGGTTTATCCTTTTCTTTCCTTGCTATCTCTTAGCTGACTGGCATGTGCCAAAGGCACAGCTGATGATATTGAATGACAGGGAATCAAGATGGAGCCACCCAGTTCCAGGATAAAGGATTTCCACATTTTTGTGTTATCAGACCTCACAAATACATATTTATTAAAGGGATACTATAGTGCCATGAATACAAAGCAGCTAATCTGTGCAGTATTTGAGTCTTTTTGGGCTGGTTTAAGAAACAAAACCAGTGGAAGTCCTCTGCCATGGACCATAACAACACTGTAGTAAGTGTTTATTGGTTCACATGTCTATTCGGTTTGTTCAAAGTTCATTAAACATTTTAGTTCATTAATCTGCGTAGAAATGAATGAATTTTGTTGGTAAAAATATTTAGTCATAAAATATATAACATAAAAAACCTATCTGTAATATAAGCCATGTAATGGAACCTCACCTACACATAAAAATTATGGCAAACTTATTATCAGGGAAACACTATATACTGTCAGATTAAACAATGTAAATACAGTCATCTGATAAACAGCACATCCTAAAGGATGGCTATGGGTGATGGGACAAATAGTTCAGCATCAGCTGCAGGTCTTGTAACTAGTTAATATTAAGGTTTTATTTTTTATTGGAACAGCAATGAGAAGGCATCAAAAAGTTCCTTAAGAAAGAAACCTAAAGAAGAACTATTCATTATTTATTTGTATGTTGCAGTAGTTTGTAACTGAATTTTACTACAAAGTATCTGTTTGTACTGCATAAAAAATGAATGAATGAAATCAAACAAAATTCATTCAATGACTTATTTGGTCTAATCAGTTGTTCATTTATATGGCGATTCGGTATTTGTTTTTAGATGGAATAAACAAAAACAGAAAGTGTTTGTTCACTTTGCCATTTGACTGAAAACGACTGCGCGTGTCTAACGTGTAAGTGATCAATGGAAAGTAAATTCCATAAACATTGTACGTCTCCGAAGGTACATCTGGTGATTTGCACTAAGATGCTTGCCATCCATGCAATCCCAATGTGGCAACGCACAGATACAAATGTACCCATTAGTTTAAGTTTCTATGTTGACTTTGTAGAAGAATAAACTCTTAAAGTGAAAATAAAAGCTGTATTTGTGACCTGAGTGTACTCACAATCAAACAAGAAAATCAAATAATTCTACTACAAACCATTCATAGGCTGTGGAACAATAGAGCTACTGAAATAAAACTTTAAAAGGTGGAAATATAATCCCAAATCTGAACAATTCTAGTTATAATTTGAATGATGAATGGATGGCGTGCAGCATCGTTACAGAGTCGCTCATTATATCATCATCATCATTAACTAATTACATCACAAGGCAAACCAGGCTAATATCCAGCGGACTGCAATTGCAATGGGTCAAGGCCAATCCACTTCTAACACTACCAGACCGAAAGGGACAGTCTAAGGCTGCATGAGCAAGTGGGGAACATATTGTTCCAAGACTGCACCTCTCGCTGGTGCAGACTATTTGTACTGCTATGTGAGTTATAAGCTACTCTGAATACATGAAAGCATTGGCACAATAACACTCAGACTTCCAGCAGCACCGGAAAGCGAAACACGGCATGTGAACAATACGTTTATGTTAAAAGGGCACTCTACGCACCAGCCCACTACAGCCCAGTGTAGTGGTTATAGTACAAAGAGTCTATGTGAGATGATAGACTAGATCGCTACTCACAACATAGGCCTTGATTTAATAGTGTTGGATAAATTTTTCAAATGATTTAATATTTTTGTATAAACTATTAAAATGATTTAATATGAAAAATATTTACATTTTATAATATTTTAATTATGTCTATATATGATATATTTTGATATTTTAATATTTTGAAAAAATAAATAATATTAAAAGGTTATTCATAAATATTGAATCATTTGAAAAGCTTATCCAATAATATTAAATTAAGACCTTGGTTCAAAAAAACTGTTACCCAGGCTGTATGTAAGTATGGCTAACTGCTTCTTGAGCAGTTTCACTCATCCTATTTGATGAGAGTAATTGTGGCTCGGATAAACGAGATCCCCCAAGAATTCCTGATGGACAGACGTTCACGTGATAAGATTGTACCCTATAAACCAGAATAAGGGGCGCCTGATTGGAGGAGCTGCTTCCTGGTGAAGGAATTGTCTATCTGCAGTTAAAGGTCAGCTTCTGTTGAGCTTTAGGATTTACCTTTCATTTCATTATCTTTTATGCAATTTTTAAATGATCTCTTATCTATGTAAGTATTAAAAAAAAAAAAAACCTGTAAACACTGTATTTAAAGGTTATTCTTTACAAAAGAGCAAATCCACTCTTATTGCTCATACTGGTTTTAAAGTCACTAATTCTGAGTTCAGAATGTAGACAAATGTGTAGATTCTTGAAGAAGAAAAAAAAAACCAGACACAAGCTGTGCAAAAGCAGCTCATTGACATAGCTTGTGATCTTCCAAAATGTGTGTTTTTATCTTTACATAGCAGAGCTACTCTGCTTCTAGTGATATCACACCCTATAGCACACCTCCTAAGGTTTAAAATGACCAAAGACCGCTCCTACGACACCATGTACTATGAAATTATATAAATAAGCCGTTTACACTGTGTTATACTTAAAGCAGAGGATTAATCGACTTTAACAAAAACTTAAATTAAAGCAAAACTCTCTCTCTTTTTTTTTGTACGGACAACGACTACAATTTAGCAATACAGTTTACTTTTTTAAATGATCAATCATTTTGATATTTTAATTCACACTGAAGCAGACAGAGCATGCTATGCACATGAATCTAGCCCCCATGTTTACATGAGAATACGTTTGAAGAGTTTGATTTTTAAATTTTAATTTCTACGTATATTTACCATAGCACCATCTTCAATGTTAGAACCAATGATGCTTTAGAGAGCAAGTTTGTAGTTGTGAACGCTCTGACGTTTTGCAAGATATTGAGTTGGATCTAACCCCTTCTCTATCAAGTTAATTTTAATTAAAAAAATAAAAATACTGCTTTGCATCCCGTGTGTATTTGAAACATTGAAGGATATCTATAGCATCCAAATGTGGTGCAATGCAGCAATATGTACACACGTTGCTTTCATCATCTATGCATTTATTGATCTTTTACATAAATATTGGAGGCTTAGAGAGTTTTAAAATTATATGGTGTTAACATAGAGGCAGAAATATACATTTTTTCGTGCAGTTGGTGTGACAAAAATAATAATAAAAACCATCATATCCTGTTTATGGGTACTTCTTAGGCACCTGATGGAGTTTTTAGGAATGTGAATTTCTTAAAATGACATTAGGATGGAAAATAATGCCAGTAGTGTCTGCAAGTTGTGAAGGAAGGAGTTTAGGTTTACATAGCTCCCAACAATGAGTGACTGATGCTGGATCTGGTAGGTCAAGCCATGCTTATGTGTCACTGTTTACAGTAAAAAAAAAATCTATGATTCCATAGAGAGTTGTAGATACACTGTATCATGCACTGTGCTATAATTGTGTCAACTCACACAATTTAAAACGCATTGCACATAAAGGGCAGATTTTTACCTGACACTTATATTTTCGGATGCAGTATCCTGTTCTGCACTATTCCAAACAGTACGGCCTGCAGAAGTGTATACACTGCTTTACTGGCAGTACTAAAAGAGAGGTATCCCTTATTTACTAAATTGAGAATTGAAAGTGAATTTCAAACTTAAGTTGAAAATTGCTAAACTGTGAAATATATGATCTCAGATTGGCTACTCTTGCCTTAAATTTGAAAACAACCTTGTTAATTTACACTTGTTTATGTACGTACATATATGGTTTATTCACTAAATTGGAATTGTAGAGAGCAGAATTGCAAAATGTAGACCACAATAGCCCTGCTGGAAAATAACTAACTAGAATATAACATTATGATTTAGTGAATAAACACTCTAATGTATGTATCTAATGGATATATATCAGCAGAAATTGCAGTAGAATATATACAAATTGTATGACTTTGTAATTAAATAGCACATGGTACAACACAAGCATTCAGAAGGGAGATTGTTCCTTTATAATAATTGAATACATCAAGTGAACGTTAAAAGGATACTGCAGACACCTAAAGTACTATGAAGAGTGTGTCCTCTTATTTTTATTTTACAAAACTGACACTTTTATAAATTAATCTTGCTACACCCCCGTATGTCAATCAGACAATCTGTCCTGCTACTTCCTGATTGTTTAGCTCATTAGAGCTAAACTCAGGAGGCAGCAATTGCCCAGAGCATCTGCCTTGCAAAGACTTCTCATTAAGTTGCATTGGGACATTGGGAAGTCTGTGATTGGACAACCACAACCAGTCTGGGCAAGGTTAGCAGGGGAGGGCTTGCAAAGGCTTCACCCAATAGATCTGCAGTTTTTGCAAGCTGTTTTTAGATATAACCCAATAAACAAAGGCATAATTAGATTCATGGGTTTTGTTTTCCCTTTTTGTATTTGGGCAGTGGAGTGTTCCTCTAAACCAGTGGTTTCCAGCCCCAGTCTTCAAGTACCTCCTACCAGTCCAGGATTAGGGATTACCCTGTTGTGTCTTAAGTGTTTTTTTCTAAAAACATCTTAAACACAACAGGGTAATCCCTAAATCCTGGACTGTTAGGGGGTACTTGAGGACTGGGTAGGGAACCACTGCTCTAAACACTCAAAAAACCTTTTACATCTTTGTATGAATGAAATCATGCAGCCATTGTTCCAGTATGCTTGTATAAGAATGTAAAACCTGCATGTTATTGAATTATGTAGTTAATGGGGGGAGATTTATCAAGACTAAACAGGTGTGATTTTGAGTGCAAAGTGCTGTATGTTGAGAGATATAATACTGGTTTCCATGGCGACTGCTATTTATTTAGCACTTTGACTCAAAATAGCACCTGTTTGCCTTAATAAATATTTCCTAAGGTGTATTAAAATATGAGAATCTTGAAAATGACACACCAAACTCCATAACCTCCCTTTTGCAATGTACAATTATAAATGCACTAAAGTTACAAACCCACACCATACTGTTTGACTTCACTGGAGGAAGTTAAATGTCCCACTGGCTTTAAAATCATTGTATTATGTGCGCAAACTAAACAAATCCTATCTTAAACTGGGTTCTCTAATAGCTTAAAAAAATATATGAATATAAGATAAAAGTGTGTATAAACATAGCTGTCATAAATTGGAGTACATTTTTGGTATAAATTTAAAATGGCCATGTCATCTGCAATTCTCTTTAGATGAATCATTTAAAGATTCTTTTTCATAGATGATCTTATTTCATTCTAATCAAGTTACACAAAAATTTAGCTGTGATTACCCCTCAACGTGCACGGTTAGTCATCCAATATCTGCATCTCAATGTTGTAACCCTTAGTAACAGATGATTTAAAATAGAAAGGCAGCTGGTAGAATATGAACCTTAAAATCCAATCAGAACCTGGAATTGTAAAAATTGTGCTAATTAGCTATTAGTACTTCACTGCAAACAATAGACATATAAAATAATAGAAATAGTTCATATTAATAAAATACACTAATCACTGAACAGATTAAAACACATTTTACTTTTTGTTTCGACTACCCTATCACTTTGCAAATGCAAATATATTAATATCTATACAATGGTCTAGTAGAAGTCAAATGAAGGACAATTACATGTCAACATGCACTTGGGCTACAATCAAACAAAGATTCAATTCAGAGTCTTACAAAAATGTTTTTTACTTTGTAATGTGACCCCATCAAATATATGTTTGGATAGACAGACATACTGATCCAAAGATCCAAAACACAAATTAGAAAGAAAAATGCACAGATGATGTCACCTACTGTGCAGGGCAATTTTTAAAATATTTAGACAGATATACATATATAATAGCGTATACTTATTTTGGAGAAAAAAAAAAGGATGTGCTTGAACAATTTTGGTAATTAACAATTACTTCTACACTTAGAAACTCCTAGTAAAACCATTGAGGCACAAATATTTTTCTTTGCTTGTGGATAAAATATAAAGGTTTTAGAAGACAGTAGAACCACTAATTAAATATCAAACGTTTCTGTACGGGAAGACATTTGCCATACGGTTTTGGATATGAAACATACTAACCTGTAAACAAAATTATTTTTATTTTTAATCTGCACAGTTGCCAGAGTAGCTTTAAAAAAAAAAAAAAGATACTATTTTAGATCTTAGACTTAGTCTCTTTTACGGTACTGTAAGTATTGAAAATGTTGTTGTGTAGCTAAAAAAAATAATAATAATAATTAGCAAACAGTTTGTTTCCATGTATTTCTTTAGATTTCAATGTTAGAAATAAACAAGGGTATAAATAAACTGAAGATTCAGTGCACCTGCTATTGTCAGTTGAAAGAAATTTCCTTTTATCCAGTTTGGTTTTAATTATAGAAAATAGATAGATTTTTACCTGGTCTTTGTCCAGCTTCCCTTTCAAGTTAGATCCAATAGCACCGGTGCGACAAATGAAAGTTAGGGAGAAAAGAGAAGAGGCAAGCTAAAAAAAAAAAAAATAGTCGCTATACTATCAAGCTTCACTGCCAGGCAAAAAAGACACACCCCGTGTTACAAAAATAAATTGTCAGCAAGAGAGCAAGTGGAATTCCTGAGGCTTAAGGTATTCTCTGTATAAGGGAAGCACATATGGTCAGCTGATGAATGGTCTGGAGTGGGTCCCAGTGTGCTGGAAGGATGAGATATCAAGACAAGCAATATCATAGTGAGAATCGTAGAAGTAGCTGGAGTATTTCAACTCTAGATAGTAACATGGACTGGTAAAAGAACTCCGCTTTAGAAAAGCACCAAGTTTAACCCCTTAAGGACACACGTCATGTGTGACATGTCATGATTCCCTTTTATTCCAGAAGTTTGGTCCTTAAGGGGGTTAAACTTCTCGGTTGCAAGCGTGTGTTACAGCAGGGTCAGCTTAGCTATTTGGCCCTGGAATTCACCAGGGTGTACTTACTATACTCAAAACTGTAGTGAACTGAAATCCAAATTGCAAAATGTAGGGTGGATCTCGTGGACCTTTTGGGGGGTCCTGCAGAAAACTCAATATTATAGCAGGATTACGAACATACCCAGATGACAATCCCCTTCTTTACCTTATCCCATTTTTCCCCCTTTTTTATTAATTCATTTTTTTTTTTATTGTTTAGTCCTCTCTCTCCTCTTCTAATTCTCTCTACTTCTCTTAAATCTTTCTCAACATTAATTGAGAATGAACAAACCTGAGAGGCTACAATTATGATTGGATCATTTCTAGACTCACTTATTTCATGTGTATGTTTTCCATGTATTGCAAGTTCGGTGGAGTGCAATGGAATGTATGATTTTGGCATGATGAATGTTTATCATCTGTGACTTTTGTTGTCCCCACACGCCATTTTGCAATTACTGGTACTTTTTCGCTACAAATAAAGATAAAAAAATAGCAAAATGTAGGCTAAAATAACATTTGGTGGGCAGATCCTGTACATGAGAAAAATTTTGAAGAACCTATAAAGATCGTTGTAAAAATGGCGGTTCCTATCAGCCTATCCAAAATTATAATAGTGTTCACTCTGAAGACATAGAAAGTTCTAAATCAAACCACAATGCCAATCAATCTAGAGAGCAAAGTATGATCCAGACTATGCCATGGATAGTTTTTGTTCTCTGGATATTTCGCCAGAAGTTAATTCTATCGCTGTAGAAGATTCCAACTTGAAATTACAATTTCTAAACAATAGAATATTTCTAATGGTTTAAAAATGTATACTAATTCACTATGGTAAAAAAAAATTTTGGGGGGTAAAAGATAAAAAAAAAAAAAATATGTAATGTAGTTACAAAATGGTTTCTCAAAATAAACATCTAGAAGACCAATTTCTTAAAACGGCACGGCCGCCAACTTGTAACTTTACCAAATCCAGTACCATCGACATTTGGGGTCTGGTGGCTGCGGGCGGGGGAGGCAGGTAAAGGTGAGATACTTACCTGAACCTGCCCCTCACGGGCGCCGTCATCTTCTCATGCTGCTCCCTTTTCAAAGCAAACATCACTGCTGTACTCTCTTATATGAGCAAGAGTGCAGCATTGAGGACTATGGGGATTTCTAGCTTTATGAAATACAAATTATTCTGGGGAAGGAGGGAGTGACAGTGCCGCTTTAACATGAATGCCACTTCTCAGTCAGATCACAAATCCCTTCTGTGGCAAAGCCAATTTATTATTTACATCTATTCTTTTTAGCAGTTCTAAAAAAAAAAAAAAAGAAGCATTTTAGGATTGTAGCAGTTATCAGTGCTCTTTCTCAGGGTCAAATGGTGAAATAAAAATCTGTCTGACAGCTACAGACTAAATTACCACTCTGTTTGAGTGATGGCTAACTATGTGATAGTCCAAGTTTCAGTAATGAATATTACGCTTACATCTTTACACATCTAAGCGCCAAAAAGATTCTTTATTTTGAAACAGCTCATGTGTCACAGATGACATCTTTAGTTCCATGGAGGAATTAGGTCTTCAGACTTGGTTAAATAATATAACTGAAAATGATCATAAACAAACGACATGTTAGCATCTGAAAAATCATGTGTGAAAAATAAAGTCTCAGTAAACTGCAATTTGATATCTGGTGCTAGAACACAAATTTAAAAGGAAAACTATTGACAATTTAAAAAAAATAATCCAATGAGTAATTTTCAGTTTGGATCCAGGCAATAAAGAACTGCTTTTGGCACCATTAAAACCTGAGACAGTGATATTGTGATACAGGAGAACGAAAGGAGTTTCATGACAGCCTAACCAATGCAGTGTACTGTAGTGGTTATAGAATTTATAGTACCCTAAATTAAATTAAACACATCACTCCAAAAAAATATTAATTTAAAAAAAAAAATGATAATTTTGTACACCCCTAATAAAAGCAAGCAAAAAAAGCTTGCAAAAGCTGCAGTTTTCCCCTTTTTCCCCTTGGCCAGGGAAATGATCAGAGGCTTCTTATTGAAAAGATTCTGATTCTTTTTTGGACAATATTTAAGATTTGCAAGTAACACAATACACGTTTCTAAGTTATAATATCAAATGAAGCAACCAGGAAAAGGATGTATGACTCACACAGGTACCAACATAATACTATTTGGTTGATCATTAAGAATGATACATATTAGAGTAGTACTGAATGTGAAGTAAAAACAGTCAGTCAGTATTGACATGTATAGGTTACTATAAGAATACAAGATGCCGACTCTCTGCTCGAGGTGTCATCAGTTAGACATCATCCAATCTAAAGATGAAATAACTAAAGATCCCATGGTGCGTGGAAGAGAAGCCTTCCATTCTGAGCAATACCAGCCGAGAGTGCCTACCACTTTCATTTCAATGGAGCTAACGGAAGGAGGAAGGAAACCTTCCTGGGTGTCTGACAGCCAGAGACGTGTTGCTTAATCAGTTTAGAAAAGTGGCAATTTCTAGACATGTGCAATTTGTTTCATTCCAAATGTACATTCGGATGAATTTCGTGCAATTTGGACATTCGGAAGATTATGAATGTCCGAAGTTCGAATTGCCGAAGTGATTTGGATTTCTGAAAAGTGGCAAAACAAGAGAGGGAGGTAAAATTATGTGAATGATGGCAGGAATCTTGACCAATAAGCTAATTCCTGGCACTGGGAGCCCTATAGATGTGTAAGTGGATGTGGTGGCAGTCCGGGCAATTGAAGCCCTATGATTCTGTGACGTATGTACTGTGCAAGGGCCGCAGCTCCAGCAACTTGGGCAGCAGAATGCTTACAAAAATTAATGCTGTATAATTTACTGTGAAAATGAACCAAAAGATTGATCAAGTATGGACTAAACTATAAAGGGTTAATATAAGCCAAAGTAGTTTTGGCTATTTGAACCCATGAGATTTACTTGCTCAGCATCCTCTGATGAAGTGAGCAATAGACTCACGAAATGCATAAGGACATTTTTCACTACTTTCTGGCATCTACCGTAAACACAACCGGGCTATACTTGGAACACAGGAGAATCGGTGACACGCACGCGGCTCTCAGCTAGTCCATTCATCTGCCGGCAGGACGATAATACAGAACCAGCTGCCTACACCATACTTTCCTGACTCCAGTACAGGACAAATAGTTTTTACCAATTGTGAGTGCAATTTTTAATTATGTGTTCAATAAATATATTTTAATACAGTAAGCACTATGGATCTTGAACTCTGTTTCTTTCAGAACGGAGCAATCTTCATTTAACTACAGGTCACTTATGATCTGTTAGTTACTATATTTTAACTTTCAAGACAAGTACATTATTTTTTATCTCATTGCTGGACCTGCAAGAACATTATATTAATATTGTACCATATAAATCCAGCTAATCCAGTAAACAAATCCCAGTTTGATCATAACTGAAATAGCTTACAAAGTAATTGACTGTTGTGAATTTTTACTTGACTGATACAATTGTATCCAGAGATTTTTATATATTGGATTTAAGCAAAATCTGAGTCAAATGCAGTAATATGTTTTAACCTTTGAATGCAGCTATATGATGTCTTTTTAGCATTGCAACAAACAAGATTTAACATTTAAAGGTATATACCACTCCTAACTCTATATTGCATAAATTTGCTGGTGTATGAATTCAACAGAAAGAATATGCTGTTGTAGTTGACAAAGTAACTGTTCACATATGCCATAAAATTCCTGTTGCAACCACGATTTTTGCACATGCACACAAATTAGAAATGAGTTTACAAAGAGCACAACCAAAGCACACACATAGACAACGAGTAACAAGAGATCTAACACTGCATGGCACCATTGACAGTTTAGAATTCCCCTTCAATTCCTCATGTATCTTAAAAAAATTCATGACCACAATAAAACAGCAGATACGGAGTCAAAGCAAAGGGCACTAAGAGAACAAAAGTCTGGTTTAAAGTTAAACTATCAGGTCTCCAGGTGTTTGAAACATTTTTCAACAAATTTGTGGCATAAAAATTGCAATTCTCCAATCCTGACTTTAATTTGGAAAAATAAATAAAAAATAAAGTGCTGTAGAGTGTTGGGTTTAAAACCAATATAATGCCTCTTAAACCAGTCCAAATTGGTTTAGGATTTAAAGGATCACTATAGGGTCAGGTACACAAACATGTATTCATGCCCCTATAGTGTTAAAACCACCATCTAGCCCCCCTGGACTCCTTATGCCTCCATAAATATAGCAACATCTTACTGTATTCAAGCCTGAAGCTGTAGATCTGCATGTTGTTTGCCTCAAAAAAACAAGCAGTCTGCTGACATCATTAGGAGTGGTAGCCTAATCCAATCATAATGCTTCCCCATAGGATTGGCTGAGACTGACAAAGAGGCAGATCAGGGGTAGAGCCAGCATGATTCAAACACAGCCCTGGCCAATCAGCATCTCCTCATAGAGATGCATTGAATCAATGAAGCTCTATGAGGAAAGTTCAGTGTCTGCATGCAGAGGGAGGAGACACTGAATGTTTGGGTGCATTTTAGGCAGCCATGACCCAGGAAGGATCTCTAACAGTCATCTGAGGAGTGGCCAGTGAAGTTATCACTAGGCTGTAATGTAAAGACTGCATTTTCTCTGAAGATGAAGGTAATGATTCAACTCACCAGAACAAGTTTAATAAGCTGTAGTTGTTCTGGTGACTATAGTGACCCTTTAACCCCTTAAG